TTTTCTTCTGCACTACTATAGGGTGGGGGCCTCTCTGGTGAGTCCCTTTGATCTGCCCACACCGCACTTTTTACTTTGGTAACCATGGCTGCAGCTACCCTGCTCCATTGTCTCAGTCTATCTTCTGCTTTTTCTATTTCTCTGTTTGCTGCTCCCTTCTTCCAAACCCCAGTTTTGTCCCTATTTTGTCTGGCCAGTACCAAATCTGTATCTGCCCTTTTCTCCTCTGTCAAAAGTATCTGCAGTAACTTTCCCTGATTTTTAGTTGTCTCTGTCCAGCCATTTAGACCTGAGAGATATGTCCACTGACTTTCTAATGTTTTACTTATTTTCTTTCTGTCTTTTGGTTCGGTGTGATGTATTATCTGCTTACAGATACCATCCCACGTCTCTTTATATGTTGTCATTTTAATAATGGTTTTGTCTCCCTATTGGGGTCACACACCTCACAATCTTCCTTATGTCCTAATAATCTACACACCCACCACTTAGGAATATTTTTCACCTTTCTTGGTTTGTAATATAACACTTTCAGCATCTAATTATGATTCCTTCATTCACTCGATGTTTTATTCACATGCTCTCAGTCCCTATGAATATAGGGGCTCATCAATCACACTCTCCTCTCTGAGCCCTCAGAATGCTGCGTCCGTTCCTACCGGGTCACACTTAAGTGACGGTCCAGAGAAGGTGCGCAGCACTCTGACCTCCCAAATACGGAGATATTCATTCACTCACATACATTCATTCAGGAATCCGCACACAATTGACACTTTAACACAAATTTACACCTTTTAACGTTTTACTTTTACTTTCCTTTTTATGTTTTTACGAGTGAGTTAACCTCGCCGGGTAAACTCAATTCTCAACCATGCCAGGAAAACACAATACGAGTTTTTATAATATTTCTTAACCATGCCAGGTCAACTCGTTTAATTACCAATTCTGAGTTTTTATAAATTTTCTTAACCACGCCGGGTCAACTCTTTTGACTGCCAATGTGGAGTTTTTATAAATTTTCTTAACCGCGCCGGGTCAACTCCTTTAATAACCAATTTTGAGTTTTTATAAATTTGCTTAACCACGCCGGGTCAACTCAATAATATAACCAATTCTGAGTTTTTATAAATTTGCTTAACCACGCCGGGTCAACTCAATAATATAACCAATTCTGAGTTTTTATAAATTTGTTTAACCACGCCGGGTCAACTCAATAATATAACCAATTCTGAGTTTTTATAAATTTGTTTAACCACGCCGGGTCAACTCAATAATATAACCAATTTAATTACCAGTATGAGTTTTTATAAACCTTGTAACCACGCCGGGTCAACTCATTTAATTGCCATTGTTGATTTGATTCAAATTATTTACGGATTATGTTGGTATTCAATCCCCAATCAACCTTAAATTTGGTAATTCCAATCTTGCAGTACTTTTATTAAAAAGGTGACTGCTTACCTTATCAGAAGCTCTGCAGAGAGGTTGATTTGAGATCGTCCTCCAACTCGACGAAGCGTCTGAGCGAATCCGGGTGCCCCCTCCAAATTGTAGGGAATGGTTTTTCCCTCCCCGAGTTCAGGATTCGCTTGAAAGTAGACGCAGGAAACTTAACTTTATCAAGTAATCAAAATTTAATAAAAAAGAGAGAATCAGATCAACAATGTCTGAGCTCAGGACTACTGAACAGCCACCATGCATAAGGCACACTGGGCGCTCCAGTAGTGCCGTACAATCATAAAACAATAGTTTTTATTCTTGGTTGTCTCCTCCCCACTCTCGATGAGCCTCCAATCCATTATTCGCCTTCCCATCATCAGATCTCATTTCAACCAGTTAGAATCAGCCAGCAGCCTGTACACACACACAAACACAAAACACACATGCACCCCTACACAGACTGAGATACGTCTATGAAATGCTGGTTCCTTGCAGGTGTTAAACCACATCCTGTACCAAAGCACAGCTTTCCATGAGCTCAGATCTCTCGTCTTACTTCTGTGGAAAACCCCGTTTCTCTAGAAGCGAAGTTTAAGCGACAGGCTCACATTTCAAACAAAGCAATAGGCTCATATTTCAAACAAAGCATTTCATCAGTAAAAAATAGTAAAACTTTAATATATATAAAACATCAAAAATATGAAAAACTTAATATCAATTCTGAACATATATAAAACATTAAAAAAAAAATATGATTCCCTCAAAAATATAATTCCCTCATTATACAACCACAATGATTATCATAAACAAGATTATATTAAAGAGTTCTTGTCTAATATTATGGCTTTGGGTTTCTTTTCTAAATACAATCAGTTCCTGTTTTTACATATGGATTAAACCATTTAAGAAATTTGATCAAGTAATGGACACCAACCTGTGTGTTCAGTAACCTCAGCGTCTTCATGCTTTACTCTGGTTGGTTCTGGATCCCTCAGGTCATCAGTCTCCACTTTAACAGACTCAGTCTTCAGCAGTGTCTCCATCTCTTGTAGGAAGCAGTGAATATTTCCTGATCAGGTCAGAGGTTTAAAAGCGGAGGAAGCTCACTGCTGAAAGGGAGGTGTTTGTAACTGAAGTGGGTGAGGCTTTACAATCAGTATTAGGGGTGTTGAGAAAAAAAATCACAAAATCAGGTAAATAAATGGATTGAAATTACACTTGAATATGTGTATTTACTGATAGACCAAGAGATATTTTTACAAAGCATATGAATTAAATTCAGATGTACTTTAGTTATCAAATATAGTAAATCTCAACATACATAGAAAATGTTTTTAATATATACTCTTTGTCATTATATCGTTGTTTAATAAGAACAAAAGCCTGAAATTGCCAACTTCGCGCTTTCTCTTCTGCGCATGCTCTGTTTGTGCTTTTGACTATAAACAAACTACTGAAGTGAAACCGCCACCTATTATAAATGTGAAAATTCATCTGAAACCTGATTTATAGCAGAAAGGAATCAAGGTAAGTGGTCCATCTGTAAGTATATGACCATTTTTGATGTTCCAGATTAAATTAATTACACAAATGCGCAAATTAAACAATGTATTTACGTTCCTCTCAAATTGCCTCATTTCACTTTAAATCAAGAACTCGACACAAGCTGAAATATTCTGCATCCAGCGAAAATGTCATTCATTAAACCCTACATGGTCGTTTGAGAATTATAATTTAAAAATAATAAAGATCAGAACTAGTCAAACCCACCGCTCTCGCTGCTCTCTTCTGCGCATGCTCTGTTTGTTTCGTTTAGCAAACTAGCATCTTTAGCGAGACTGCCATCTAGTGGATATAAAAGCACAAATATACAAATAAGTTGTAAATAACTACTACTTTTGTTTTCACTTATACTACATAAATATCTCCTAATATTTGTTTCTAGCGTAGATAATTCAATGGGATTATCTGAGGCAGCCGCAAAGCTAACAGTTTAACCTTATTCGTTATGGTAATGTATGAGATTTTCTGTTATTAGGCAGACACGTTGAGATTTAGTGTCAGAGGGGATACTCTTTCAGTTAAACTAAGTTGGAAATAGCTAAACAAAGCTATGATTTTTAGTTTAAGGAGCACAGGGTTAAAATTAAAAGAAAAATAAATGAAGAAAACTGCTAAAAAAATGTTTAAATGACCAGCTTAGACGACCAGCCAAAACCAAGCTGGTCAAGTTGGTTTTAGCTGGTCATTTTCCAGCCTGACCAGCTAAGACCAGGCTGAAAATGCCTGGAAACCAGTCTGGAAATGGCCAAAACCCCTCTAAAACCAGGCTGGTCGACCAGCTGAAAGCAGCCAGTCAGCTTAGACTGGTTTAAGCTGTATTTTTCAGCAGGATTAAGTGGTGGAAATTGACCTGTAGGATTAAAGTCAGGCAACTCAAAGGTAAAATTATTTAATCTTTATTTAGATTCATTCTTTATTCAGGTAGCTACCAATTGTTATTTAAAACACCTCTTTTCCTAAAATGTAATGTCTTGCTTTGAGCATTTTAGGCAGTCAGCTCTGAATAGTAGGTACTAATAAATGTTCTAGGTCTGTTTTTCAACCCATAGAGGAAAACCCATCCAAGTAAATGCATTTATAAAATAACTGAATACAAATGTACATAAGTGCAGATAAAATTAAAATATTTTTTATACAACATTAGTTATTTGGGTGGTTCATTCCGCTGTGGAGACCAGTGTTGTGGGTAATGCATTACAAGTAACACGAGTTACGTAATAATATTACTTTTCTAACGAGTAAAGTAACACATTGCTACAAAAAATAAGATATAATATGTGTGTATATTAGATATTTTTTAGTGTAATGAATTCGCTTTTAAAAAATAAATTGCTGAATTAAAATGAAAGTATTCAAAATGAATCACGCAGTCAATGAGAAAACGGGTTGATTATCTTGAAAGCATCAAAGAAAAGAAAACGGAGATTATCTCAATGGACAGTGGTTTTACTTGAGACAATCAGTACAAAAGCAGCAAACACATTAGTTTATCTGTATAGTAACAATAATCGGTATTAAACGGCATGTAGAGCTCTGGGGTCAGGAAGTTCTCTGATAACATTATTCGAAAATATTATTTTTTGATGTTGATGTTCTTTAAAGGTAAATAAAGGTGTAGGTTATATAGTTCATTGTCAATTCATTCATTCATTTATTCATTCATTCATTCATTCATTTTCTTGTCGGCTTAGTCCCTTAATTAATCCGGGGTCGCCACAGTGGAATGAACCGCCAACTTATCCAGCAAGTTTTTTACGCAGCGGATGCCCTTCCAGCCGCAACCCATCTCTGGGAAACATCCACACACACATTCACACACACACTCATACACTACGGACAAATTAGCCTACCCAATTCACCTGTACCGCATGTCTTTGCACTGTGGGGGAAACCGGAGCACCCGGAGGAAACCCACGCGAAGGCAGGGAGAACATGCAAACTCCGCATTGTTAATTGAGAACTTCTCTATTAAAAAAAGAATAATTTCAGAGATTAAGTTCAGATCAGCTCAGCGTGGTTTAATATTCAATGCTGAGAGTCCAAACACTGAAGAGCAAATCCATCGATGCGCAGCTCTACAGGTCCCGAACCATGGAAGCCAGTGGCGACAGCGGCGAGGAAAAAAACTTCAACTGGCGAAAGTGAAGAATTAAAAACACCTTGAGAGAAACCAGGCTCAGTTGGGCATGACCATTTCTTCTCTGGCCAAACGTCCTGTGCAGAGCTGCAGTCTAGGCGCTGGAGAAGCTTGACGTCAGCGAGACTCGTCTATCCCTGGAGCATCACAGGATTATTTTTCATGAAACTGTTCCTCACTATGAAGACTTCTGATGTTTTTTCATGTGATTTTCAAGGCTGTTTAAACGTATAAAACCCTTCTGACATGGAGGACAGTAATACGGCCTCTCTCCGGTGTGAATTAGCTCGTGTGTTTTCAAGTTTGAGGAGTGAGTGAAACTCTTCTCACAGTATGAGCACTTGTACGGTTTTTCTCCAGTGTGAATCCTTTGGTGTTTTTTCAGATGATCAGCTCTAGTAAAGCTCTTCCCACACTCCGAACACACATGATCTCTCTCGTCAGTGTGTGTTTTCTGGTGCCGTTTACAGTCATCAGGACGTGAAAATCTATTTTCACAGAACGCACACGCATAAACCTTCTCATGTGTGTGAATTCGCATGTGTTGTTTTAGACCTGATGCTCTTTTAAAATCGTGACCACACTGAGTACAGGTGAACGGCTTTTCTCCTGTGTGAACATGCAGATGGTAAGTGAGGTAAGTCTTATATCTGAAACTCTCTCCACATTGAGGACAGCGATACGGCTTTTCTCCGGTGTGAATTCGCTCGTGTACTCTCATTGTTATTGCCTGAGTGAAACTCTTCTCACAATATGAGCACTTGTAGGGTTTTTCCCCATTGTGGATCATTTGGTGACGTTTCAGGTTGTCAGCTGTAGTGAAGCTCTTCTCACACTCCAAACACACACAATCTGTTTTTTCTTTATCGGTTTTCTTCTGCTGTTTACTCTTGTCCATCAGTCCTCCACGTTTTCCACACCGCTCTCTGTCTTTTATCCTCTGAGTTTTGAAGTCTTTCTCCACCTCCTCATTGAGTCTGGCTCTTTGCTCGTTCTTTTCCATGTGATCTAAAATCAAGAATCAAATCAATCAGTTCATTGTGAAAGTAATTGTAATTAATTATAAATACCATTGATTTTCTTTTCTTTTTTAGTTAAACTTAAGCTGCGTCCCAAATGGCACACTATGCACTCATGCACTATGTACTTAAGCACTTACACACTCAACAGGATAGTATATGTATGTAGTGTGTGGGAATATAAATTTATATTTATATAATTTATATTTATAAAAGTTGTTTCCAGGGTGTGACAGACCTTAAAATGTCTTGGTTTTCCTGCGTGTATTTTTCATGCAATGTTTGATACCGCACAGCGAATGAGAGAAAAAAACCCTCCGCATTTCCCGGAAACTTAGATGCACACGGCAGGTAGCGTCAGAAAGCCGTGTGTGTTATTCCGGTCACAAAATGCGGTGAAAATCCTTCAAGAGGTTAAAGTTTGGTTGTGGTGCTAACATGTTTACACTCGGTGCAATAGTTAACTTAGTTCGATACGAACAAACTGAATAAACAAAGAGCACTGGTCGCTCACTTTCCAAATCTGTAGAGACAGGACAATCACCAGCAACTAGAGCTGCGTCTTTATTAAGAGAAGACTACAAGCGAATCCGGATCTCAGCGTTTGCAGATGAGAACAGCTCTCAGGTAAACAATAATCCTCCTTAGACACGTAAGTTAAGTTATTGTTGTCGAGCGTCGCATACTCTGTTAATCCACACGTGACTCCAGCTGCGCTCTCACAGAGAGAAAATGAAAACGAAACTTAACTGCAGCAAACTATAAAAGCAACACTTCACGCTTGTTTTGCCAATACAACGTGGCGTCTCTGTCGTCTAAACACTGTGACAGTAATAAATATTAATGAAGTTGCACAATAGAGCGCGCTGATTGGTTTGAACCAAGCCTTACTCATGCATTAATGCATCACACTGTTAGACGTAATAAGACTCACTCGTGCACAGACGACCAGTCTGCACGCTGAAATACACGCTATTATGTCATGGCCGTGACGCAGCTTCAAAAATTCGTTTCAAACCGGAAGTACGAATTTGCTCGAAATAACGCAAAAACAACCAATTTACACTTTTTAGTGAAATATAGGTGTCCTTATAGTGTTTTTAGCAGTGTGGGACACATATACGACTGTCAACAGCTCAAAACATGTGTTTTGGTGTTTCGTGACCCTTTAATAATGAAACACCCAAAATTACATGAAACTCCGTAGGAAATGCGGATAGTGCAGTGAAGCAAATCGAATAATGTGCTATAAAATGTAAAACAGGAACAGGACATTCAAAAACCAGCGCATGTAAACACTTTTTTGTTATTATTCTCTTAATTAGATTAAGCCAATTAATTCGATTACTGATTTCCATGTAAACGTAGTCATTGTGGGCATTATTGATTTTAATATCTGTGTGGCAGACTAGTATATAACCAAAATTAATCTAAAAAATAATTATAATTTACATGTCATCAACGGGATTCAAACTCGTGTAGGTTCAGCACACGCATCAATCACCTTATCTAACTGAGCTACTCAGAACTTCAAATGAAGTGGCCTGTTTTAATATCTTTATCAGTCAAAATATGATTTGCTGTGGTTGTGGACTCATGTTCACATGTTTCCATCAATGTTAACATGTTTACATGTTGTGTAGATACATGTACTCACGTTAACGTGTTTTTACAAACTCTCCTGCTGATAGAATGACAAAACGATGCTTCATCAGTTGCTCAAACCATGTTTTTTCATAGCTGTAGACTCATGTGTACCTGTGCCTTTGGACTCATGTGTGACCCATGCTCCCACATGTAACGTACATAAAGATTTTACAAAAAATGAATACAATGACGATATTATTATGCAACATATTATGTCTAATATTAGGGATGCACCGATATGGATTTTTTGGCCGATACCGATAACCAATAATTATTCAGGCTTGGTGGCCGATAGCCGATATGTATAGGCCGATAATTATAAATATTTTAAATTGTTATATTTTTATACAGCAGACTTTATAAAAGATTGAACTGCTCTCATGAACTGAATAGCCTATACACGAAGCAAAAAAGCTATAACTTCAAAATTGCAAGGTGATTATAGACCTATATTCACCATTTCACATAAATCAGCATGCAAAAAATTATTTCCTTTTTTTTATTGCAAATGAACATGCAAGTTGACTGTTGCATAAAAATAATAGTTTAAATAACAAAATGGTATCTAATTAACAAGCAAGTTAAACATATTTAAATAAGATGAAAATGAAAGAGCTAAGAACTGAAACCATCATGAATAAAACATGTTACAGTGATGTACACATGGACAAATATATCATGTCCGAAAAAGCCTTTATCAGAGGTGTTTTGACAGTTTAGAGCCACCGTACAAGCCAACAGCTAAATACAGATAGTACGTTTAGAAAATGTGGCACAGATTCATCCTATTTGGCGTTTTACCATGTCACATGTAGGTGCTGCTTGTCAATCAGTCAATTGCGGGAAAATGATCGATGAAAAGTTTATGATAAACCACTGAGAGTTTTACTCAACTGTAGAGGCAGAGTTGCCATCAGAGTCAGATTTTGATACAAAACCTGCATTGAGCTGACTTTATGACAAACACAGAGCAGAATATAAAGACAGAATGAGCGGCTAGTTAAGAACCCCTTTAACTGGATACACCTTTCGCCTCTCCCCCGTGCTACAGTGTGTGTGGTGACAGCTCTCACGCGAGCTCGTTATAATCAATATGAATATTCCGATCAAACTGAATACAATCTTACATCAACAACACATGACCAGCAACGCGTTGATAATAACAAATAATCAGATTACAAACAACCGTTATGTTTACACGTGTTGTAATATGTGCGTGTCCTTCAACGGGACTTGGCTGCAGTTTGGGGTGTGTGAGACAGAGGGAGAGGGAGAGAGAAAAGAGGAGCTGTTTTTAAGCAATGAGACCATTTTCTGTGATGTTCCCTTTTTGGTGACTTAATTTTTGTACCACACGGAAAGTAATAAATATTTTGGACCAAGTTACATGTGTCCTCTTTCATTTTTTTTTTTTTTTTTTTAATTGTGTTTTTGACAAAAGGTACAGTACATTAAAGGTATTCAATTACAAAGGTATTTTCGTTTTTTCTTTTTTTTTTTTTGAACCATACATAAATTGAAAAAAAGAAAAGACAAATTGACATAAAAAAAATAAAAAAAAATAATAAATAATAAAAAAAAAATTTGATGAAAAGGAAATGCATTAAATAATAATATAAAATAAAATAAAATAATAATAATAAAAATGAAAATAAAATAAATTTACAGAAAAAAATAAAAAATAAATAAATAAGTAAATTAAATTTAAAAAAAAATTTAAAAAAAAAGGTGGGTGGGGTTGGGAATTTATGGTTGGAGGAGTACATTAGTCTCAATATGAATTATTAGAGGGTCCCATGTTTTGAAAAATTTTTTGGTTGTCCTCTTTCATTTACCAGCTGCAACGAAAAGAGTTCACCCCGAAACTAACATTATTCGGCCCTGGAGTAATAAGTGAATCTCCCCTGATATCTCTTAACACAACAGAGACAGAGCAGGAAAGGTTTACACATGTAATATTTTTCCTGGGGCGATTTAAAGCAAAAATACACAATGACTCTCAATCAAGCATATCTACACTGATAAGGAACGTGGTTACTTACTGAATTATTAACGCACAGCAGTGCCACGTGAAGATAGGACGGACTTTGAAGGAATAAACATATATCTAATATATATTTAATAAATAATATTATGCAGCAGAATATTAGAATATAATGTAATGTGAACATTACTGATGAAATAAAGTGACTGAACACCAGATATCTGTCTGTGAGGCTGAGCTATCACATCTTTAATGATCCAATGGTTATTTTCTGTCATCGCCTGGTTAATACAAATACATTGATTAACATAAACATAAAATATGATCAAAGAGTTCGTCCAATATTATGGCTTTGGGTTTTATAAGTCATGTTTCATCTCTAAATACAATCTTGTCTATTACATGTGATTTAGAACATTTTAAGATGAAGGACACCAACCTGTTTGTTCGGTAACCTTAGCATCTGCATGATTTATTCTGGATGGTTCTGGATCCGTCAGGTCATCAATCTCCACTTTAATAAACTCAAACTCCACCATTCTGTCAGATTTCAGCTGCATTTCTTTTTCTGATAGAGAGGGAGCAAGGTAAGATCTTTGTTTTTTCTTTTTAATTTTATTTTAAGAGTTTATAAAGTTGCTTCCTCAATCCGTTAGATCTTTTGTTTGTTGTTTTGGCATTATCCCCTCCTGAGTATTTTTTTGAAACCTACCATATAGAGGTAAAGTTGGTTTTATATTCGCACATTCATTCATTTAGAAGTCTCCATATTGTTTACCGTGTTACTTTAAATATTCGATGGGAATTAGTATGCAAGTATGACTTGTAAACAACATCAACACTGTTTATTTGACTGTGAACAATGTTGTACGTTGATAGTCATTGGCTGCTAAAATGGTTTTGGTATCATAATACTTTTATGAAATTATATTATTAAGGGGAAAGTCTGAATGTGCGAATATAAAACCTACTTTACCTCTATACCTACCATTACCATCGGTCATTTATTATTTGTTAATCTGTAAATAAATGTACTTCTTTTTAGGACATTGGATTTGGTGTTATTGTTATTTTGGTGTATTGGAGTTATTGTTGAAGTGCTGGGACTGCCTTGCCCTTTAGTTTTTTTTTTTAAATATATATAGTTATATTTTCTGTTATCAAAATTGGCCTATATTATTTTTATAATGGGAAAAAAAGTTTAATACCTTTTATTTTTTCCCTTTTATGTTAAATTGTTGCATGTTTCCCTGGCCCTAGATAGGGGAGGCAAGTAACCCTTAATAGTTTATTAAACTAGTAATAGTAGGTAAAACTAAATCTGTTTTAAAGCTGCGATCACACTGCACTTATCGCTTCATAGACTTCCATTCATAGGCATGCAAATTCGGCAGACCAGAAACGCAAGTGCACGCAAGTTACGCATTTCACTGCATTGGAAAGTTCAAACTTGATGAATTCTTACCTGCGAAATCACATCAGGTTATTGCGTGAGACCAACAGAAGATCATTTAAAATAAGTAAATGTGGAGCAATCGCTTACATTTAACGTCTAATGATATTGTTTAACCCTTTTCACAGTGCTGTACGATAGAATTTTGCAAGTACAAGCTATAGTGTAAAAATGTCTGCTAAATAACTAAATGTAAACGTAATTTCCACGACTTTTCCAAAACACTGTTGGATTTTCTGTTTTTCCCAAACTTTTCCAGGTTCTCCATGATCGTATGTTAACCTAGTTACGCCTAAATGTCTTTTTAGGCTGAATAATAATAATAGACTATCTTGAAATATATCTGGTCAAATATTATGTGCTGTCATCATGACAAAGATAAACAAAATCAGTCATTAGAAATTAGTTATTAAAACTATTATGTTTACAAATGTACTGAAAAAAAAATCTCTGTTGAACAGAAATTGGGTAAAAAAATATACAGGGGGGCTAATAATTCTGACTTCAACTGTATGTAGAACTAATATAACTATAAATATCTATGACATTTATAAGTATAACTATAGATATTTTTTGACAACGCTATATAATCAATTCATTTAATGATATTCAGCTCTGTTAATAGTATGTATACCTCACCTACAACCTGCTTCATATCAAGCTTAATACATCACTGACAACATCCAAAGAAAATGTCTTTCACATAGACGCTCATTTTATATCACATTTTTGATGTTGCAAAAGTCCTTATTAACGTTATGATAAATAAAATCGCAGATATCATAGAGAAGTTCAAGGTTATATAAATAAATGCATTAAACAGCACATCTCAAACGGCTACATGTCAAACACTTTAAATCAATAACTCAGTTAATATACAAACTAATAATATGGGATATTCTAGAATAATGTCACCCAAACCTTTCAGAATCATAATTAAAAGGAATAAATACCAGAACTTGTCAAATCTCCATCCTCTCGCTGCTCTCTTCTTCGCATGCTCCGTTCGTTTGTTTTGTTTAGCCAACTAGCATCTTTAGCGAAACTGCCATCTAGTGGTTAGAAAAGCGAATTAACACGTTGAAAACCACAGGATCATTACTGCATATAACATAATGGATTTCATTACTGCCTCTGTACTCACTAAATACAATAATCTCTCTTAACTATCCTCAAGATTTGTTTTACTAGTGTATGAAAGCAGTGCTAGTAACAAAGCTAATAGTTTTTACCTCAATCATTATGGTATGTCCATCTAATGTAAATAGACACATCAAGCTTGTGTAGGTGTATAAACTACAGGATCATTAACCCTCTACCGCATGCATTATGATAAATCACTAAAAAAATATTTGACTGTTCTTTTCTTTTCCAAAAATGGCTTAACTTGAAGTGCTGTAAAAAAAAAATTGGATTTTTTTAAGATACTTTATGATTGTTGCCATATGGCAAAAACGTCCAACAGTGGATCTAAGAAATTTTACATTTAAAACTCCTTATAATTAATTATATATATATATATATATATATATATATATATATATATTTTTTTTTTTTTTTTTTTTTTTTTTTTATAATTTAATGAGCGAAGCAGTGGCGCAGTATGTAGTGCTGTCACCTCACAGCAAGAAGATCGCTGGTTCGAACCTCAGCTCAGTTGATGTTTCTGTGTGGAGTTTGCATGTTCTCCCTGCCTTCGCGTGGGTTTCCTCCGGGTGCTCCGGTTTCCCCCACAGTCCAAAGACATGCGGTACAGGTGAATTGGGTAGGCTAAATTGTCCGTAGTGTATAAGTGTGTGTGTGAATGTGTGTGTGGATGTTTCCCAGAGATGGGTTGTGGCTGGAAGGGCATAAAAACTTGCTGGATAAGTTGACGGTTCATTCCGCTGTGGAGACCCCGGATTAATAAAGGGACTAAGCCGACAAGAAAATTAATGAATGAATAATTTAATTGGCGTTGCAGCATTATGAGCTTTAACACGTAACTTATAAATAACACCTTATACATACTTTCACACAACTCATATTCCAGCAGCTTTCATTTATTCTATATTTTTATAATTGGAAACAATCATAATATTGTATTATCATGAATACAACATACAGTAAATATAAATATTTTCTCCAGTAAATATTATAACAAATAATTATCAAGTCTAATATATCCAGAAGCATCAGAATAATGTAGCTATTAGCTAGCAATGTTTATATATTTATTATACTATATACTATATGCCTGTCTAATCTGCGTCTGAGCTAACTTACATGAACTTTTTTTTTATCAAATGTCCAGTCTGCATCTTTCTCATGGTCACTAAAACCCATCTCATCCTCAATTTCATCTGCAGGAGGAGCCAGTTTTGTCCTTTTCTTCTTTCACTTACTATAGAACATGGTGGTGCTCGCTAATACACTGTTCCCTGTATTCACATCTATTCAAAAGTAGCATTGCCATTAAAACTATATTTTATACATAATACAAATGCCATCAACATACAACTAATCAACATTATATTAATAGCATTCATGATGTTATTGTTACAACTTAAAAGTTTACAGCTGACCTTGCCAGCTAGCTAACCCATTGCAATATTGCATGTTCCACTATTCCACCACCATTTAACAACACACACATTTGATCGATTTACAAAAAACTAATTTGATTTTTTTTAAATTGAGTTGTGAATATGTCTACTGGAGGAGATGTTTCAGATCTTTTTGTGGATCTGACATAATTTGATCTTTAGTTTTTATTTATGTTTACATTTGCATTTAGCAACCACTCACAATAAACGCCAGTCTGTCAGAAATCGCGCTACTGAAAAACACTGGATGTCATGTGACTTAACCAAACCACATTGTTGGCTACACTAAGGTCTTCTCTTTCCAACAACAACAAAAAAATTTTAATTGTTGGTCTTAAAGGAACAGTGGCAGGGAAATGAACATAAGTATCGTGTTGCCATATGGTTATGCCGTGCAGTAAAGGGGTTAAAAAAAAACAGTAAAATAATTCTTACAAGTACATTTGCTTAGAAATAGCTAAACAAAGTGGCAAGTTTTGTCGTAAATTCAACTTCTTCTCAATTAGAAACGATCAGACCGGAGGTTTTGAATATCAGAAAATAGACTTTGTTCTCCATAATAAAGCCGAGAAAGAGCAGAGCAGACCTCATAGCATTCTCCTCCTGCTCCTTCTAAAGTTTCTGTGTGTTTCCAAAATCTTTATACGGTTATTTGACACACCCCTAGGTATCTCATTTTAACTTTTAACCATTTTAGGATAGGTTTTTACTCTAGGTGGCCCTGTTATTCTTGGCTCTCAGCCCACTAGCTCATGTCAACAGAAATGTTACAGGTCTATGTCAGCAAAGTATAGATGCAACTTATGCAAAGGAACTAAGTGTTTACATACATTGTTATGATAGGATAATAACTTGATAATATGTTACTTATTCTAACTTCTGACACATATAGCTTCATACAAGTATTTAACATATATGATCAGTGCTTTACATATTCAGTCATTCTACACAATCAGTCACTCAGCCTTCTCCTAGTGTTGCTCCTGTGCAGGCATACTCATCTTACACAATATTTTTAACACACGCTGGCATGTTTGCTGCAAACACTACATACATTTTGAGAAGAGAAAATTAACTGCTTTACACTTAGAAAATACTTCATACAGAGAGAATAAAATCTTCTTCAGTTTCAAGGAGCACAAAGGTAAGAACCCAAAGAAAAATAAATGAAGAAAACAATTAACTTTAAGTAGCAGCAACTCACCTGTTGAGTTGGTCAGACAATTAAATTAAGGATACAATTAATAAATCAGGTTTAGTTTATGCTAATTCTGTGGCCAGACCCAAGTAGCCTAGTATATGACTTCTGCAATATTTACACGTGTCAATGGGTAAAATAACGTTTTTTACATTGTTGTCTGCATAATCAGTCATTTTATGAATTTTATTTTATAAAAAGTAAATAATATCAAACAACATAAGTACAGGTCAAATGTCTTTAATGTTTCATACAAAAACCGCAAAAGTCATTTGACAGTATATCGAGTCATTAAAGACATCATGACGATCATCGGTTCATAATCAAAGCGGAGATCAATTGATGACATAAATCAGCCTGACAGATGATGAAAATACAATTTTGTGTATATTCATTTTTTATCTTCATAATTATGTCTATTTTAGTACTACTATGTTTGATTGATAGTATAATTCTTGTATTGTTTTTTTTTTTAGGTTGTTCGGGGACAACAGATGAAAAATAGCCTTCTGGCCAAATCAAATCAAATCAGGCCTTTATTTGTCACACACACTTTCTTATAGTGAAATTGAACCCTCCCCCCGACCATACACAAACATCACAATTTTCAGGGGAAGACAGGTCACAGGAGGTAGCATTTAGAAAGGGAAGTAAGATACATGTGGAGAGTTAGGCAAAAAAAACAAAACTCCCTCTCAGCTTGCCGTTGATTAGGGCAAAGTGAGAACAGGTAGACAAAAACACAGCCCAGTCTTAGGCCCCGTTTACACTAATGCGTTTTAGTTTAAAAATGCATGAGTTTTGCTACGGTTATGCCATCCGTCCACACTACGCTGGAGTTCTCGAGCGCCAAAAACGGATGCGTCTTGAAAACACTGAACACGCCGTTTTCATTCTAAAACACTGCTGCACCGTCTCAGTGTGGATGAGGAAAAACGAAGACATCTGAAAACGGAGGCGGGACTGCTGAGATTCGCTACCTGTTTGGGGCTTTTGTGTCATTGCGTATCCTTCCCTTATTCGTCAAGCCCCTATCACATGACTACAACACATGGCTTTAACGCTACCGGAAGACAGCAGACCAGCCTTCACTGTAAACAACAACATGGACACAGGAATGGGAGCGCTGTTTGTACTATTGTCTGTTTTAGGCACCATTGTGCAGTTATTCATTTGTTACGTTTAGTAACAACTCGACCTCGTCGTCTGTCCACAGAAATACCTCTCTTGCTTTCTTTGCCATCGCGTTTAATGTTCAACCGGCGTTTCTTGATTAACAATAACCAAATGCCAAGCGAGACACATGCTTTCTGTTTATACTAGAACGCAATTGCCCAGAGTGCGCGAATGGTCACGTGATATACGTTTTTGGTGGCGTAGTGTGGATGGAGATATGTTCAGAAATGCTAGGTAAAACACTAGTGTGGATGCGGATCGTTTTTGATCTAAAACGCCGTTTTAAAACTAAAACGCACTAGTGTAAACGGGGCCTTAGCACAAACACACCGGCAAGACACAACATTAGCCCCTTTCACACAGTGATACCGGTAAATATCCGGAAAATTTCCAGAACTACTTTACCAGTATATTAAAAAAAAGGCTGTTCACACAGGCGAGGACGTTACGGAATTTTTCCGGAAAAGAGCATTCACACATCCATCGCAAAATGCCGGTAAATTCTGACATCATTAACCAGAAATGACCTCTAAACGGCTGCGCTTGTGTTTGTAAACATTTGACTACATCACAAACTCTGTGGATGGATCAGTATTGAGTACAACTCTAATGAAAACATATAGAGAAACACTTTCGCATGTCGAGATGTTCATGATATGTGTGTGTGCTGGCGCTATGGGCGCTCACGGGCACACGCAAAGCTTGAAGGTAAACAAACAACGGATTATCATAAACATTTTATCGATAATTATTTACACAGCATTAAGAAGGAACATAGAAACATTATCTGACTAACATCTAGCAGCTAAAGGTGTCTGGAAAAAATATTCAAAGGCTTTTATTCTCATAAACCGCGCGCACATGAATCCGTCTGACTGTTGTAATTGGCTAAAGCAGGTGTCTCACGTCAGCCCGTTCTAGACGTGCACGCGCTTATTACGGCAATCTTCCTTCTGCATTCACACAGCGCAGCATTCCGGCAAATTACCGGTAATGTTACAACTTCTCTTTCCGGAAAATAGCCAGAACGAATTTACCGGTATTTTCAAAAAGGGCCTGTTCACACATACAACCTTTCCGGAAAATTGCCGGTAATTTTACGGAAAGGTCTGTATGTGTGAAAGGGGCTAATGACACAGGGGATGGGAACAGGGGATATAGAAACAATCCGATGAGTGCAGGCATCCAACCGGTCCAGCAGCCATGGAGGCGCCACTCACTTACTTCCCTTTCTAAATGCTCCACGCCCCTCATGGGTGAAAGCACACGAAGGTGTTTGGATGAGGGGATCGGTGGTGAATGTTTACCTGTAGATTTGTTTGTTTGTGTGTGTGTGTGAGCCTGCAGAGTCCAGCAGGTGTCCTTGGCAGGGAGCAGGAATTTCAGAGTGTCTGCTTATCTCGTTATCATGCATTTGCAGAAAAGCTAATTAATGTACACTGTCCCTGCCAAATAAACAAATAAAATCAAAAAACAATGAGCCAGTAGAAACGATGAAAATTACATTTAAACTGATAGAATTGATCACTGTGATGACTTATGGTGTTTTTTGATGTGACTTTCAAGGCTTCTTAATTCTGAAAAACCCTTGTCACATGGAGGACAGTAATATGGCCTCTCTCCAGTGTGAATTCGCTCGTGTAACGTCAAGTTTCCAGACTGACTGAAACTCTTCTCACAATATGAGCACTTGTATGGTTTTTCTCCAGTGTGAACTCTTTGGTGCTGCATCAGATGATCAGCTCTATTAAAGCTCTTCCCACAGTCCAAACACACATGATCTCTCTTGTCAGTGTGTGTTTTCTGGTGCCGTTTACAATAATCAGGACGTGAAAAAGTCTTTTCACAGAACAGACACGCATAAGGCTTCTCATTTGTGTGAACTATCATGTGTTGTTTCAGACTTGATGATGTTGTAAAATCGTGACCACACTGAGTGCAGGTAAATGGGTTTTCTCCGGTGTGAACAAGCAGATGATTCGTGAGATTAGTGCTGTATCTGAAACTCTTGTCACACTGAGTACAGTGATACAGCTTTTCTCCAGTGTGAATTCGCTCATGGATTCTCATCTTTACTGCCTGAGTGAAACTCTTCTCACAGTATGAGCACTTGTGAGGTTTTTCTCCAGTGTGAATCATGTGGTGACGTTTCAGTTCCCCAGCCCTGGTAAAGCTCTTCCCACACAGCAAACACAAATGCTCTCTCTTTCTTTTACATGTTTTCTTTTCTTTACTCTTGTCCATCAGTCCTCCACCTTTTCCACACAGCTCTCTGTCTTTTATGCTTTGAGTTTTGAAGTCTTCCTCTTCCTCATTCAGTCTGGCTCTTTGCTTTTTCTTTTCCATAACTATGGTCTAAAACATAGAAGCAATTCAATTAGCATTGTGAAAGTAACTAAATAATAATAATACATAACACTTTTTTCTTGAGGTTTAACATTTATATGCTTCACATGATGTGTTACAGCAGGTTTCTTATCTTAGGACTTATCTTAAAGGCTTCATATAGAAATCAGGATATATCTAGAGATAACTGAACAATAAGAGTACGCATGTATATAAATAGGCATACCGTGACTTCCTTGTTGTCATGTAAATCCTGCAAGAGTAAAATCCAGATGTTGCTTCACTTAAACTGGAGTCTGAACAGAAAGAGAAGTAGTGGTAGATGGGAAAGTTTGCTGTCGTCTGGTCTCACTCCGTCATAGTCTGTGTCTGATTGAGTCTGCAGTGAACGGCGCTCTGTTCAAACTGTAGAGAGTTTGTGTGTTGGGGTTTTTCCTGCCCCCAGTAGAGCTCTGACCAATGAGGTGTCGTCTTTGGAGTGTGACTAATAAGCATGTTAACTATTAGTCACATGAGCTATCTCCTTACCACAAAGGGACAGTTCACCCAAAAATAAAAAAGGCTATTTACTCACCCTGAGTACAAAGATTTATGTTTTTTAGACTGTTGGAAACTGGTAACTATCAACATCTATGGCAGGAACAGAAATACTATGGAAGTCAAGGGCTGTTTTTACAACATATGCTAACAAAGGCAGTTTCACCCTTTCGAAACGGTCCCAAACAGAAGAAACGGTACCAAAAATGGAGCTAGACACACAGCTGAACGCAATTGGTTTACAGAGATTTGTCATTCGCTTACGCAACAAGCCAGAATGTAAACAAAGGACCCGCCTGCTTTGAAATACACCGCAAGAGATTACAGCGGAATAATATATACATATAATGGTCAATCCGGGCTCAAACAAACCTTGTCGTTGTCTTGATGAACAGCCACAAAGCATGGAGTAGAGCAGAATCTACCCTGTGCCTCGTACGTTTCACGAGCCAGTCTGAGGTGCAAGCGGTTTCGCTTTCTTGCTTGCTCTCGCCTATATCTGTTTAAATAACAAACTTCTTGAGCTGATGATAATAACGTGCGCTTGATTATTGACAAACTTTGGAAACCCGATCCTGTGAGAAGCTTACAAACGTGAGAATGACACATTCAGAAAGAAATTTATTTTATTAATTTTATTTCTTCAGCAAACGTGAACAAACTGCCTTGTTTTAATCTTTATCACCTTTTGGACTAATATGAACTGGGAATGATGGAATGGCTCTCTTATAGAGGCTACATGTGCTGCTGAAGATTACAGACACAGATGAGAGGTTTGCACTGACTGTAGGCTGTACTTTCTGTTGTTTTGAACCTAATTAAGAACGAAATGTTTGCTGTGTGTAGTTTTTCTGTAGTTGGTAAAATATCGGAGACTGTAAGGGCCTGTATGTGTTCATATATGTTCATTTATTTATTTATTTTATATATTTGCAGACGTTACAGTAGGCTATTTCGCACTGTCATTGATCTGCAGCTATAATCAACTTCTGTTCATAAAAAAAATAGTGATAAACATTTATAAACAAGTATTTATGTGTGCAAAGCATCTGTTTTGTGAGAAGTGCTTTTCATATGATATGTAAGCGACCTGTGCAGCTTTACTGTTGACATTTCCTCGAGCGAGAATGATGCAACTGAAACTTTTTTGTCATACACCACGTCCACCAAAAGGGTACTACCCTTGGTAGTGGAAACGCAAGCCTGATAAAGGTGACCCGTACCAACCCAAACCGTACTGTACTGTACCAGTCAGTGGAAACGAGCCATTAGGTTCTCTGTCATGTTAAAGTATGAAAGAGAACTGTTACACATCCATATATTGTTTACTATAATGAATGCAAAAATTTTGAAGCTCAATATCTCAAAACCCTTCAGAACGCAGATAAAATCCTTATAATTTTAAGGTGACGATGTGTAAATTTACTTTAATGCAGACATTAAAATGTCAGGTCTTTTCTTTGGCCCATTAGGATGAGTGTTGGTCTTTGGATGTTAATGGTTACCAGTTTCCAGCATTCCAGCACTATGAAACCCCGTCAGGGTGAGTAAATGGCATCTTTTATTTTTGGGTGAACTGTCCCTATGTGGTTAAGAGTTAGCTTGTGTGACTGAAAGTTAACATGCTAATAAGTCGCACCCCAAACCAAAGATGACACCTCATTGGTCAGAGCTCTACTGGGGGCGGGAAAAAACCTAACACAAAAACTCACCACAGTTTAAACAGAGAGCCGTTCACTGCAGACTCGGATGGAATGAGACCAGATACCAGCAAACTTTCCCATCTACATCTACTTTTCTTTCTTTGTAACCCTCTTTCTGTTCAGACTCTGAAGCAACATCTGGATTTTACTTCTGCGGGAATTACATGACAAGGAAATCACGGTATGCCTATTTATATCCATGTACTGTACTTCTGTTGTTCAGTTATCTCTTGGTATATCCTGATTTTTATTATATGAAACCTTTAAATTAAGCCCTAAGATAAGAAACCTGTAACACATCATGTGAAGCATGTTCAATTTTAAGAAAAGATTGTTATTTATTATTATTTAGTTACTTTCACAATGCTAATTGAGTTGCTTCTATGTTTTAGATCATAATTATGGAACAGAAAAGGCAAAGAGCCAGACTGAATGAGGAAGAGGAAGACTTCAAAACTCAAAGCTTAAAAGACAGAGAGCTGTGTGGAAAAGGTGGAGGACTGATGGACAAGAGTGAAGAAAAGAAAACATGTAAAAGAAAGAGAGAGCATTTGTGTTTGCTGTGTGGGAAGAGCTTTAGTACAGCTGGCCATCTGAAGATACACCACATGATTCACACTGGAGAAAAGCCTCACAAGTGCTCATACTGTGAGAAGAGTTTCAGTCAGCCAGGAACCTTGAAAATCCATGAGCGAATTCACACTGGAGAAAAGCCGTATCACTGTAATCAGTGTGACAAGAGTTTCAGATATAACACTAATCTCACGAATCATCTTCATGTTCACACTGGAGACACGTTTACCTGCACTCAGTGTGGTCACGATTTTATATCTGCATCAAGTCTGAAACAACACATGATAGTTCACACAAATGAGAAGCCTTATGCGTGTCTATTCTGTGAAAAGACTTTTACACGTCCGGATCATTGTAAACGGCACCAGAAAACACACACTGATGAGAGAGATCATGTGTGTTTACAGTGTGGGCAGAGATTTAGTAGAGCTGATAATCTGATGCAGCACCAAAGAGTTCACACTGGAGAAAAACCGTACAAGTGCTCATACTGTGAGAAGAGTTTCAGTCAGTCTGGAAACTTGACGTTACATGAGCGAATTCACACTGGAGAGAGGCCATATTACTGTCCTCCATGTGACAAGGGTTTTTCCGAATTAAGAAGCCTCAATGATCACATCAAAAAACACCATAAGTCATCACAGTGATCAATTCTTTAATTTTAAATGTGGTAATTTTCATTGTTTCTACTGGCTCGTATTTTCATCATCTGTCAGGCTGATTTATGTCATCAATAGATCTCAGCTGTGAATATGAACTGATTGTACATGATTTACTGCAGCAGAACATGAGCATGATGTCTTTAATGACTCAATATACTGTCAAGAAACCTGCATTTTTTGTATGAGACATTAAATACATTTTACTTGCAGTTTTGTTGTTTAGTATTATTTACTTTTTCTAAAATGACTAATTATGCCGACAACAATGTGTGAAAACCGCTCTTTTACCCATTGACAAGTGTGTAAATTTTGCAGAAATCATACCTACTCAGATCTGGCCACAGTATTTGCATCAAATAAATCAGAACTATAAATAGGATTTAATAATTGTACCTTTAATTTAATTGTCTGACTATCTCAATAGGTGAGTCAGTGCTACTTTAAGTTATTTGTTTTCTTATTTTTCTTTAGGTTTTACCTCTGTGCTCCCTGAAACTAGCTCCTTTGTTTAACTATTTCATTCAAATGTACTTAGTAATTTATTTGACCGTTTTTTAATGATCCTGTCGTTTATAGCCTATTGACACTCATACGAGCTTGATGTGTCTATTTACAGAAGATGTCGGACATTACCATAATGATTGAGGTGAAACTGTTAGCTTTGTGGCTGATAGCTTCACAGCTTTCACTAGTGAAACAAATCTTAAGGATCGTTAAGAGAGATTTTTGTTGTATTTAGTGAGTGCAGAGGCAGTAAAAATTAAATTTGTAATAATGATACTGTAGTTTTTTTTTATCTTTAAACGTGTTAGTTCGCTTTTCTAACCACTAGATGGCAGTTTTGCTCAAGATGCTAGTTTGCTAAACCAATACAAACGAACAGAGCATGCGCAGGAAGGAGCAGCGTGAGCGATGGATGTTTGACTCTGGTGTTTGTTTTTTTGTTTTGTATTATTATGAATAAAACGTGATATAAAATAAACGTTAAAATGAAAAACAGAAAGAAGGAAGTTTATGTGACTAGGTTAGCATGTCACACCATTAACCAAAGACAACACCTCATTGGCCAGAGCTCTGGTGAGGGCGGGAAAAAACACAATCTCACTACAGTTTGAACAGATTCACTCACCGCAGACTCACTCGGACACACAGTGATGGAGTAAGAGACAGCATGAAACTTTCCCATTTATTCCTACTTTTCTTTCTTTGTAACACTCTTTGTCCAGAGTCCAGTTTAAGTGAAGTGTGCTGTGATTTACTCTCGTTTTCGGGATTTACAAAGAGGATATCACGGTAATATTTCCATCTAATGTAATGTTACTCATTCAGTTATGCCTATGTTTACAGTTAAAGTCGGAATTTTTAGTCCTCCTGTATGTTTATTTCACCAATTTCTATTTAACGCTAAGATTTTTTCAACATATTCTAAACATAATAGTTTATTAACTAATTTCTTTGCCATGATCACAGTACATGGATGTTTTACTTGATATTTTTCAAGATATTAGTATTCAGCTTAACCTTTGTGCATGGTTCAAACTGTTATGTTTGGGATGAAAACATGAAATAAACTGATTTAACTAGGCTGATTTATATCATCAATAGATCTCACCTGTGAATATGAACTGATTGTACATGATTTTATGCAGCAGAACATGAGCATGATGGCTTTAATGAATATGAGCAATTCCAGCGTTATGGATGTGACATTTGCTGTAAAAACTCAAAACGTAATTTCACACAGAAAGTATATGTTGACATTATATCGAAACTTCTGTTTATATTTTCCAAAACAGCTCACCACAGAGTTCTGGGAGCAGAAAAATATCAATATGTAAACATGTTTTATATTTTAAATTAGGAAAATAAACATGCGTTATGGATGTGACAAAAAAAGTTTGCGAATTTACAGTGGATAACAGATTATTTAGAAATTCTGACAGTTAAACTGCACAATCCAAAAGACACAATGCTCATCAAACAGGTATGAGTTGGCTCACTATAGAATTAAAATGATTGATTTCATTTTATTTGACATTTTTGCATTTATGAAGAAAAAGTGTCGTTATGGATGTGACACATTTCCGTTATGGATGTGACAGCTGTGAAATTGCCACTTGTGTGATTTTGGCAAATTAAATATAATAGTTTGAAATACAGACAGATACATTTACGAGTTCTTTTAAAGTACTGTAAAAAACTTGCTAACACAAAAAATGTAGAAACGATTTCTCTATTTTGGTGAAAACTAAAATATTTTTATGGCAAGGTTGACATTTGCATGGAATTGCCCATATATAAATATCCAGTATTTTGTATGAAACAAAGACATTTTACTTGTACTTATGTTGTTTGGTATTAAATTATCTTTTCTCAAATTACTAATTATGCAGACAACAATGTGTGAAAACCCCTCCTTATTACATTGACGTGTCTAAATTTGGCAGGAAACATGTACTAGGCTACCTACTCGGATCTGGCCACAGTATTTGCATAAAAAATAATTCTAAACTGAATAAGATTTAATAGTTGTACCTTTAATTTAATTGTCTGACTAATTCAACAGGTAAGTTGCCGCCACTTAAAGTTAATTGTTTTCTTCATTTGTTTTTCTTTGGGTTTTTACATTTGTGCTTTTTAAAACATAGCTAGCTTGAAATTGTCGCTATTTCAGGAGTTCACACTTAGCTGATGATTGATTATAAGCTTGTTTGGCATGCTGTCCCGGGAAAGAGCTCTGAGCTCATAAGATCCTGGAGCCCGGGGCTCCCTCCTATTGCAAGGCGTGGGGAGTTTGAGCTCAGGTAGATCTCGAGAACTCCCCTGCTGTAGCTAATGAACAGATAGTGATCGCTCTTTAGAGATAACTACTTACTAGGTTCATGTCTACGGTGCTGATTTGGATTAGTCAATTAACTTAAGTTGCATATTTTTGGACGGTGGGAGGAAACCGGGGAACCTGGGGGAAACCCACTTGAGCACGGTGAGAAAGTGCAAACTCCGCACAAAAAACGTCTGCTGGTTTGGTAAAGCCTGGGACCAGAGACGTTCTTGCTGTGAGGCAACAGTGCTAAGCACCCATCTAGGAAGGAGGAGGAGTAGGGGTGGAAGGGGGGATTCTTCAAAACGAAGATAGCAGTGGAATGTAACCCAGGGTATTTGTAGTAGTTTAAGAGTCGTCTGATTGGTGCATTGAGAATTGGATAATGCGAATCCAGCCGATAGCAATCATAAGCACGTGATCCTCTCGAAATGAGTTTATAAATAATCTTAACTTCTTACTAAATTTATTTGTCAGAGCTAATGCAGTAAGACACTTGACTTTTTAATGGTCCTGTAGTTTATAACCTATTGACATCAATAGGATGAGCTTGATGTGTCTATTTACATGTTAATAGCAGACTGGCCCACATTTAAAAAATGGTCCGGCCCTTCTGGCATTTGCCAAAATTGCCAGATGGCCAGTCCAACCCTTGCAGTTTTCAGCATTCCAGCACTATGAATCTCCCTCAGGGTGAGTAAATGGCATCTTTTATTTTTGAGTGAGCTATCGCTTTGTGTTTAAGAGATAGTGTGACTGAAAGTTAACATGCTAATAAGTCACACCCCAAACCAAAGATGACACCTCATTGGTCAGAGCTCTATTGGGGGAGGGAAAAAACCTTAACACAAAAACTCTCTACAGTTTAAACAGAGAGCCGTTCACTGCAGACTCGGATGGAATGAGACCAGATAGCAGCAAACTTTCCCATCTACATCTACTTTTCTTTCTTTGTAACCCTCTTTCTGTTCAGACTCTGAAGCGACATCTGGATTTTACTTCTGCGGGAATTACATGACAAGGAAATCACGGTATGCCTATTTATATCCATGTACTGTACTTCTGTTGTTCAGTTATCTCTTGGTATATCCTGATTTTTATTATATGAAGCCTTTAAATTAAGCCCTAAGATTAGAAACCTGTAACATATCATGTGAAGCATGTTCAATTTTAAGAAAAGATTGTTATTTATTATTATTTAGTTACTTTCACAATGCTAATTGAATTGCTTCTATGTTTTAGATCATAATTATGGAAAAGAAAAAGCAAAGAGCCAGACTGAATGAGGAAGAGGAAGACTTCAAAACTCAAAGCATAAAAGACAGAGAGCTGTGTGGAAGAGGTGGAGGACTGATGGACAAGAGTAAAGAAAAGAAAACATGTAAAAGAAAGAGAGAGCATTTGTGTTTGCTGTGTGGGAAGAGCTTTAGTACAGCTGGCCATCTGAAGATACACCACATGATTCACACTGGAGAAAAACCTCACAAGTGCTCATACTGTGAGAAGAGTTTCATTCAGCCAGGAACCTTGAAAATCCATGAGCGAATTCACACTGGAGAAAAGTCGTATCACTGTACTCAGTGTGGTCACGATTTTATATCTGCATCAGTTCTAAAACTACACATGAGAGTTCACACAAATGAGAAGCCTTATGCGTGTCCATTCTGTGGAAAGACTTTTACACGGTTTGATCATTGTAAACGGCACCAGAAAACACACACAGACAACAGAAATCATGTGTGTTTGGAGTGTGGGATGAGCTTTAATAGAGCTGATTGTCTGAAGCAGCATCAACGAGTTCACACTGGAGAAAAACCGTACAAGTGCTCATATTGTGAGAGAAGTTTCAGTCAGTCTGGAAACTTGACGTTACATGAGCGAATTCACACTGGAGAGAGGCCATATTACTGTCCTCCATGTGACAGAGGATTTATAGATTGTAAAAGGCTTGACAATCACATCAAAAAACATCATAAGTCATCACGGTGAGGATGACAAATGCATTAATGTTTATTATTTAGTACAAATTTTACTTAATTCAGTAGATTTAGTACTAGGTGATTGGTTTTCATCATCTGTCAGGCTAAGTGTACTGATCTCAAATGAATATGTAGGTATTGGACATTGTTTACATTTGATGACTTGCTGTCAATACTAGTTTTGTATACCCTATGAAACAATAAAGACATTTAAATTGCATTTATGTTGTTTTTTGTATCTATTTTTACTATAAACGTATTTTTGTGCAAATTGGGACAAATCCTCTTCGAGCCATTGAGACACCTGTAGCCTAAATCTTTATTTTATGAGTTAAAGAGACTGGCATGCCTATAGTCAGATCTGTTTCCTTTTTAAAATATGAGAGAAGAGTATGTTTGACTATTGGTAATGAATCTAAAATTTCATAATTTTACCTTTGAGCTGCCTGACTTTAAATCTACAAGCTAATTTCCACCAATTATTTGTTTTGTTCATTTATTTTTCTTTGAAATGTTTTCTTAAACTAGCTATTTATAACTAAATATATCTAAAAGAACAAAGTCAGGAAGAAAATTGTTTGATATTTTAGTTTGTTTCCACCAATAAAAGTGTCTTTATCACTATAAAGTGCCTTTGAGACATTCACATTTTCAAAACAAAGTTTGAGATTTTTGATTTAACCCCATAGTTGTTGTATTAATTAGACCTTAGGCTGTAAGAAGTGAATTTGGTGAAGCTCCTGCACTTTTTTACAAATAATCTGCAAGCAGAAAAACAGGAAACACACCTCAAATTGTGTCAACCCTGTCATGGACAAATTCAAAGTAGTATAAGTATATTTTCATTGCAATGTGATTATAAAATGTATATTTTTAGAAAGGTAATGTGCCTCTTTACCAACCCCACTTTTTAGATTTATTTATCTAGATTTATTAATGATATAATGGACAAAACATTTACTTCCCAATAATATATGCAATTGTTGCACGTTCTTTTCCAGTTAAAACCCAAGATCTAAAATATTTTGTCAAACTTTCAGTCAATATTAACTGGCCCTTATTGGTTGTTTACGAAATCACACTAGATTTTTTGCTAAGGTGATAAATAACTTGTTTATTTTTTATTTAAAACAAGATGACAGGGTGAACATTGGCATGACAGGGTGGACAAAGGCTTTATTTAGTGAACATTTGAAAAACAAGAGGTACAACAAGAAATATTAAAGGGTTATTATAAAAAGGATTGTAAAAGTTTTCAAGAATTCAACTTCTGTTTTCACCAATACTGCAAACCACTGAGCCACCATGCTGCCTCTTCTGCTATCAATTAGGTTTTATCAATATGAAAATTAATGGGAAAATAAACATTTATTGTTCTTAAATTAAAGTAAATTTGCTAATGAATGTAAATCTTTACATTGTATTGGAGGAGTGAAGGGAATGTTGGAGGCAACTCAAGTTAAACACCTTAATAATATTTTGTTTTTGTCCAGGATAAAATAAATAATTAGATTACAGATGTTCTCATAAATGTAGAAATACGTAGGGCTGTCATTTAATTTATAACAATAAATGAGCTCTATTATATGGACTTTAAAAGGGTATCCTTTATATAGACTGAGACAGATTTTTTACATTTTAAAATATGTTACCCAATAGTTTTACTTAAGTAACCCTGCTGAAAAATCCAGCTTAAACCAGCCTAGGATCGTTGGCTGGTTTTAGTGGGGTTTTGGCCACTTCCAGGCTGGTTCCAGCCACTTCCAGCCTGGTTTTAGCTGGACAGACTGAGAAAATAAAAACAACATTAGCACTATTTGATTGCCTGTGAACAACGATGTACTTTGACAGTCATTAGCTGATGATTTCCCTATAGAGTCTGAAACTATATTATTAGGAAGAAAATCTGAATATAAAATCAACTTCACTCGAGTTAATTTCTGTCATGACTTACGTTACCAGCATTGTTTTTCATAGTCAATTTAGTATTATGTATAGGCTATACAATTCTAAGATAACTCAACATTTAAAAATAAATCAGGGATCGCATTTTGCCAGCTTTTCTTTCTTTATCGTTGTAGTTACCAATACATTATTTGTGTCTATCTGTATTCCGCTTTAGGCCATAGATACATTAGATGTCTCCTGCCCTTTTGTTGTCTATTGGACTGAATGGGTCAATAGCCGCCATGTTAGTACAGGGTAGCGCTCGGGACCAAGCTGCAGTGGAGGACTGTGGCCATCCAGAGCCAGAGATATACACATATATCTATGGTGGGGAGTTTTCCCGGTGGTCAGTATACGCAATTTTATTTTATTAATTACGAAAATTATCATTTTATATCACTTTGGATGAATGACCGCTGACAGAGTGTTGGTTTGTGCGCATGTAAATGTATTATCCTCCCTCCCGTTAGATTTGATCCAATCCGTGTCCTGAAACACAACCCCTCTCCTGCTTGACTAGTGCGGTTGAATGTCTTTATGGGAGCACTGTACAAATGTGGCGGCGCTATTGACGCATGCCCAGGGTCTGTATGCAAAATCTAGTGTATGACTTTAGGCAACAAATGTGTTTATAACGCCAACGCGTCTTCTCTGTCGCAAAAATCTACCGTATATCGCTTTGTAATGTCGCAGCGAGACACTCCTCTTTCCTGTGCGCTGCTACGAAACCATCAACATAACACAGATCGCACGCTGAAGCCGCGGCCATCTTACTCATGGCAAGCTGTTTATAACTCTTATAACTGGATTCAAGAAGAAAAAAATGCCCACCTCCTGTGTTGCCGTGGGATGTAAAAACCGCTACACGACTGCAAACAAGGCTCGGGGAATCACGTTTCACAAGTAAGACCGAAAAGTTAGATATATTTGGTCATTATTATAACATTTGTTGACATGTCAAGACCATCAGCAGCTGTAGTTGATATATTATATATTGATATAATATTGCAGTTTATTATTTAACAAAACATGTGAAGAGATTTTTATCTCTTTAGTTCGTCTATTTTGTTTCTATGTGTGTGTTTAATTATCTGTTTAGCATGGGCCATCTTTCAAAACAAAACAAAAAAGCTGTTGTTCAATAAGCTATGAAACACAATTTAAAAGGTGTAATAATAAGTAATATTCATAATAATTAATTTGTAATTTCTTAAATCTTTGCAAAAACAACAACAACCCCAAAACATAACAAAACCTTAAGAGAAGATTCTAACTACAAATACTATTAAAATCATTGCAAACCATTCATTAATTTTCCTTCAGCTTAGTCCCTTTATTTATTAGGGGTCACCACAGCGGAATGAACTGCCAACTATTCCAGCATATGTTTTACACAGTGGATGCCCTTCCAGCTGCAACCCAGTACTGGGAAATATCCATACACTGTCATTCACACACACTCATACACTACGGCCAATTTAGTTTATTTAACTCATCTGTAGCGTATGAGTTTGGACTGTGGGGAAAACCGGGGCACATAGAGGAAACCCACACCAACAGGGACAGAACATGCAAACTCCACAGAGAAATGCCAACTGATCCAACGGGGACTCGAACTAGCCACCTTTTTGCTGTGAGGCGACAGTGCTAACCACTGAGCCACCGTATCGCCCACATTTGAACTATTAAGATGTAATGTTTTCTCGTGTGTTTTGGGACATATTCCAGTAGTATGTAATGGTTTATGTATACCAGTTGAAACTTCATATTAAACACAAAATTATTTTCATTGTAGTCATTAAAACCGTTAGAACGTACGTGATGGTTTATGCTTTTCTTTTTAGCATGAATAGTTGTGCCTTATTAACTGTCACACTAAATTGCCTGTAATTGAGATATTCTCTATAGACCTTTTTCATGGCTGCTGCATGGAGGGCACCATAGCGACCAGCGTCTTCCGGTAGAATGCTAAAAACTTCCGTGTACAACTGGTAGTTTGCGCTCCGAAAATGGGTTTCAATGACGTTTTTAATGGATAACAGAGTGTTTTTGTGACACACAACTTAGAAATGTGTCTGTTAAAGCTGTTATAATCTGTCACATGTGGTTCAAGCTAGGGTTGTAACAATATACCGGTATGACGGTCTACCACGATTTGAACGTGCACGATTATCATACCATGAACAATTGCATATCAACGGTTTTAACCCTTAAAGACCGTTAAGGCTAAAAATAAGTATTGCTCTTTAATGTTTAATAACTTTTGATCCGCTGATCCAATTTATACAATTCAAAGATTGGCATAATGAAGAGAATCTCAGCTTTCCAGTGCTGTATCACATAACATTCACGGACTTTCAGAGGCTCCGGAATCAGTGCGGTTACGTCATCAAAATTTGACAACGCTGATTTGACAAAGAAACGCTCGTCACTGTGTCTCCGGACAAACCAGATATGATACATTGATGCATTATCCCTCCTCCATGCCCAGATTGGTTCAAACTCGCTATATCACAACCAATAAGCATAGGTTTCGCTTTTGTGGACCAACACTGAGCTTTTTGAACAACACGGAATGAGAGATAGGCATACATTTATGCGCGGCTAAGTAAAACGCAAAAAAAAAAGTTTTGCATGAAATAATTCTCATACTAAGTACTTTTGCATGCACAGCAGCACAGAAACATGACAAAACAGTGACACAGCAAAGACGAACTGCTGCTCTTGCTGTTTTCAAAAGACGCAAATGACGGTGCAGCTGTTTGTCTGCATTGCAGACAACCATATCCAAATCCATATCCACAGACAACCATATCCATGCTGGCACATAAAACCTAAGGATGTTCCATATTGAATCTAGTTTCGTTTTGTAACTATTTATAGTATAGTAAATATTTATATCTATTTTTACTGAGGATTTGCACCATGTTTATTTGGCCTTTATTTGGACTTTGACACATTATTTATTATTTTCTTATTTTTTTATTTGTTCATTGTAAGTGGTGTTGTTTATAGTAACTGAAAATATATTATTTGGAAAAAGTCAAATTTGCTTCACTGTTCTATTATTTTGTAACATTTGTAATCGTATACCGCGAAACCGTCAAACCGTGGTATTGTTTTAGACGATTATCATACCGTAAAAAATTCATACCGTTACAACCCTAGTTCAAGCGCATCAGAAATACGAGAAAAACGTTCTAGTTCACGTGTCTGCCGTCAGAAATACAGTGTGTGTGTGCGTTACCGGCCTGTCAGCTGTTAGCTCAGCTGCTCTTTAACACACACACACGCACACAGAGAGAGAGCAAACCAGAGTACTGGCATGAGACTTAACAGGTGAAAGTCGTGCAATTTACAAAAATGAGCAATAAAAGTCTGCTATTGATACTCTGCTGGCTGATTTGCTGTTCATTCTAATCGTGAGCCTTTGTGTTTAATTTCGTGTGTTGTTTTTACCACGGTTTGTGTTTTTCTGTCATTTCGAAATGACACTAGCCTATATTTTCACTTTGTCACAGTTATTAAATCAGTGTGTCAGTGGCACCTTACAGGCTACATGTGTGTGTCAAACATTTTGGTGATTTACATTTGTTTGGGCTGGTTATATATTTGAAATACAGAGAAAATATTGACTTTAGCGAGGACGAGGCTTCATTTAAACTGCAGAAGATGCCGTCTGACAACGAGGGGAAAATGCCTCACAGCAGCTGTTTTCCATCCTATTAGATCGCATTTCTTTAAATGATCAGTCCAGGAGATGCTGCTGATGGACAACAGTATTAGTTCAAAGAGGATAAAAGCAGGTAAAATAGATTAAAACTATCGTTTCAAAGCTGATCAAATGTGACTGTTTACATGCATCAGCTGCCGACCGGAAGTTCTTCGCATTCTCCTTGCGCATACACGCAAAGCATAATGGGTAATTTTGCGTTCCAAGAAAAAGGTCTATAGGTTTAAAACAACCCTAATCACTCCAACCCTAATCATGTAACAGCTGATCCGAATAATTGAGGCGTCTATCTAGATTGGTTGGATCAGCTGTGTTTGATCAGGGTTGGAGCAAAACTTTGCAGAGCTGCGGCTCTCCAGGAATCCAGTTTGAGACCTATGATCTGTATTCTTCTCTAATGTTCTCACCTGTTGTAGGTTTCCTAAAAACATCGAGTCGAGGAAGCAGTGGGAATTAGCCGTAAAAAGAGGAGTTTCTGCAAGTAGGTACTCGGTGCTGTGCAGTGAACACTTCAGGCCGGAGGACTTTGACAGGACGGGTCAGACTGTGAGGATTCGGGATGGAGTTAAACCATCCATTTTCAACTTCCCAGCTAATCTACAAAAGGTAGGTTTATCGTCACTGGATTAAAATGATGTGATGAATGCGTCTCAGTCAGGTAACCTGTTCAGTAGTCCGTCTCAATTGTAGTCCGTCTCAATTGCTAAATTTTCTATCGCACTAAAACATATTGTCCCACAATGCATAGTGTAAATATTGGAAGCATCTATGCTAGGTTAGTTTTTAACAGCAGATGGTGCTTTAACTAGATTTTAACAGCAGATGGTGCTGTAGGCTTGTTCTTAACACCAAACTGGATCTAGACAAGATCAAATCAGCAGAAGGTGATATATAGGCTAGTTTCTAACATCAAACGCCGTTCTAAGCTAGTTTTTAATGAAAAACACAGCTCTAGGCTACTTGTTACTGCAAACTGGATCTAGGCTAGCTTATAACAGCAGAAGTCAATCTATAGACTAGTTTTTAACAGCAGATGCTGCTCTAGGCTAGTTTTTAACACCAGATGGCGCTCTAGGCTAGTTTTTAACAGCAGATGCTGCTCTAGGCTTCTTTTTACAACCAGATGATGCTCTAGGCTAGTTTTTAACAGCAGATGATGCTCTAGACTAGTTTTTAACAGCAGATGATGCTCTAGACTAGTTTTTAACAGCAGATGATGCTCTAGACTAGTTTTTAACAGCAGATGATGCTCTAGACTAGTTTATAATAGTAGACGGTGCTCTAGGCTAGTTGTTCACCGCAGAAGGTGATCTAAATGCTAGTTTTTAACATCAAACACCGTTTTTGGCTCGTTTTTAATACAAGACACAGCTCTAGTTTAGTTTTTAACTGCAGACTGGATCTAGGCTAGTTTATAACAGCAGAAGTCAATCTATAGGCTAGTTTTTAACAACAGATTGCTCTATAGGCTAGTTTTTTACAGCAAATGCTGTGCTACATAGGCTTGTTTTTAACAAAAAACGCTGTTCTAGGCTACGTTTTACCACCAGATGACGCTCTAGACTAGTTTTAACGGCAGATGGTGTTCTAGGCCAGATTATAACCGTAGATGGGGCTCTAGGCTAGTTTTTAACAGCACTTTAGGTTAGTTTTTTTACAGCAGAAGGTGATCTAAGAGCTAGTTTTTGACAGCAGAAGGTGATCTATAAGCTAGTTTTTAACAGCAAAAGGCTCTCTAGGCTAGTTTATAACAGCAGACGGCGATGCATTATGAAAATCTCAGAATTGATGCAGAATGGATATCTGTACACTATACCTGATACATAGATTCACAAGCTCTGGAGCTGATTGAGATACGCCTGATAATTTGTTATTACAATATGACATTTTTATTTGTATTTCCAGGCTAGAAAGTCTTTTACAACCAGCACAACACAAAACTGGATAAAAGCTGAAGGGAGATCATCAGTGGACTGTTCTCAGGATTCACAGGGCACTAAACCTTCACTACCCGACACTGTGAGTATTAGAGATGACGAGGCTAAACTGTCGATCTTCAGTTTCTCTGCTCATCTGCCAATAGTAGGTTTATCATCACTGAATTAAAATGTGTACTATAAAATGCAGTGGTGCAACTAATCTATGTACAAGTCTGAGTATCTGTGCACTAAGTATATGTTGGAGGAACAGTTAATCAAAATGAAGTATAAAGAAATGTTTGATATGTTGTAAATAAATTGTGGCTTATTTATATTTTAAATTCTAGGTTAAACAGACTGTGGTACCAAGGACGACACATACCTCAATTAAAGCAGAAAAGATCATGTTAGTAGACTGTTCACTGGATTTCCAGAAGACCGACACTTCGCTTCCTAACACTGTGAGTATTAGAGAGGGATTAAAGGGCACCTATGATGAAAATCAACTTTTGGTTGGACAGAACTGTGTGTGGGTATAGTGTCCACAGTCATGTTGGAGTGATAGAAACACAATAAGTCTCTTTTTAAAATTTCCTGATGTTAAAAAAGGGTCCAAATCCCAGTGATTTTGAGGCGCACTGCAACTGTCACGATTACCAGCGATCATTTCCCATAAGATCGCTGGTTTGCACCTACAAATACCATGGACTTCAAATCTGCCATTTTTGGACTACATATTCATACATGCACTCCGGTCACACTCACACATGCTCCTTATCTAGACTGATTACATTCACACCACCTGAGGATTGTCAGAGACTGAGTAACACACACTATTTAAGCCACACATTCACCCCTTCAGTGGGCCGAGTCTTGTTATCTGTCACAGTAGCATTACAACACGTTTCCCAGTCTTGTTATCTACCGACCGTTAGCCTTTGTCTTTGCCTGCCTTTCTGACCTCTTGCCTTTATTCGACTGTGATTCTGGATTGTCCTCACACACCTGTTTGCACCTGTGTTGACCACCGCTTGCCTGACTGTGAATAAACCTGCGTATTGGATCTTACCTCAGTTGTTGGTGTTACTCCCTGTGGTTACAGAAACGTGACGTAGGAGTGTGTTTTCCCCGCCCACCAAATTATTTGACAGGCGCTGTGTTTCTGTAATTTCCTATATGCACATGTAAACAGAACATTTTTTGCAAAGAAACTGGGATTAAAAGATCTTTTCCAACTCTGTTATTTTAATAAGTTTTAAAAGTTAAAAATAATTATTATATATATATATTTTTTTTTCATTTTTCAAGTTCAGAACAAAAAAAAAATTCAAGGGAATATAAAAACAAAAAAGACACATTACAAGTGTCAAAGATTACAATCTTATTTACATTCGTATTTATGGTTAACAAAACGTTGCTATTTAAAACTTTGTTAAGGGTTACTTACAGGCTCCAGATAAATAAAAATAAAAGCGCCACAATAAAATTAAAACATTACATTTCTTCTCAACCATTTACCCAGGTATGCAGAAATGTTATAGGCTTGCTGTCTCAAGGAAAGTGTCAGTACTTCCATATCATACACCTTTCTTACCATATCATGCCATTCACCTAGGAGGATCTTCCTTGAGCCATTTCTTTATAATGGCCTTTCTGCTAGTTGTTAGTAGCAACCAACTAAATAGTGACTTTTTAATTAAATAGCAACTTTACATTTGAATTTACAGGCTAGAAAGCCTGTGCTAACCAGGACAACACACACTTCAAGGAAAGCTGAAGAGAAATCATCAGTCGATTGTTCTCAGGATTTCCAAGAGACTAATCTTCCACTGCCTGAAATTGTGAGTATCATGGCACTTTTCTGCAGTTTAGCACCACTTAATCATGGGTCACCACAGTGGAGTGAACCGCCAGCTATTCCAGTTTATGTTTTATGGAGTGGATACCCTTCTAGCCGCAACCCAGGTCTGGGAAATTCTGGGAAATCACATTCACACAAGTACTCATACACTACGGCCGATTTAGTTCATTAATTCAGCTATAGCGCATGTGTTTGGACTTTGGGGGAAACCAGAGCACCCGGAGAAAAACCCACGCCAACATGGGGAGAACATGCAAACTCCACATAGAAATGCCAACTGACTCAGTCGGTACTCAAACCAGCGACCTTCTTGCTGTGAGGGCACAGTGTTAACTACTGTTGGCGCTTTATGCTAGTATTTAACAACAGATGGTGCTTTACGCTAGTTTTTAGCAACAGATAGCAGTTCACACTAGTATTTAACAACAGATGATGCTCTAGGCTATTTTTTAACCATGCACTGAAATGCTAATGAGGAATAGCGCTTGTGCATTCAACCAAATGATATATATTGGCCTTTATTTCATGAGATTTATGTAAACACCATGAATTCTTTTGCAATTGCTTAAACCTTTCTTAACTTTTTATTAATGATCATTTTAGGTTCAAGTGGTATTTGTAAGGAATTAGATGCAAGCTGAGCATGGCTGTTTGTAAAGCACACTGCGCCATCTGCTGCTGAAAAACTAATCTCAGATTTAATTCAGGAGAGAATAGCGATGCATTTTGAACATCGCAGAATCGATATCTTGAATGGTTTTCGTCACAGCTCTTAAACTACATTGATCATCTACAGTCTTGGTATATCATCATTGGATGTAATGGATTTTAAAACTTGTAATTAAATTGTAACTGTTTTAATTTTCTTTTAGCCTGTGGCAGCCTCCAAAACAGCTGAGGAGAGATTGTCAGAGGACATTTCTCAGGAGGACACTGAACCTCTGCTGCTTAACACTGTGAGTATTTGTACTGACAGGAGGGCTATATACACCTAAAAGTGGCCAAGAACCACCCCTGATATAAACATTACTCAAACCTTGGACTGTACAATATATTGAAAAAGCAATATTCATACCGCAGAGAAGTGCAATAAATGAATTTTATGTGCCAAGCATTTGAGTGCTGCATATGCTGTTTATTCAAATCTGACCAATCAGATGGGGCCTTTACTATCCTTATCCCCCAAAAAATAAACAATAAATGAAAATAAACACTAATGCATGGAGACAAGTAAGAAAAATCAGACGAATCAGAATTTCCACAGAGATTTTTAGTCCTTTTTGGGTGTTTTAACATCTATATTTTTCCATTGTGATGTAATTTTTAGATTCAAATAGGCTAAGTTGACTTGCAGGATTCCCGAGGCAGCTGATGGGTATCGACCGGCCAAGCGTGCTGCAGCCCGGGCGGTTGCGAAAGCAAAAACTCAGCTTAGGAAGAGTTCAGGGAGACCATGGAGGAAGACAGTCGGCCCCAAAGAGATTCTGGCAAACTGTCCGGCACCTCAGAAAAAGGAAAGCAGCTCCACATAAACACTGTTTACAGCGGAGGTGGGGAGCTGTTGACCTCGACTAGGGATGTGGTCAGATGGTGGAAGGGATACTTTGAGGCTTTCCTTAACTCCACCGACATGTGTTTTATTGAGGAAGCAGAGACTGAGGTTGCTGGGGTGGACTGAGGTAGTTTGCAAGCTCCGCAGTGGGAAAGCAGGGGGGGGGGGGGGTGGAGGAGATTCACCCTGTCTATCTTAGGTCTCTGGATGTTGTGGATCTGTTTTGGCTGACACGTCTCTACAATATTGCATGGAGGTCGGGGACAGTACCTCTGGACTGGGCAACCGGAGTGGTGGTTTCCATTTTTAAGAAGGGGGACCAGAGGGTGTGCTCCAACTATAGGGAGATCACACTCATCAGCCTTCAAGGGAAAGTCTATGCCGGGGTACTGGAGAGGAGGATCCGGCCGATGTTTGGACCTAGGATCTAGGAGGAACTTTGCTGTTTTCGTCCAGGCCGTGGTACACTGGACCAGCTCTATACCCTCACCAGGGTTCTTGAGGGTTCATAGGAGTATGCCCAACCAGTCCACATGTGTTTTGTGGACTTGGAGAAAGCATTCAACCGTGTCCCTCGTGGCATTCTGTTCAAGTATCTTGGGGTTTTGTTCACAAGTGTGGGAAGGATGGAACGTGAGATGGACAGGTGGACTGGCGCAGCATTAATGCAGTCGATGTACCGGTTCATTGTGGTAAGGAAGTAGCTGAGCCGAAAGGCTAAGCTCTGGATTTGCCGGTCAATCTACGTTCCTACTCTCACCTATGGTCATGAGCTTTGGGTCATGACCGAAAGGACAAGATTTTGGACACAAGGGGCCGAAATGAGTTTCCTTCGCAGGGTGGCAGGACGCACTCTTATAGACAGGGTAAGGAGTGAGGAGCTCTGTCACCTGGGAGGAGCTCGGAGTAGAGCCGATGCTCTTCCACATTGAGAGAATTCAGCTGATGTGGTTCCGCCATCTGTTTCCGATGCCTCCTGGACGCCTACCTAGGGAGGTGTTCAAAGCATGTCCCACAGAAAGGAGGACTCGAGGAAGACCCAGGAAATGCTGGAGGTACTATGTATCTTGGCAGGCCTGGGAACGCCTCGAGATCCCCCCCGGATGAGCTGGAGGAAGTGTCTCGGGAGAGGGAAGTCTGGGGTTCCTTCTGGACGCCTACCTAGGGAGGTGTGTTCCAAGCATGTCCCACAGAAAGGATGACTCGAGGAAGACCCAGGACATGCTGGAGGTACTATGTATCTTGGCAGGCCTGGGAACACCTCGAGATTCCCCCGGAGGAGCTGGAGGAAGTGTCTGGGGAGAGGGAAGTCTGGGGTTCTCTTCTAAGACTGCTGCCCCCGCGACCCAGCCTCGGAAAAGCAGGAGAAAAAGAATGAATGAATATATGAAAACATAAGAAATCTTCTTTGAAAGCATTAAAAATATTACTGAACCCAAACTTTCAACCAGTATGAACATAAATGTCAATATTTAAGATGATAAATGCACTGTGGGTTATCATAGCATACTATTTATTTAGTTATAACATAAGAAAAATAGTTCAACACTCAACAACCTCACATATTTTCTAAGTAACGTCTATCCCTACTCAAAACAATCACATCCTCCTCTCTTTCAGGACCACTCCTATGCATTACCTGGATCTCCCGATGATCTGAAAGTCAGACTCGGTGAAGTCTTGGCCCGAGTGGAGCGTCTGGAGCGAGAGATGAGGAATATGAAGGACCGAGAGCGCAGGGCGAAGAGGGCTGTGTATTATCTTCTACAGGATATGAAGGAGAAGAATACGAAGACCTGAAGAAGAAGCTCAGCATCTCTACTCTGGTGAAAGATCTGGCTAAAAGGTGGTGTGTGTCACAATGGATGAACGTGCCTACAGTATAACCTGTTAAAAGCTACCTTCAGAGGCTGCATAGCTGGCACAGAATATGTCTGATAATGTGCAGAGTAATCTGGAAATGGCGTTCAGGTTCAAGACGTACTGCACGCATCAGACAAGCTAACAGGTGTGCACGTCATTTATGATTGCCAGCAGATGAAGGTGTCTTTGAATGCACAGTCACAAATGTACACGTACTTTGTGCATATTCTAAGTAGGGATGCACCAATCCAATTTTTGGACTGGATATTGGATTTGATTGGGTATTGACCAGTGGTACATTCCCATTGTTAGCCAGCTAAGGTTGCAAGTTCTGTTGTCACAAACAGAGTTCAATGATTCTGCATTCCCCAAATCCATAATTCCAGTGAACATTTGCAAACAGAGTGCTAATCTTTTGTGGTTTAATCCAGGGGTCTGCAACCTAATTTGTAGTACACCCTGGTGATAATATTGGGTGGGGTGGAGATGTGTTTCGTTTTAGTTGGTAGGTGTCATCAGGTGTGTATGTGAGATTACATCAATGTCACAAATGCATGCAACAACAAACAAAAACAATATAATTAGTGCTGGGCAAAGAATAAAGCATCCAAAATAAAAGTTTGTCACATGATATATGTGTGTGTACTATATATGTTTATTATGTATATGTAATGCACACACATGCATAAAAACAAAACTCTGCAAAACATTTATGCATAGATATTTAAATTTATATATAGTTTGTATCTACAAATATATGCATGCATGTAGGTAATTTATATATACATAATAAATATACACAGTACACACACACACACATATATTAAACTTTTTATTTAGGATGTGATTCATTGCAATTATTCTTTGCCCTACACTTAAAATAATACGACTCACAATAACAGAGAGAGATGCTTGTTTCCCACTAAAGCCTGGTTTATACTTCTTCATCAAGTGACCGGCGTAACCCACGGCGCATGCAACACGCGTGGCTGTGCATTTATACTTCTTCTCTGTTGGTCTGCATTAACACTTCTGAAGCGCTAGTGGGCAGTGAGGTGTAAATGTTCCTCTGTGTTGAGTTTCTTCACTGCTTTTTTGCTTTTCCTGAACACTTCCGGGATGTACAAGTGGCTCAAACTCGCTCATTTTGAGGCAGGAACCGGCAGACGTGCAACAACTTTAACTATGAGGTAAAAACAAAACAAAAGTTTTCATCCGGAGCTCCTTCACGGTACTCCACACTTGTAAACAATCGCTCGGCTCTCGGTCCCGCCCAGACTCGTCAGCGCTACCAAGCTGACCAATCACAGAGCTGGCGCTACGTGTCGTTGCAACGTGTAGTTACAATTTTTGAGAGGTGCACGTCAGCGACGCCGACGGCCACAGCGAAGTATAAATCAGAAGTATAAATCAGCCTTTATGCTGTAGTAGCAGAATCTTAAAGACGGATTGTGGGCCATTTATATAGATACACCTAATAAAATGGGAATGGTTGGTGATATTAGCGTCCTGTTTGTGGCACATTAGTATATGTGAGGGGGCAAACTTTTCAAGATGGGTGGTGCCCATGGTGGCCATTTTGAAGTCGGCCATCTTGGATCCAACTTTTGTTTTTTTCAATAGGAAGAGGGTCATGTGACACATCAAACTTATTGGGAAATTCACAGGAAATACAATGATGTGCTTGGTTTTAACATAACTTTATTCTTTCATGAGTTATTTACAAGTTTCTGACCACTAAAATGTGTTCAATGTGCTGCCCATTGTGTTGGATTGTCAATGCAACGCTCTTCTCCCACTCTTCACACACTGACAGCAACACCGCAGGAGAAATGCCAGCATAGGCTTCCAGTATCCGTAGTTTCAGGTGCTGCACATCTTGTATCTTCACACTATAGACAATTGCCTTCAGATGACCCCAAAGATAAAAGTCTAAGGGGGTCAGATCGGGAGACCTTGGGGCCCACGACGACCAATCCACTTTTCAGGAAACTGTTCATCTAGGAATGCTCAGACCTGACACCCATAATGTGGTGGTGCACCATCTTGCTGGAAAAACTCAGGGAAAGTGCCAGTGTCAGTGCATAAAGAGGGAAACACATCATCATATAGCAATGTCAAATATCCAGTGGCCTTAAGGTTTCCATTGATAAGGAACAGCCCCACTATCTTTGTTGTCTATGTTAGAATCTGCTGCTTTTGTAAATATTTTGGTAATAACATTTTAAAATAAAATGTCACATTTGAGTGGCGCAGTAGGTAGTGCTGTTCCCTCACAGCAAGAAGATCGCTGGTTCGAACCTCGGCTCAGTTGGCGATTCTGTGTGGAGTTTGCATGTTCACGTGGGTTTCCTCCGGGTGCTGTACAGGTGAATTGGGTAGGCTAAATTGTCTGTAGTGTATGAGTGTGTGAGTGTATGTTCCCCAGACATGGGTTGTGGCTGGAAAGGCATGCGCTGCGTAAAAACGTGCTGGATAAGTTGGCGGTTCATTCCGCTGTGGCGACCCCGGATTAATACAGGGACTAAACCAACAAGAAAATGAATGAATGTCACATTTTGTCTGTCATTTCTTGTTTATATATGTACAACCAAAATGTACATATCAACTACTATAGTATTTTTCTTTTATAGTATTATAGTAATTTACTGTAGTATTTTTTCTTCTATAGTATTTTCATCTGCATGGGGGTGTTCAAGTATCTTACTCGGGACAATTTACAAACTCAAAAAGAGCTTGTCTAAAGAAATATCATCAGTTTTCCTGCTTATATAGTGATGGACTAATGCAGTAGACAACAGTCCTGCATAATCAGTGAATGGAGGCTTCTTATTTGGGTGAAACTCTGTTGTACGTCTGTGTAATAAGCTCACACGTCAGATTTCCACATGGACTAAAACATCCTTTCACAATATGAGCATTGTACGGTCTTTCTCCAGGAAATCATTGCATGAAGCTTCGGACAGTCAGCAAAACACACGCAATCTTACACTTTATTGTGTATTTTCCAACACAATCTCACAGCAATTCGTAACTTTTTGATTCAGTGGGTAATTCGTATGAATTCGTATTTAATTCGTACAATTTAGTACGATTTGCTCATCCCCCAATGATGGTTGGGTGCCACGCCTCCTTTTTAAAATCATACAATTTCGTACGATAGAACTCGTACGAATTAGCCACTAAACTAGCAAAGTGTAAAATACTTGCGTTTTCTCGTGAGATGAGGTATTTTCTGGTGCAGTTCACAATTTTACAGTCATGATAAGCTTCTCATGAAAAAACAAACACACGGCTCATTTCTGAATGATATGACTGTGATTTATTGAGATAACAAAAATAAAAAAAACAATAGTTTACCACACTGATCTGTGGTGCAGGCGTTTAATATCTAATGTCATTTGCATGATTAATATATTGCCGTTTTGGCTTTGTTTACTTCTGTTGCATTTACTTGTGATCACTGATAAGCTTTAAAAGATGATGTTTACGTTTGACATCATTTGCCAGACACTTTTATCCAACACAACTTTATAAATGTGACCCTGAAGAACAAAATGTAAAAAAAAATAAAACAAAAATTTAGATGTGAATGGCTATTGTGCTATTTTTTATATGCCAAATCATCATTACAAGACATTTTAAGATCATCTTCCATGAAGGTATTTTGTAAATTTCCTATTATATAAACATGTATTAGGGATGCTCCGATCAGCATTTTTGCAGCCGATACAGAGTACCGATTCCTTGTCATGGTGATAAACCGATACAGAGTGCCGATTCTGATGTTTCAAGCTTTTAAAGCACATTTTCCCACTAAATATGATACTCAAGCGGAGCTTTTCTTTTACCTAAAATAATAAATTAAGGTTGCTGTATATAATCACTCAAACATATCTCTTATATATATATATGTGCACATGCATCTTATAAACTCACAAACAAACACTTGTGGTTGGTTTATGGGATCGGGCAGGTACACGAGTACCAATCAAGTCATAAAATGTGATTATCGGCCAATACCAATCTTCAGCCGAAGAATTAGAGCATCCCTAATATAAAGTTGAAGTTGAATATTTATTCGCCCCTGTTTATTTTTTCCCCCAATTTCTGTTTAACGGTGAGCTGATTTCTTCAGTACATCTCTAAACATAAAGTGACATTTAAGGCTTAACTGGGTTAACTAGGCAGGTTAGGGTAATTAGGCAAGTTATTGTATAACGATGGTTTGTTCTGTAGACTATCGAAAAAATACATAGCTTAAAGGGGCTAATAATTAAAAATAAATTTAATAAAAATGGTGTTTAAAAAATTTAAAACTGCTTTTATTCTAGCTGAAATAAAACAAATAAGACTTTTTACAGAAGAAAAAATTATTATCGGACATACTGTGAAAATTTCCTTGCTCGGTTAAACATAATTTGGGAAATATTTTAAAAAAGGAAAAAAAATTCAAAGAGGGGCTAATAATTTAACTGTATATTATATACAACTTAATTTCTGATTATTGTTATGCATTAACAACTTAATTTGAGCAACTTTAAAGGTGATTTTCTAAACATTTAATTTAATTTTTCTGAACCCTCAGATTCCAGATGCACAAATAGTTTATATCAGTTGTTGAATGAATAATCAGCATTCATATTATGCATAAATCTCAATAATAATAATAATACAAACAACACCCTTATGACTGGTTTTGTGGTCCAGGGTCACATTTGTGAACAATAGATGTAATCAAAGCAGCAAAAATGTACAAAATAGTACAACAATTCCTACAGTAGTTAGTCTATATAGGTCTATAATAAATAACAATATCATATTCTAATGGTAAAAAAGGTAAAATTACGTGAATTAATTTAACATAGCACACAACCCACCCAGGCAGAATTCATGAAATACTTAATTTACACTTTAAGAGTGTAAAGTAGTACACTTTAGTAGTGTAAAGCAACTTTTAAAGGAACACTACACTTTTCATAGGAAACAGGCTCATTTTACAACTCTAGAGTTAAACATTATAATTCCTGAATCCATTCAGCTGGTTTTTGCGTCTGGCAGAAGCACTTTTAGCTTAGCATGGATCATTGAATCGGATTAGACCATTAGCATCTCAATCAAAAAAAAATAATAATCACGTTTTGATCCATTCACAATTTTAAGCTTGACTAATCTGTAGTTTAGAATGACACAATATACTCTCATATTAGAACTATACTCTCATTCTGGCATAAAATCAAGGCTCAATAGTATTATACAGCACATTGACATCTGCAAGAGATGATTCAGAACTATAATTAGGCACTGTGCAATATTATTGCACCTAGAAAATAGCGACTTTTCATTTTCTGTCAGTCCGAGTACATGATTAACTACAGACGAGTCAAGCTTTAAATAGGAAGTCTTTTCTGAAAATTCATTGAGATGCTAATGGTCTAATCCAATACAATGATCTATGCTAAGCTAAAAGCGTTCCCGCTAGACCTGGAAATGGTCTGGAAAGAATAAATAATGGTGAAACTGGTCAGTGATGTCGCTCACAAAAGTGTTTTGATCATTTTCCTATTTAAAGCTTGACTGTAGTTTCATCGTGTACTAAGACTGACAAAACATGAAAGGCTGCTATTTTCTTGGTCGAGATAGATTGGAACTATACTCTCATTCTGGCATAATAATCAGGAACTTTGTTGTCGAACCACGACTGTAGCAGACACAATGATTTAATATGCAGTGCATGAAAATCTTGACATTTGCGAAAGACGATTCAGAACTATTTTCAGGCGCTGCGCAATATTATTGCACCTAGAAAATAGCGACTTTTCATTTTCTGTCAGTCCGAGTACATGATTAACTACAGACGAGTCAAGCTTTAAATAGGAAGTCTTTTCTGAAAATTCATTGAGATGCTAATGGTCTAATCCAATACAATGATCTATGCTAAGCTAAAAGCGTTCCCGCTAGACCTGGAAATGGTCTGGAAAGAATAAATAATGGTGAAACTGGTCAGTGATGTCGCTCACAAAAGTGTTTTGATCATTTTCCTATTTAAAGCTTGACTGTAGTTTCATCGTGTACTAAGACTGACAAAACATGAAAGGCTGCTATTTTCTTGGTCGAGATAGATTGGAACTATACTCTCATTCTGGCATAATAATCAGGAACTTTGTTGTCGAACCACGACTGTAGCAGACACAATGATTTAATATGCAGTGCATGAAAATCTTGACATTTGCGAAAGACGATTCAGAACTATTTTCAGGCGCTGCGTAATATTATTGTGATTAGAAAATAGCAACTTTTAATTTTCCGTCAGTCTGAGTACACGATTAGCTACAGCAGAGTCAATCCTTAAATAGGAAAATTAACAAAGATATTTTTGAAAAATTTTCAGTGAGATGCTAATGGTCTAACTCGATTCAATGATCTATGCTATGCTAAGCTAAGCTAAGCTAAAAGTGTTCCCGCCAGAGCTGGAAATGGTCTGAAGAGATTCAATAATGGTGAAACTGGCTGTAGTAGGCACAATGATTTAATGCAGTGCATGAGAATCTTGACATTTCGTTCATTCATTTTCTTTTCGGCTTAGTCCCTTTATTAATCCGGGATCGCCACAGTGGAATAAACCACCAACTTATCCAGCAAATGTTTTACGCAGCAGATGCCCTTCCATCTGCAACCCATTTCTGGGTAAAATCTTGACATTTACAATAGACAATTCAGAGCTATTTTCAGGTGCTGTGTAATATTATTGTGCCTACAAAATAGCATCTCAACATTTTTCGTCAAACTTAGTACATGATGTAACCAAGGAAAAGTCAAGCTTTTTTAACATTTTCAGCGAGATGCTAATGGTCTAATCTGATTTAATGATCTATGCTAAGCTAAGCTAAAAGTGTTCCCGCCAGAGCTGGAAATGGTCTGAATGGATTAAAATAATGGTGAAACTGGTCAGTGATGTCACTCACAAAAGTGTTTTGATCATTTTCCTATTTAAAGCTCGAGTCTTCTATAGTTTCATTGAAAATAGCAACTTTTAATTTTCCGTCAGTCTGAGTACACGATTAACTACAGCAGATTTAATCCTTAAATAGGAAAATTAATGAAAATATTTTTGAAAGATTTTGAGTGAGATGCTAATGGTCTAATCCAATTCAATGATCTATGCTAAGCTAAGCTAAAAATGTTCCCGCCAGACCTGGAAATGTTCTGAAGGGGTTCAAAAACGGAGAAACTTTTCAGTAATCTCGCTCACTAAAGTGTCGTGATAATTTGTCTATTTAAAGCTTGACTCCTTTGTACTTGTTGTGTACTAAGACTGACAAAATAAATGCTGCCATATTCTGAATAATTCTAATATTAATGCGCCTAGAAAATAACAACTTTTCATTTTCCATCAGTCCGAGTACACGACTAACTACAGAAGACTCGAGCTTCAAATAGAAAAATTATTGAATTACTTTTTTTTTTTAATTGAGCAAAACGCTAATGGTCTAATCTGATTCAAGTATCTATGCTAAGCTAAGCTAAAAGTGCTCCCTAGACACATAAATCGGCTGAATGGATTACAAAATGGTATAAATCATCAGTTTAACTGAAGTGGAGTTGTAAAATGAGCCTATTTCCACAAAAAGCACAGCGTTCCTTGAAATATTTCTCGTTGTCTAAGCTTTTCTCTCAATGGAAAAACTTCTTCTTATGTTTATGAAGGCTTGTTGAATGTCTGAAACTCTCGCCGCACTGAGTGCAGTGATAGGGCATTTCTCCGGTGTGAACGCGCATGTGCACTTTCAGGTTTGCGTACTGAGCGAAACTCTTGTCGCAGCACGAGCACTTGTAGGGTTTTTCTCCAGTGTGAACCCTTTGGTGGAGTTTCAACAGGCTAATTCTAATGAAGCTCTTCCCACAATCGCAGCATACGTGCTCTCTCTCTTCATTATGCGTCTTCATGTGCAGCTTATAACTGTTCAGCCAGGAAAACGTCTTTTCACACACTGAACACACATAAGGCCTCGCGTCCGAGTGAGAGTTCAAGTGGCATTTCAGATGCGATGAGGAGTTGAACTTTTTACCGCAGTGCTCGCAATTAAAGGGCTTTTCCCCGGAGTGAGTGTGTTTGTGATAATGGAGACCGGATGCGTCTTTAAAACTCTTCCCGCATGGTATACAGTGGTACGGTTTCTCTCCGGTGTGCGCTCGCTCGTGCACTTTCAGGTGTCCGGATTGAGTGAAACTCTTCTCGCAGTGTGAACACTTGTAGGGTCTTTCCCCAGTGTGAATCCTTTGGTGCTGCTTCAGCAGAGCGACTCTAGTAAAACTCTTCCCACAATCGCAGCACACGTGTTCTCTCACATCGCTGTGCGTTTTCTGATGCAGTTTGCAGTTGCTGAGTCGTGAGAAGCTCTTTCCGCATGACGCACACACATAAGGCTTCTCACCTGAGTGCCCTTTCATGTGGTTTTTCAGAGTTGACGACGAGTTGAACTTTTTGCCACACTCGCTGCAGTCAAACGGCTTTTCTCCGGAGTGAACGCGCAGATGATAACTCAGACTTGACGCCACGGTGAAGCTCTTCCCGCACTGATGGCAGGAGTGCGGCTTCTCTCCGGTGTGGATTCGGGCGTGTATGCTCAGGTACGCCTTGTCTTTGAACCCCTTCCCGCACTGTGAGCAGGTGTGCAGCTGTTTGCCCGCTTCCTCTGAGGTTGTGATTGCGCAAAGTTCCTCCTTCACTTCATCCAGCTTAAGACTCTGCTGATCTTCCTCCCAGTCTAAAAAGGAAAAATTGGTTCAAATCGATTATGAGATTTTCAGAATGCATCTCTATTCTCTCTTGAATCGATTCTGAACTTTTAACAGCAGATGGCGCTCTAGGCTAGTTTTTAACAGCAGATGGCACTCAAGGCTAGTTTTTAACAGCAGATGGCGCTCTAGGCTAGTTTTTGACAGCAGATGGCGCTCTAGGCTAGTTTTTGACAGCAGATGGTGCTCTAGGCTAGTTTTTGACAGCAGATGTCGCTCTAGGTTAGTTTTAAACACCAGACGGTGTTCTAGGCAAGTTTTTAAACAGCAGATGGTGCTCTAGATTAGTTTTTAACAGCAGATGGCACTCTAGGCTAGTTTTTAACAACAGATGGCGCTCTAGGCTAGTTTTTTTAAATACCAGATGACGCTCTAGGCTAGTTTTTAAACAGCGAATGGTGCTCTAGATTAGTTTTAAACACCAGACGGTGTTCTAGGCAAGTTTTTAAACAGCAGATGGCACACTAGGTTAGTTAGTTTTTAAACACCAGATGGCGCTCTATGCTAGTTTTTAACAGCAGATGGTGCTCTAGGCTAGTTTTTGACAGCAGATGTCGCTCTAGGTTAGTTTTAAACACCAGACGGTGCTCTAGGCAAGTTTTTAAACAGCAGATGGTGCTCTAGATTAGTTTTTAAACGCCAAACGGCGCTCTATGCTAGTTTTTAACAGCAGATGGCACTCTAGGCTAGTTTTTAACAGCAGATGGCGCTCTAGGCTAGTTTTTTGAAACACCAGATGACGCTCTAGGCTAGTTTTTAAACAGCGAATGGCGCTCTAGATTAGTTTTAAACACCAGACGGTGTTCTAGGCAAATTTTTAAACAGCAGATGGCCCTCTAGATTAGTTTTTAAACGCCAGACGGCGCTTTATGCTAGTTTTGAACAGCAGATGGTGCTCTAGGCTAGTTTTTAACAGCAAATGGTGCTCTAGGCTAGTTTTTAAACACCAGACTGCGTTGTAGGCTAGTTTTTAACAGCAGATGGCGCACTAGGTTAGTTCGTTTTTAAACACCAGATGGCGCTCTAGGCTACTTTTTAACAGCAGATGGCGCTCTAGGCTAGTTTTTAACGGCAGATGGCGCTCTAGGCTAGTTTTTAACGGCAGATGGCGCTCTAGGCTAGTTTTTAACAGCAGATGGCACTCTAGGCTAGTTTTATAAAGCAAACAGTGCTCTAGCCTAGTTTTTAACAGCAGATGGTGCTCTAGGTTAGTTTTTAACAGCCAATGTCGCTTTAAGCTAGTTTTTAACAGCAGATGGTGCTCTAGGCTAGTTTTAAACAGCAGACAGTGCTCTAGGCTATTTTATAACACCAGATGGTGCTCTAGTCTAGTTTGTAACAGCAGATGTTTTGCTAGATAAGCTAGTTTTAAACAGCAAATGGCGCTCTAGGCTAGTTTTTAACACCAGACGGCATTCTAGACTAATTTTTAACAGCAGACGTAACAATAGGCTAATTTTTAACCGCAGATGACGCTTTCTTATTAATGAATCAAATTTTTTTCCACAGTTCTAAGGTTTAATAGCAAAAACCAAAAGAGGTTTTTTTTGCTGCTGAATATCAAGTTTCTTTAAAATACCAAGGATTAATTTGTAATTTCAAATAAAAGATTAGCTCACCCCAAAATGAAAATTTACTAGTTTATTATTCATTAGTACTTTATTCACCTTCAAACAGTTCTAAACCTTCATTAGTTTATATTTTTGTTGAAAAAAAAAATAAACCAGAAGCTATTGACCCTAATAAAAATTTAAATAAATAAAAAAAATAATAATTCTATGTTAGTCAATGGCTATCGGTTTCCAATGATTTTTAAAGTATATTTTTTGTGTTTTACAAAAAAAGCAACTAAAACAGGTTTTGATAATGTGAAGGGCGAGTAAATGATGACAGAATTTTGATATTTACCTAAATACAAATATGTTGATTGCATTATCTGTATTACTAAAACTGTACACCCACCTGTTTGTTCTTCAGGATCTTCTTGTTTTATTATGGATGATTCTGGGTCAAACAGGTCATCAATCTCTACTTTAATAATCTCCATCTTTACCATGGTGTGTTGCAGATTTCAGCTGTCAATCCTGGAGTTTGTTTTCTGCTGTAGGATGATGTAAATATCAACCACCTTTAGAACAAGTAAAAACAGAAACTCATCATTGGCATTGCCTAAACAAACAACCCAGTAATGTGTAGTGCTGCTAGGTTATACACCTTCACCCTATCTAACTATACCCTTCTATATCATAATTCCAATCAAAATGTATTACTTACTCACTTTTAAACACAAACAGTGATTAAAAAAAACACAATGTTAAAAGCCACTGCAGTTTGCTTTAAACTATCTCAAAATGCTCACACAGTAACAGCTATGGAGTCAATGTAGGGCCATATATAATTGCAAAATAAAAGAAAGTTTTGAAAACAAAAAATAAAGTATTAAGTATTTTATAGTATTAAAAAAAATGCTAATCTACGAAAATCGCGAAGCGAAAATTATTTTGAGAAATTAAAATCAGAATTGCAATTGACTGGACAGGCTTTGTAAAGGCAATGCTAGAATTTATTTTTGCAAATATATATATATATATATATATATATATATATATATATATATATATATATATATATATATATATATATATATAATTTCTTTGCTAATTTCTTTTTTCAAATTTCATTTTTGTGTCTCAAAAATAATTTTTGCTTTGCGATTTTTGTAGATTTACATTTATTTATTTTTTGCTTAATACTTAATTTTTTGTTGACAAAACTTTCTTTTATTTTGCAAGTATATATGGCCCTAGGTTGAATCCATATATAGTCCTTAAAGAACGCATACAAAAAGACAAATAATCACTCTATTGTGGTTCAATTCTGCAGCGACTCCACAAATCTCCTGTGTTTTGACCTGTGGTTTCTGGTCAACTATAATCCCAACTCAACGCTGCATATCTTGCGATGTGACCATTGCGGACACTTTGCCATATCAATGCTCAAACAATATATTGTGCAGCCCTAAACTGTAATTTAAAGTAAGTACATTATAAGTAACTGTAATTAAATTACTTGAGATTAATAGTAATGTAATCTAAATCACTACAGTAATCTAATCACAGTGACTATTTACTTTGTAACTAATTACACCCAACACTGATTACTGAGTACATGACAAAGCAAAGGGAATCTAACAGCATTCAGTTAAATTAATTGAATAGTTAAAATGTACAATAACACTACTGTACACAGTTTTTATCATTTAAATAATCCAATAAAATTAATCTTTATTAGTTACAAGAGGTTCAATGTCATGTGCGTTAATGCTTTAAACTATGTCAAAATGCTCACACAGTTACAGTCCTTAGAATTTCACTCTAATGTGGTTAAATTCTGCAGCGACTTTACAAATCTCCTGTGCTTTGAGCTGTGGTTTCTGGTCAACGATGTGACTATTGCAGACAGAATTGAGGTAAAGTTGTTTTTATATTCACACATTCGACTTTCTCCTTGATAATATAATTTAGAAGAAGTATTGTTCGCTAATTGTAAATAATGAATCATATTAGCAGCCAATGACTATCAAAGCATTGTTACAGTCAATTAAATAGTACTAATGTTGTTTTGAGGTCATTCTTGCATGCGATTATAGACCGAATATTCAAAGTATCAAAGTAAACAATATAGGGAGCGTGTCATTGAACGAATGTGTGAATATAAAACCGACTTTACCTCAAAACAGACACTTTGCCATACTGTACAGCCCTAAGCTATAATTTAAAGTATTTAAAGCAAGTACATTATAAGTAACTGTAATTAAATTACTTGCGATTAATAGTAATGTAATCTAAATCGCAAAAGTAATCTAAAAGTAATCTTATCACAGTAACTAGTTACTTAGTAACTATTTACACCAAACACTGATTATTGAGTACATGACGGAGCAAATAATTATTACTCAGTACTTAAATTAATAGTTACACGTTAACAATGACACCAAGATTAAAACTGAATGATGCTAAAAAAAAAAACAACGCATTAAAACTCAACGCATTTAAATTTATTTAGATAACTTATACTGGACGAACGCGTACACAATCCTGTACATACATCTCAAATAAAGAGCGATTGTTTTACTAATGCGATATATTAACAGAGCATGACAACAGCATATTGCTATAGAATAAAATGTTATTCGTCAAAATGTGAGTCATAATAATCATAATGAACAAAGGGCGATGTGCTCAACAGCGCGAGACATGCGAAAACAACGCTAAAAGCCGCTTGATTACATCATAATATGGGATACACAATCATATTAAACGTTTATCTTACTATTATGAATACCATAGGAAAGGGTTGACTTACATTTGTCCGTGTGTACAGACTTGAACGCGTTCAGGCTTCTCCACTGATTCTCTTCCTACACAGAGGAACTATGGAAACAACAACGGAAGACCAACCCGCTTCGTCATCACGTGATTCACGCAGACCTCGAATAGTTCCGGGAACCATTACTTTTTTATTTTTTTGATCAAACAGGGGTGTACAAAAAAGGAGTTATACATAAAACAGTATACAATGGAATTAACAACAAAAATTAATCGTGCACATTAAGTATTTTTTCCAGTAGTTGAGATGTCTTAATAGCTTTGGTATTTGTATAGCAGTGAGGGAATCATAAAAAAGTTTTAAATCAATGAAAAATAGTTTACAATTCGGTACAGTCAACATACATTTTGTTTTGTGGATGTGATACTTTCCAAATAAAATAAGAATTTTAGTTATTTTGTCCATTTCCTGTAATCCAGAGTTGCAATCCGTAAATAAAACCATTTGCTGCAGTTATACTGATAAATTTATAAAACACTTCAAAAAGTAGTAAATCTGAAAAATAAATGAAGAATTGTTTCCGGGAACCATTACTTTTCTTATTTTGAAACCATGTTGTTATGTCAAGGATCGGTACGATAGTTTTTTAATTATGTTAGTCAAATTCATATATTTTTAACAAACATTAGTAACAGGAGATGTAATTGCACTAATATTATGTGACGTAAATGAATAACTGCAATAAAAGATTAAAGATCAATACATGAAAGATTAACAAATAATTCAATAAAGAAAAAACAAAATAAAATAATAATCTAAAACATTAGCTAGAAGAGCCTCCGCTGTGTAATACATATGCTGAAATAGCTGGCGGTTCATTCCGCTGTGCTGACCCCTGATGAATAAAGAGATTAATTGCCAGACCAAATGCAAATAATGAGATATATATATATATATATGAGAATTTTTTATTAATTTCTAGACAGTCTTGGTATTTTTTAGCTTTGCTTTTAAACTGTCTAACTTTGGTCAATTGTTTTGGGTATCCTTTTTAGAAGCTTCTCACAATAGTTTGCAGGAATTTTAGCCCATTCCTCCTGACAGAATTGGTGTAACTTTGAATATAAGTATATAACAGCTTTGGATATAAGTATCCTGCTATAAATGTATAAGTCACGTTGAACCCATGAATTAAAGATAATTCTAGTTTTGTTAATTTTAGGTCAAAAATTCAGATTTTGATGAGATAGTTTGTCTTTTGTAAGGCAAATCCCCAGGTAGCTACTTCACACAATCTTTAACAGGTATGTTTTGTATAAGCGATTGCTGTGTATCATAGAGGCAAAAATAAAATCACACTTTGTAATATTTTAATAAGCCTGAGGCTTCAGAAAAAGATTGAATAACACAAAAGGCTTAAAGAAATTTGAGCTTGATCTTTAAGAAATAAAGTGGTATCGTCTGCAAGTTGAGAAATTTTTTATTTTTTGTCCAAAAAAGTGAGACCTTTCAAATTTAGATTTTGTAAGTTGGTAGATAACAGTTCAAGGGCTAAAGAAAAAGAAATGGGGAAATGGGGCAGCCTTTGGTGCACACCTCTATCCCAACTAAAACATTTAGTGGTTTGCAGATTGACCAAAACCGAAGAGTTAATGTCATTATAAAGCATTTTCATCACATTAAAAAAGTTATTCCCAAAACCATAAGCTCTGAGAGAATTACATAAAAAATAATGCTCTAATGAATCAAATGCTTTATAAAGGTCTAAAAACAAAATAATAGATTCTGAGTCAATGTTATCTGAGTAGTCAAAAAGATCGAGTGCTAGTCTTATATTAGAGCTAATATGTCTATTATTTTCGAAGGTTTTTTTATTATTATTTTTTTATGAAAATACAAAATCCAAATACAACAAAATGGGATTCAACTTTACAAATTGTGTATCACATATGGAAGGCTCAACACAAAATAATATACAGAAATACAAAAACTGTAAGTTACAAAAAACATTCGAGCTAAAATAAAATCAAGAGTGAAAAGAAAACATCAAAAGAAATCAATACAACATAGCGCTATTGCAAGTTATACGATACAAATAAAGTAAACATTTTTAAGGCAATTTTTGTTTTAATTTTAGCCAGGGCATCTGAAAATATTTTTTATAAAAGTATTTTTATAAATACAATGAGCAATAGAGGTGTTTTGAAATATCTGCATTTATGAATAAATATTTGGCTAATACAATGATCATATTTATCAAATCGTGCAAAACAGAGTGTAGCGCCACCTAGGTGTATTAAGTTTAAGATAGCGCTCCAGGTTCAATACACTAAACGCCTACAAATATGTTGAAGTAGGCCCCTCTGATATATTTCAATGACGTAATGTAAATAAGTCAGATGAGAATACAAATATTTGCTGTGTTTTAATAAATTACTAGAAATAAACTCTTTGAACAATAAAACTCTTAGATAAATCAGAAAATATAAATAATTTAATTAGAATAGAAATGTAAACATTGGGAAAAACCCCAGATGCAAAACAAAATACAAAATATAGAACTTATGCACAGCTAAAAGACAGCAAAATGACCCAAAGTCAAACCCAGCAATTTACAGTACAATGAAGAATATCAGTTAAACCAATATAGAAAAATACCACCTTTCTACACTCCAACAATCAAACCTACAAATCAACAAGTGACCAAGAGTGACTGAATATGTTTCTCTTTGAAAGTGGCCACAATTGTGTCACTAAATTACACACTGAATTAAACCTATATAAACTATTAGTATAAATCTATACAGTAAAACACGCAGCAGTATTTTATGCTCACTGCATCTCCATAAACAACTCAATACTCTGTGGGCCCACACACTCACACATTCATACACCCCCGTTGCAGGCCTGTATCGCTGCTAGTGTACGTTGTGGCCGGGAAAATGAAAATGGCCTCTTCACTCTCCTGAGCACAAATAAAATTAAACAAGATACCTCAGATGAAGATGACCTTGATCCAGATGACAGCAAACCAGATGCCAGCGATCCAGATGACAGCGATCCAGTTGACAGCGATCCAGATGCCAGCGATCCAGTTGACAGCGATCCAGATGACAGCGATCCAGTTGACAGCGATCCAGATAACAGCAATCCAAATGACAGCGATCCAGATGACAGCAATATATGACAGTTCTCCAAACTGACAACACTTGTGAACAACGGGCCAACGAGCCGCGATCGATCGGCGAACTTCTGCCGCGGGTCTTTCAAATCCTCACTTTCACTTTTCCTCCCCAGCTGATGAGAGGCAAATCTCACGTAGTATTCAGGTTATTTGTGGTGCTATTTGCTCCTCTTTGACTCTTTCATCCTTGTTTCATACTAATCTAACAGTCTCTTTTTTTCTCCTCCTTATTTTCAGTTTAACCGTCTCTCTCTCAGTTCAGCATTAGTCCTCCGTAACTGTCAGTTGACAATCTAGGCATTTAAAAAATGCTCACTCACTCTGAACTGACTAATAACTGACACTGGAAACTTATATGATGAAAACACACCGCGAACTTAAAACAAACACAAAACAAACTCAAAGTAATCAAAAAACATGTTGTTCACACGCAATATCTATTACTATCTCTTGTTTTTTATTCTCCGTGAATGTTACGCAATCATAACAGCCGCGACGCGAGTCTCCCCTTCAGTTTCCAAAACTGCCGGCTGTGTCTCCTCTCTCCCTTCTCTCTTCCCAACAGCCAATCACATTTCACACTCCACACCAGAGGGCGGGACTACACGCATATAAACCAATCATGTAGGAACACCTACCAAACTTGTTAACCCCATGTATTTCAGTGAAGGTTGATCAAACTTGCTATCTTATCATATTCTCAGAGATAGACGCTCATATATTACACATCAACATTAGGATGTATATTCACAAATGAATGCAAAACACATTTTAGATTTAATTCTGTTCTAGAACCAATATGAATAAATAAATAAATAAATAAATAGATAGACAATAAATAAATAAATAACCTTAAGATTACTTTAAAACTTAACTTCTAGAACTTCATTCTACTGGGTTACATGCTCCCCCTTCTAAACATCTCATGTCCTCATGAGATTACCTCATTAAACTTCAATAGTGATCTCAGGCTCAGCACAATTGCTTACTTGAACACAATGAGTACACCGTGCCATAGGGTGGCACCACACTGTATTACAAAACTTTGGTGAACTATCCCCACCTTGTACTTTTACAACCATTCCTCTGTGAACTAAGGTTAAAGACTTGTTAGTGGGTCTCCCCAGACAATCATAGCTCAATCGGTCTATAGGTCTTGTGTTTCTCTTAGGTCGCACATGAACATGCTCTACTACCTCTCTAGTAGTATTGGCTGTTCCAGGATCTCCCCCTTCTAGAGCAGGATCTTCAAGCTCCTCAGGAGTCTGCTCCAATACTGCTTCGTGGCCCTGGTCAGTGACTGATGTGTTATCCATCTCTGCAGCGGGTGTTTCCAATTCATCCTTATTGTAAACTGCTCCCTCATTTATTGAAGATTCCTCCTGTGTTACATACTTTTGAGTTTCATCGACCCTATTCGGGTAGTAATACCACAAGTCATCCTCTTCACTGTCTGAGTCATTTCTCAATCCACTTCCTGTCAAGTTCTAATTTATTTCCTTTAATCCTCTTCCATATTTTCTCCCCACAGATTCTGTCCTGATCTCTGTTGGAGCAGCTGTATTTTGAATTTTTCCTGAATCAGACAATCTCACATCATCCCCAACAGGTAAGAGATGGTCTCTGTGAAGAGTCCTCACACTTCCCATTCCAGATTCAGGTTTTAAACGATATACAGGTAAGTTATTCAGCTTTTCAACTATCAGGTAAGGAACAGAATTCCACTTGTCACCAAGTTTGTTCTTTCCAGTCATACCCAGATTTCTTGTCAGCACACGATCTCCTACAGCCAGTGTCTGATGTTTTATGTGCTTGTCATACAATCGTTTGTTTCTCTTTTGACTTTTCTGTGCAGTTTCAGTTGCCAACTGATATGCTTGTTGTAACTCTGACTTCATTCTTTCTACATATTGTCGATGGCTACCAGCTCCTTTTCCATCAGGTGAAGTTCCAAAACACACATCCACTGGCAGACGAGCCTCTCTTCCAAATAGAAGATAGTACGGGGAATATCCAGTTGCATCATTCTTAGTACAGTTGTAAGCGTGCACTAATCGGTTGATGTGCTGACTCCATCTGTGTTTCTCTGTAGGATTCAGAGTACCGAGCATGGACAGCAGTGTTCGGTTGAATCTTTCTGGCTGAGGATCTCCTTGTGGATGATAGGGTGACGTTCTGGATTTTCTTATACCAAGCATGTTAAGCATTTCTTTTATGAGACCACTCTCAAAGTCTCTTCCCTGATCTGAGTGGATTCGGGTGGGTAAGCCATAGTGAACAAAAAATTTGTCGCACAGTACTTTGGCCACAGTTAGTGCTTTCTGATCTTTAGTTACAAATGCTTGTGCGTAGCGAGTGAAGTGGTCGGTTACAACCAGAACATTGCTTAGACCTCTGGAGTCAGGCTCAATAGATAAAAAGTCAATACATACTAAGTCAAATGGCCCATTGCTGGTTAGGTGGTTCAGTGGGGCAGCCTTCTTAGGTACTGTTTTTCTTGTTACACATCGCCCACAATTCTTAACATACTGCTCCACATAGCGAGACATTCGGGGCCAATAGAATCGATCTCTCAGTAGTTCAGTTGTTCTCTCTACCCCCAAATGACCAGAGTCATCATGCAAGGAGCGCAGTACATGGGACCAATACCTTGAGGGTAAGACAAGCTGTATATTTTCCTTTCTGCAGGAACTGTTGGTAACTCTGTACAGAAGTTTATTCTCAATTTTCAACTTGGGTCCCTGCCGCCGTAACAGAGCAATTGAATCATCTGAACTCCTAGTATCAGTAAGTATTTGTCCAGACTCCAATTCTCGCTTCACTATACCAATTACAGGATCTTCATCTTGAGCCTTACTTAACTCCTCATGGCTCAACTGTTCCATAGGACTGAAACTCAATGAAGTGGGACAAGCAAATGCTTCTGGGATACTGTGAGGAGAGACACATAGATGATCCACTAGCCTGGAGGATGACTCATCACTTTCATTAATTCTTGCCAGCTGGCAAATAGCTTTTACTCCTGACTTTGAAATTTCCTTCCATTCTGTTGAGATAGCTGATTCAAAGGGGTAGCGTGACAATACATCAGCATCCGTGTTGTGACTCCCAGGCTTGTATTGTAAGCTAAAGTTGTATGTGGCTAAAGCAGCTAACCATCGGTGACCTGTTGCACTCAACTTGGCGCTGGACAGCACATAGGTAAGTGGATTGTTGTCTGTTTTCACCACAAACTGAGCACCATAAAGATAATCATGGAACTTGTCCACAACTGCCCATTTAAGCGCCAAGAACTCAAGCTGATGAATGGGGTAACGCTGCTCAGATGCACTCAGCTTTCGGCTTGCATAGGCTACTGGCCTAAGTCCACCAGGATGCTCCTGATTCAAAACAGCTCCCAGACCATTAAGGCTAGCATCCACATGAAGAACATAGGATTTGTTAGGGTCGGCGAAAGCAAGTACTGGGGCATGTGTGAGACAATAAATGATCTTGTGAAATGCTGCTGTACAGTTATCATCCCAACGCTCTCCAAAAGGCTCAGACGTTTTGTGATATTTTCTGACATCTGCTGTCTTTTTGTTTTGGCCAGATGTTGGTGGGTACCCTTTAGTGAGTTCTGTTAATGGCCTTACAATGGCTGAGTAGTCTTTTATGAATCATCGGTAAAATCCACAGAAACCAAGAAAGGATCTCAGTGATTTCAGATCAGTGGGCATTTTCCAGCGGGTTACCGCCTCAACTTTAGCTGGGTCTGGTGATACTCCAGCAGCTGACACAATGTGCCCCACATAACGTACTTGGGACTGACAAAACTGGCATTTATCAATTGAAACTTTGAGGCCACACTCTCTGAGTCGATCTAAAACTTTTAATAGTCTCTCTTCATGTTCTTCAAGAGTGCGCCCAAACACAATGATATCATCCAGATAGACTATTACTTGAAGGAGATGCATGTCACCAACAGCTTTTTCCATTAGCCGTTGAAATGTGGCTGGAGCTCCAGTAATCCCTTGAGGCATACGTTCAAACTGGAAAAATCCTAAAGGACAGATAAATGCTGTCTTTTCTTTGTCCTCCTCAGCCATAGCTATTTGATAATATCCACTGCGAAGATCTAGCACAGAAAACCACTTACTGCCAGCCAAACAGTCCAGAGCATCATCAATCCTGGGAGTAGTGTACTGATCGGGGATGGTGCGAGCATTTAGAGTTCTGTAGTCAATGCACATCCTAACTGCTCCACTCTTTTTCCTTGCAATTACAATGGGCGAAGCATACTGGCTTCTTGATTCTGTAATTATTCCAGCCTCTAAAAGTTCTTTGATATGGCGTCGCACATCCTCGATGTCTGCAGGAGCGATGCGTCTGGAGCGCTCTCTGAAAGGTTTGGTGTCTGTCAGTCTAATGTTATGTTCAACTCCTTGGGCTAATCCCACATCCCACTCATTGGTAGAAAAGACATCACTTCTGACTGCCAACTTCTGACGGAGTCGCATTTCCCATAACTCAGGAATGGATGACTCTTCAAATTTAAACAGGCTTGGGTCAATTACTTGAGAGCTTTTTTCCCCAGAACCAACAGTAAGTGTGTCAGTAAGGTACACATTGGCCATTATTGTACCCGATGGAATTGAAATGTCCTTTGAGGTTTCATTATGGACTAACACTTGCACAATGTTATCTTGAATGGTGGAAAAGGGAAGCACAAATGGAGTTATGAATGTACCAGCTGGAAGATTGTCCTCTTCAGGTGAGTCTACCACAAAAATTTCTTTTCTCAAGGGTTTTTCAGTCTCTATTTTACAGACAGCCAGTACTTCTCCTCTAGATGGAACTACACACTTTTCAGGTCCCATCCACCATACTTTCCCCTCAGGCTGGTCGATTAAGGTATTTTTACATGTCTGCTGATTGAGATGGATTTCAGGAAGGTTAGTATGAATTCTTAAAGCTTGTGCAGTGCTGGATGATTTTACATCATGACTGAGAGTAGCAAGGCGCTGGAAGAAACTGGCGTTTGTTCCAATAATGACTGGTAACTGGGAGGGCCCTTGAGGTTCAGGACATACGAGAGCCAAGATGGACAGCGGCTCCTTTACTCCACTGACTGAGAACGGGAAAGTGACATCCACTACTATATATCCCTTATAAGGATAACTGGACGAACTGAGGCCCCATATGGATAATCCAGTCAAGGGGTGAATCGGTACATAATTTAAATTCTTAGAGTACCAACTCTCAAACACTATTGTCACTTGTGATCCACTGTCTAACAGGGCTTGACATAAATGTCCATTAATTGTCACTTCTACTGTTGATGCTGGTCCAACTAGGCCTTTTGGAATACTGCTGGCTTTGTTTATGTCTGTCTGACTCTTTTTAGAGAAACAAACTTGGTTCTGGGTTTTTCTGCTTTCATTAGCCTCGGACTTAAAACTCTTAGCTTGCCGCAAAGAACGAATTAGCTTCTGGATTACTTGGTCTGAATTTTGTGGGGCTTGACATTTTGTCGCAATATGACCGTCTTGTCCACATTTGTAACAGAAATAATCATCTTTTGTTCTGGTTGACTTTCGGCTAAATAATGATGAAGTGGACTGTGATGGTTTTGGCCGTTGTTCTGTAACCTCTAGTGAGCCCTGAGAAGGACTGACACTCATAACTGCCAACTGTTGTTGTAAGTACTGAACTTGTTTCTTTAACTCTTGAACTTCTACATCTTATGTTTTTTCCATCTGGTTAGGTTTCTCTCTGGATTTAACCACCAAAGAAGAAGTAGAAACAGTTTTGGGCATGACTCCACATAAGTGTGCACGCAGCTCTTGAATCTCTCCTTTGAGTTCTTGAATGACAGATGTGCTTGTGGTTTCATCACAATACTGTATGGATTTGGCTTTAGCTGACATTCTGTGGCGAGAAGCTTCACTCTCTTCTGCCTCACGTATTTCCTTCAGCAGACTCAGGAAAGAAGGTGGGCATGCTGTACGTTCTCGAAGCCTCAACTGTAGCAACATGAGATCAGAATTCACTGCCCCTCGAATGAGTTGTTCTACTCGCACTTTATCGGCCATTCTGAAAGACAGGCCATTTCTTTCCACCACTTTTTTTAGAGCTTTGTCAATTCTCCTCAGAAACTCTGATAATGCCTCCCCTGCATTTTGACGCATAAGTCGAAACTTAAAATACAGATCTTCACCAGACTCTGAAGATCCAAAGGAACTCTCTAATGCTTCCACATACTCTAAAGCACCTGCTTCTGGATTTGAGAAACGAACAGCTCTCACTATTTCCATTGCTGGTCCTTTAAGGCTTTCCATGATTCTGCGTCGTTTTTCTTTTTCAGTACAGTCACACTCAGTTATCATGAGCCTTGCTTGATCTATCCAGTTATCCATGTTTTCCTCTCCAATTGGGGTTGGAACAATGGCTGAAAATGTCCGAAGTCGTCGGTATGCAGTTCCATCACTTGTTGGCTTTATGGTCTTTTCCAGTACTTCACCCATTGCACGTATAATTGATTCAGGAGAACTATCACCAGCACTGTGGGGTGTAATTAAAGCTTTTACGTCACTGAAAGTTTTCCCTTCCTCCATCAGGAACTTTGTCAACTTTTCAGAGAATCCTTCAGCATCTGTATTAGAGGCACTTTCACTTGGTTGAATCACGATAACTGACCAGGGCTCACTCTTTTCCCCCCTTGTCACTTCAGGAGGAATACGGGTGGAGTCAGTGGCTTGTCGGCACTCACATAGAACCATCATAGACTGGGCAGTAGGTCCTTCTCTTGTGTCCCTCACTCGAACCCTTCCCAGAGCATTGACAGTTTCCATTACATCTTCAATCTCTGCCACTTCTGTGTAAACAGGTACATTTAGCAGGATTAAAGCATGAGTAGAATCAATACTGGCTGCTTCACACCATTTTGTTAACTCTGCTTGAAGACTGGGGTCCTTTCTCAAAGCCATAGCGACAGTTTATGAACTTTTGAATAGAAGACAGTAGGTGCTTGGATTCAGATAATTTAACTTGTCTCTTCTTTCTTTATGAACTTATCATTGATGTATCAGAGGGAGATCCCGGACGAGCCCCCACTTTATGTAGCGCCACCTAGGTGTATTAAGTTTAAGATAGCGCTCCAGGTTCAATACACTAAACGCCTACAAATATGTTGAAGTAGGCCCCTCTGATATATTTCAATGACGTAATGTAAATAAGTCAGATGAGAATACAAATATTTGCTGTGTTTTAATAAATTACTAGAAATAAACTCTTTGAACAATAAAACTCTTAGATAAATCAGAAAATATAAATAATTTAATTAGAATAGAAATGTAAACATTGGGAAAAACCCCAGATGCAAAACAAAATACAAAATATAGAACTTATGCACAGCTAAAAGACAGCAAAATGACCCAAAGTCAAACCCAGCAATTTACAGTACAATGAAGAATATCAGTTAAACCAATATAGAAAAATACCACCTTTCTACACTCCAACAATCAAACCTACAAATCAACAAGTGACCAAGAGTGACTGAATATGTTTCTCTTTGAAAGTGGCCACAATTGTGTCACTAAATTACACACTGAATTAAACCTATATAAACTATTAGTATAAATCTATACAGTAAAACACGCAGCAGTATTTTATGCTCACTGCATCTCCATAAACAACTCAATACTCTGTGGGCCCACACACTCACACATTCATACACCCCCGTTGCAGGCCTGTATCGCTGCTAGTGTACGTTGTGGCCGGGAAAATGAAAATGGCCTCTTCACTCTCCTGAGCACAAATAAAATTAAACAAGATACCTCAGATGAAGATGACCTTGATCCAGATGACAGCAAACCAGATGCCAGCGATCCAGATGACAGCGATCCAGTTGACAGCGATCCAGATGCCAGCGATCCAGTTGACAGCGATCCAGATGACAGCGATCCAGTTGACAGCGATCCAGATGACAGCAATCCAAATGACAGCGATCCAGATGACAGCAATATATGACAGTTCTCCAAACTGACAACACTTGTGAACAACGGGCCAACGAGCCGCGATCGATCGGCGAACTTCTGCCGCGGGTCTTTCAAATCCTCACTTTCACTTTTCCTCCCCAGCTGATGAGAGGCAAATCTCACGTAGTATTCAGGTTATTTGTGGTGCTATTTGCTCCTCTTTGACTCTTTCATCCTTGTTTCATACTAATCTAACAGTCTCTTTTTTTCTCCTCCTTATTTTCAGTTTAACCGTCTCTCTCTCAGTTCAGCATTAGTCCTCCGTAACTGTCAGTTGACAATCTAGGCATTTAAAAAATGCTCACTCACTCTGAACTGACTAATAACTGACACTGGAAACCAATGACTGTAAAAAATATGGACGACGCGACAGCCCTTTTTCCCATTGAACGCCTTGAGGGCAAAACGCCTGCTTGACGGGCACAAACTGTCGCAAAAGACTGCTGAAATTGGAGCCAGACATGCGCAGAAGGATTGTCTGATGGAGCCAGAGGAGGAGCCGCGAAAATGAGCAGAGTCGAGCTTCCAATCAAACGCTTTATGTAAAATCAACTACGCCCCCCGAACTTCTCAGCATGCGTTTGCTGTCATATCAACACAAATGGATGTAATAACGTTAACAAATATGAGGGTTTTATATATTCAATCGCGCCAGCTCCAGGCCGCAGCGCATAACTTACTCGCGGCGTCGCGGGCTGATTCCGGCTCGCATGCGGCAGCGCCTGCTCGCTCGGCCGCCGCATCTGGCTCGATTGACTCGGACTGGAATCGGGCAGTGAGTCCAGGCATCCGGAGTAGGTCCAGCAGAGGTAACATTAGTCAGTCTGAGCTCTAAGAGATAAGTCTCCGGCAGGCGAGAATCTAGCCGGAACTGTGTTTTGCTATCTGGGTGGCTAGGCGTGTATCAGCAAACTAATAAAGCCCGAAAAAAGCCCTGAACTTAGCGAATAAACAGTGTTCCACCAGGATCATGTATGTCAGAAACTATAGTTTACTGCTGAACTCATTTTGTCATGGTAAAATAACACAGAAATCGAATAATAACATTTCAGTCTACTTCAGTCTCCTGCCGAAGCTCAGACGCCGCGCTTTGAGAAACTGTCAATCACAGCTGTCAATCACGATGACACGCCCAGCATTAAATTACTGCTAAAAACAAACTGTTTACAAAAATGAAGATCTGCACCTATTTCAGCACAATAACCAGTGCCTTAATCGACCAGAACTATCTTTCGGGACATTTTATTGCAAGTGTAATATTTTTTTTTATTTGGGCTCAAGTCTCCTTCATTAACACGGAGGAGGCGGGCTTTATGACTTGTCCTGCAGCCAGCCCCCAGGGGGCGATCTAACGGCCGAAACCTTCACTCGAACGTAGGCTTGCGGCACACTTGCTGGAAACTTATATGATGAAAACACACCGCGAACTTAAAACAAACACAAAACAAACTCAAAGTAATCAAAAAACATGTTGTTCACACGCAATATCTATTACTATCTCTTGTTTTTTATTCTCCGTGAATGTTACGCAATCATAACAGCCGCGACGCGAGTCTCCCCTTCAGTTTCCAAAACTGCCGGCTGTGTCTCCTCTCTCCCTTCTCTCTTCCCAACAGCCAATCACATTTCACACTCCACACCAGAGGGCGGGACTACACGCATATAAACCAATCATGTAGGAACACCTACCAAACTTGTTAACCCCATGTATTTCAGTGAAGGTTGATCAAACTTGCTATCTTATCATATTCTCAGAGATAGACGCTCATATATTACACATCAACATTAGGATGTATATTCACAAATGAATGCAAAACACATTTTAGATTTAATTCTGTTCTAGAACCAATATGAATAAATAAATAAATAAATAAATAGATAGACAATAAATAAATAAATAACCTTAAGATTACTTTAAAACTTAACTTCTAGAACTTCATTCTACTGGGTTACAAGAGCAATCTTTAGTAATTCCATATATAGTACATCTTGTAATGTAAAAGTCAATCCACATTCTTTATTATCAACCAGTCTTGTACTTTTTTCTAAAATGATTGAACGGCGCTGCAAGTAAAAAATATGTGTTCTGTGTCTTTAATTAAGAGTTTACATAAATGGCATGGTGATATTTCTACATTAAATTTCAGCTGTAAAAATCTATTAGAAGGATATATATCATTTAATATTTTCAATTGTACTTCTTTTGCCTTCAGGAGAATTGGAAATTTAAGATATGTCATTCTAAAATGTTTAACAGTATTTTTATCCACTGAATGAAATAACTTATTTCTAAATACTTAATAGGGGAAGCAAGATTGGATAATCATTTGTCTTAAATGTTTATTAGTGCAAAGTTTATAATCAAATTCAATCTCAACAATATATAATAAGGGAAGGACAGGAGTAATTTTCGAATAGGATGGGTAGCTTTTCATTAACATTTTTATACCTGTTTGCATTAGTTTCCTAATGGTTTCTTTTTTATTGAATACAAGAATAACAACATCACTGCATTGAAGAAAAATACAATAACAAAAAGAGAGAAGAGAGAAGGGGGGGGGGGATAAAAAATTACAAAGCCTCAATCATTGAGAAAAAAGATTATCATAAGCTTTAAGAAACTTATATTTTTATTATTACTAATAAGCTTAAGAGATTCAATATTGTTCAACAAGGAAAGTATTAAATATAGGTATGTAGGTTTTTAGGAACTTATTTTTGTGTATAAAGATTTTACAGTGTAACACAAAAAAATTTACAATAAGATCGAGAGCATAATTCTTAATTCTTATTGTAACAACCTCTTTGAGGATATTAAATGGTCGTATGTCTGGTCGCTCCCCCAGAATTTTTTTTAACAAATAAAATTAAAGAAATATCTTTTAAAATTATTCACAGGTTTTATCCCGTTAAACAATTTTTACAAAAATGTAAAAATGACATTGGCATCTCTTGCTCTTTCTGTGAAACCTCTTCTGAATCTGTTGCTCACTTGTTTCGGGAGTGTCCCTCTGTTAAATCTTTTTGGTCTAATGTAAACTCTCTAATTATCCAAAAGGTTTGTGGAGATTTTTCTTTAAGCTATAGACATATTATTTTGGGTTTTTATTTTAAAGGAAAATAATTCCTTAATTCAACTTTTTGCATAAATCTAATTTTATTTACTGCAATGTTTTTTTTTATACACAAATGCAAATATACTCATTGTAAGCCTATTTGTTTTTTTAAACGAGAACTAGCTCTTATTTAAAAAATCATCACAGACTCTCACAATAAGAAAGCTATTAAAACTTATAAAATATGTGCTTTATTTAATATTCTGCAATAATTTGTTTTATCTTTGGCTTGTGCCCTTATTTATTTTTTGTTTTGTTTTTTTTCTCTCTCTCGTTGTCTTTATTTTGATTTACCTATATTATGTTTGTTCTACATTTGTTACATTCCACTTTTTCAAAAAAGTAATATTTCTATTGATTGTACCATACTTTCAGTTTTGTATCTGTATTTGTTGTAAATTACTGTTATTATTGCAAAAAAAAAAAAAAAAAAAGCATGATGTTTCCTAAAGGTTTTTCATAAAGGTTTCCTAAAGGTTTTTCATATATATATATAGCATGCGTCAATAGCGCCGCCACATTGGTACAGTGCTCCCAGGACAAATGTCATTCAACCGCACTAGTCAAGTCAGTGTTATTACGTGAAGATGCAGGACTTTAGCGAGCAAAAAGAAAACAAAGCACAAAGGCAGAACATTTCATAGGTAATAATAAGTTTTTTTTTCTGTTTTTGTATGTTCTGAACTTTTGTGCTAATCAGGTAACGTTATTGATGATAACAGTGACTTTTACCATACGGCAAAGCAGCTCCAACTCGCTCCCACTCCGTCAGTATGAGAAGTGAAAGCAGGAGAGGAGATGTGTTTCAGGACATGATTAGATCAAATTTAACAGGGAGGGTGGATAGTACATTTCTGTACACACAAACACAAACTTTTTGTCAGGAATGCCCGTGCGGTCACTGACCCATCAATGTAGAAAAGTGATGTAAAATTATAATTTTCGTAATTAGAAAAAAAAATTACATACAACATCCAGGAAAACTCCCGATCATAGATATATGTGTACATGTGTATATCTCTGGCTTTGGATGGCCACGGGTCCTCCACTGTACCTTGGTCCTGCATTCATTTCAAAGGAGCGCTACCCTGTAGCAAGATGGCGGCGCTATTGACGCATTCCGTCCAATAGACAACAATAGGCCAGGCGACATCTAATGTATATATCTATGAAGGTTTTTAACGGGTTTTTGGGGCGGAACTGACGTGCCAGTGTGGAGACGGAAGACACGTGACACGATTGGGAGTGCTGTCATGTGATGGTTTCTGCGTTTGCAGCAAATCTCTTCACAGCCAAGAGGCAAACACAACCTCAAAAACGCTCCTGAGACGAATAAAAAACCCAAATTCAGGATACTGAACCCGCTGGGCGGCCATCATGGGGTGCTGTTTCAGCAGCGACAGCGAGACGACGGATCCGGTAACTCAAAACACTAATAATGCAGCTTAATGTAGCGTCTGTAGTCCTGCAACAACATTTACTAACGACACACTTTCAATACAGTTGTGTGTTTGTGATTCAAGAACAGCTCAATACTGAGTGTTTGTCAAAACTACAACAAACTTAATCCACTAACGCTACTTTATTTATGTATATTATATCATAAGCGCGTGTTTGTAATGAACTAAAGCTGGTGTTTCGGTGGAGTTTGTCTTAAATTGGGAGTTTTGTGTTGGATGTGGGTCTAATGTGTCAGATCTGACATGTGCTAATGCTAATGTTTGGGGAAATGTAGTGTTAGGGTTTCCACAATGATGGAAAAGTTAAATATATTAGTGGATTTTAGGCCTGGGAGTTTTTATAACAGTTGTACGAAAATATGAGGAGTATTTATGATTTTAGTGAGTGAAAAAGAAAAAAAATTAAGCCAATCGTGAAAAGGTTTATTAAATTAAAATGTGCAAATTTTGTTGGATTTACACTAAAAGTTAGTTTTATGCTGTCCAATGCTGAAAAATAACTTAAAATACCAATAATAATGCAGCTTAATGTAGCGTCTGTAGTCCTGCAACAACATTTACTGATGACTCACTTTTAATACAGTTGTGTGTTTATGATTCAAGAACAGCTCAATACTGAGTGTTTGTCAAAACTACAATAAACTTAATCCCCTTACTCTACTTTTTTTATGTATATTATATCATAAGCGTGTGTTTGTAATGAACTGAAGCTGGTGTTTCGGTGGAAATAGTCTTAAATTGAGAGTTTTGTGTTGGATTTGGGTCAAATGTGTCAGATCTGACATGTGCTAATGCTAATGTTTGGGGAAATGTAGTGTTAGGGTTTCCACAATGATGGAATAGTTAAATATATTAGTGCAGTAATTCTCAAACTTTTTTCATCAAGTACCACCTCGGAAAAGATTGTTCCTCCAAGTACCACCATAATGACCGGTATTGAAATACAGTAGCGTAGTAGGCCCAGTAAAACAGCTGCAGCTCTGCACAGTTTAATAACCTGGTAAATTAACTACTATTATTAAGAATATTTATTATTATAAGCCACTTTAAACATTATAAATAGTAACATTAAGACTGTACTCTGCTTATATGTAAACAAACAAACAAAAAAATTAATGTTAACGTTTAAATTAATGTGCTTTTAAAGGTTTAATAAAAATAGTAGGTTACTGTCCCTAAATAGAAAAAAACTGCTGTACTTAAATGTAAAGTCCTATTTATCAAAACTTGGAAATGTTGCTTGGACCTCATAAATAGGCTATATGTCATCATATTCATATTCAAACCATTTTTGATAAATTTTGAAATATATGTTGCTTGTACATGACATGTAGGATTCCTCTGCGTACCATTAGAAGGAAGCCTGCGTACCACTAGTGGTACACGTACCACAGTTTGAGAACCACTGTATTAGTGGATTTTAGGCCTGGGAGTTTTTATAATAGTTGTACGAAAATATGAGGAGTATTTCTGATTTTAGTGAGCTAAAAAAAAAAAATAAATTAAGCCAATCGTGAAAAGGTTTTTAAATTAAAATGTGCAAATTTTGTTGGATTTACACGAAGTTAGTTTTATGCTGTCCAATGCTGAAAAATAACTTAAAATACCAATAATAATGCAGCTTAATGTAGCGTCTGTAGTTCTGCAACAACATTTACTGATGACTCACTTTTGGTTTTAAATAATAAACTGAAGCCAAACGTGAAAATGTTTTAAATTAAAATGTCTAAATATTGTAGGATTTGCACTAAAAGTTGGTGTTATGCTGTCCAGTACAGACAAATACCCAAAACACTAATAATGCAGCTTAATGTAGCGTCTGTAGTCCTGCAACAACATTTACTTACGACACATTTTTTATACAGTTGTGTGTTTATGATTCAAGAACAGCTCAATACTGAGTGTTTGTCAAAACTGCGTCAAAATTATTCCAGTTACGCTACTTTATTTATGTATATTTGATCATCAACGTGTGTTTTTTTAATGAACTAAAGCTGGTGTTTCTGTGGGATTTGTCGTAAATTGTGTTGGATTTGGATCTAATGTGTCAGATCTGACATGTCCTAATGTTAATGTTTGGGGATATTTAGTATTAAGGGTTTTCTCAATGATGGAAAAGTTGAATGTATTAGTGGATTTTCAGGTCTGGGAGTATTTATAACAGTTGTACGAAAGTATGAGGAGTATTTATGATTTATTTTTATATTGGGATATCGCCCACTCTTTTTTTCTATTTTTATTTAATTTAATTATTTTTCCTGGTCATTGCGCCTTTGCTGTGTACTGTGTAAATGCAGACAATCGGATACGAGTCCCTTTTAAATAATGATGTAAGCCGGTCATCAAATAAATCAGATACAGTCACAAAATCGGAATTGACCATCAAGATCTGCAGCGTGAATGCAGCCTGTTAGCTTACATGAAAATAAAGTGGTCTTTCTGGGTGTTTGAACAAGATGTGTTGATGTTTTGGTCCTGCAGGATGGAGATGAGGTGAAGCCACTGATTCCTGACCCAAACCAAGAAAGAAAACCCACTAATGGCTCGGAGCGAAATGCAGACAATCTGCCGTCCAACCGCACAGACGAACAAGCCCTGCTCACGGTCATCCTGCAGCGGACGGCACTGTACGACACGCTGCTTTACTTTGACTACTTTTCTCTGGCTAACGAGTCCTCGATTATTCTTTAGTTTGGTCCCACTTTATATGGATTTCATTTCTTTGAATTACAATAAATTTTTCTTTGAATTTTAACTTGATTTTTTTTCAATTATTAGTCACTTTCTTTTGTAACTAGCTTTTTCTTTTGGTTGATTATAACTCACTTTTATTTATTATAACTTAATTTTCTTTAGATTATTATTCAATTTTATTTTGATTATAACTCTTTTTATTGGAAGATTATTATTTACTTTCTTTTATAACTCACTTTTCTTTAGATTATAGCTCAAATTTCTTTACAATAATTCACTTTCCTGTAATTCTGGTGTGGTTTTGCTCTTTGTTAGGAACATTATTGATGTGTCTGCAGTGGATTCTCAGGGCATGGAGCAGCATGAATACATGGATAGAGCCAGACAGTACAGGTGGGTTACAGCTCTGAAGCTGATTTGAAAACATTTGATCTTTAAATTGGTATCAAAGGTGCAGTAGGTGAATTGCCACAATGCTAACTGCTTAATATCTTTGAAACACAGTCCTCCCCCTGGCGTCCAAAGCCACTCCTCCTGAAACATGAACGCTCACCTTAATGATAACAGAAGACAACCCACTAGATCAGAAGTGTCCAAACTCTGTCCTGGAGGGCCGGTGTCCTGCATAGTTTAGTTCCAACTTCCTTCAACACACACTTTCTAGTATGTCTAGTAAGAGCTTGATTAGCTGGTTCAGGTGTGTTTAATTAGGGTTGGAACTAAACTTTGCAGGACACCGGCCCTCCAGGACCGAGTTTGGACACCCCTGCACTATATCATGTCATTCACTAGTTATAAAACTTCATAGTACTTTATAATACTACAGTTCTGAACTGTTATTTTTAGCAAGTTTTCAGTTGTGTAGCAAGCAGAACTTGTCATAATTGGAAATATTTTATGCATCCAAGGATTGGATTGCTGGTCTCACTCTCTCATGCGATTTGTCCTAAAGTCACTACTGTATGCTTAGTGGTTGGCCAGCGGGGTGCAGGAATTACACTTATTACCAAGCCATACTTACATGCTATTTCAGAGTGAATATTCAGAGTAGAGGTAAACATTATAGGGAAAAACTGAACCAATGTGAATATAAAACCAACTTTAGCACAGTAAAGCAGGCTAGGTGGGATAGAGCTATTTACTTCTGTTAAAAAATCTACATTATCGATGCTGTAAAAGGACCATATGAAACTGAAAATACTCAGATCAATCTTTCACCAGGAGATTTCAGTGGCTGATCAACACTTCTGTGCATATAACCCATTCAAACATCTGCATCAGCTCTGCGTGACTAAAAGAGTTTTAAAACAGAACAATACCTGTGTAAAAGAAACACTTCAGCTATGGTGTTATCCTTCCTCTAGCGTGCAAAAGTAACTCTAATATTAATTCAGCATTTTTAAAAAAGTTTTTGATTCAGCATTTGTTTTTACTTCTGTCTGTCTTGTGTGCACATAAATGCACGGCGCACGTAACAACAAAGGGCAGATCAGCGTGAACAGAGGTGTGCAGATGTACAAATCTACATTTGATGACACCGTTTGGGCTACTTATCAGAATTATGGGAATTGTCGGCCTGAAAAATTTTAATTTGATGAATTTTTTTTTAGTTTTATGCTTTACCCAGAATATGAGAATACATAAATACATTTAGATCATTTACTTTAATCAGTACTATTGGAATGTGAAAATACTTTTAACCAGCATGTTTCTGAACACAATCACCTACTGCACCTCTAAATGTTTTTTTTATTAATATTAATAACATTAACGTTTTATAATTTAATTTTAAATGAAATTTCATTGACACTCAAGCAGTAGTGCATGCTTCTAACAATACCAACATCATGGATTTATTTTTCGCCAAAAACGTTATGCTAGAAAAGATCAAATGTTAGCCTTTAACGCGTTGTAAAAATGTCTAAAAACCTGATATAATAAATCACATTAAGAATAAAACAATCAAAAACATTGCAGATCTGACATTCTGAGAAATTTGCAATTTTTTTGAGAATTTTTCGATAGCATTTCTTACAGTTCTTTGGGATCCAATTGTCCTAAAATGTTATATAAGATTGAGATCTCAATGCAGTGTGTGTATTTGAGCTGAATAATGTGTGTGTGTGTGTGTGTGTGTGTGTCTGTGTGTGCGTGTGTGTGTGTGTGTGTTACAGCACTAAGCTGGAGGTGTTGAGCAGGACACTGTCTCAGAAAAAGCCTGTTCCTCTGCCGTCACTGACCAGCCAACCGCACCAGGTGCTCGCCGCTGACCTGGTCCCACACGCAGACGTCCAGCAGGTCAGACTCGCAGCATTGCACACTTCATTAAACCTAGCGAAAAACAGGGAACTCCAACAACACTTGTAATAAAAGGAGAAAAATGTATGCAATAATGTAAATGCCAGTGTGTTTAAGCTTAAAAGCCTTCCTCAGGGCACAGAAACACATCGCATACAAACATAAATATGCATCTCTGTCCACATCAATTCAACACATAATCAAACAATACAAATAGGGCGTTTAGAGGTCATTTCTGGTTACTAATGTCAAAATTTACCGAAATTGAATGGTCTATCCTGGGAAAATTATGTCACATCCGTGCCTGTGTGAACACTTTTTTTTTATTAATGAATTTACCAGTAAATTCATTCGGGAAATTTTCTGGATATTTACCGGTATCACTAGGAACACACGGAATCTGCGTGCGCAGAATTCAGCAGATTTTCTGCAGATTTTTAGCCCATCATTAATTCTGTTTATTTATTTAAGTAAATGTGTAAATCTAAATTTATTCAGTCTTTTAATTAATTACAGTAATATTATTGATTAATATGGAAATGTTCATCTGATTTATGTACAACACAGTTTGTACAGTAATATTTTCTGTCTTTTAGTAGAGATATTATATAAGAAAATTGCTTTGTTTACCAAATGAAGTGGATCTAATTGGATTTGCATTTTAAACATTAAATAAAAGTTAAAAAGGTATTAGTTTTTATTACATTTAATAAGGTTTTAGTTATGATACTCCCAAAATAATTCCGCAGAAATCCGCAGACTTTTACCAAAATTCTCTGCAGAAGAAGCAGAAAACGTCTGCAGATTCCGTCTGGCCCTGCGTATCACTGTGTGAAAAGAGCTTATACATTAGCAGTCTCTGCTGCTCCTTCCTTTAATAACAGACGAATGGCGAATCCCACGTTGCAGCTTAGGTTATTGTATCAATCATCAGAAAAATGACAGGAACAAACTCCGCACACAGTTAGCTATACTGTGGTGGTGTTGTGAAAATGAACTTCAACCCTTTAGTCCCCACAGCCACCTATCTGGACACCTCTCAGTAATCGTCATCTTCTTGTCATCATCAATCCCATGGTCCCTCGCACTCCGCTTGTGTCTAAAGGGAAAGGCGCGTTCATGTTTTACCGGATCTGATAGTTCATATTTTTGGTATTGTTGTGTGTCAATGTCGATGCGAACAACCAAATCGAGTCGAATCTTTTAATAAAAAAATCCAATATTTTTAAATAAGGTGCCCTTTTAGATTTAACCCTCAAGGCTGATTTATACTTCTGCGTCAAACGTCGGCGTATGCTACGGCGCTGACACATAGCCCTTCGCCGTGGCCATCGTCGTCGCTGACGTGCACCTCTCAAAAAATGTAACTACACGTCGCAACGACTCGTAGCGTAAGCTCTGTGATTGGTCGGCTTGGTAGCGCTGACGAGTCTGGGCGGAACCGAGAGCAGCGCGAATGGCGCGAGCGATTGTTTACAAGTGTGGAGTCCCGTGAAGGAGCTCCGGATGGAAAGTTTTGTTTTGTGTTTACCTCATAGTTAAAGTTGTTGCACGTCTGCCGGTTCCTGCCTCAAAATGAGCGAGTTTGAGCCACTTGTACATCCCGGAAGTGTTCAGGAAAAGCAAAAAAGCAGGGAAGAAACTCGACACAGAGGAACATTTACACCTCACTGCCCACTAGCGTTTCGGAAGTGTTAATACAGACCAACAGAGACAGCGCGCAGAAGTATAAATGCACAGCCACGCGCGTTGCCTGCGCCGTGGGTTACGCCGGTCACTTGACGCAGAAGTATAAACCAGGCTTTAGCTGGATGTTCTCATTCAGTTAGAGCTGTGTTACACACTGCATGGAGGGTCATTTTCAAAAATGCACAATAGGAGCTCTTTAAAAGTCATTATAATGGAAGTCAACGGGAAAAAAAAAAGCCCCCAACTAACGAAAGGGGAGTCAATTTGCCCAGTGTATTGATTTTTGAAAAATTTCCCCAAAATGTGTGTCAAAATAAGATTCATCACCAAAAATCATACCATTTGCTGAAACGCATAGAAAGTTGTAAGCCTTAATATCACCCCAGAATGGATGAAAACGTCCCCAACAGCACACAAGGGTTAACAATAGTGTATATCAGTAATTAAAAATAAAAAAATTAGCCTGTGCTGTTTTTCTCTTTGACATCAGCTCATTTATTGGCTCTATCACTAAATATGATGCATGCTTTGTTTAATTTCTAACATTTCTGTCCTCCTCAGGTCTCGAAGATCGCTGCGTACGCCTATAGCGCCATCTCACAAATCAAAGTAGATGCCAAGGAAGAGCTCGTGGTGCAGTTTGCTATACCATGATCCATATAAAACGGACCCCTTTCCGCCCAAATCCTGTTTCTGTCTCTTCTTCTCACCCTTTCACTTTCCTTCCGAACGTCTGGAGATGCAGAGGCCCCTGCGTTTGTTCCTCTGAATGTCCTGCAGATTAATATAATTCACCCCGGGCAGAGCTGCTTAAGTAAATCCCACAATCTCAGAGATATTCGGTGGTGTTTTCAGGCGTGTTTGTGCATTAATCAAGCTCAAATGCAACATAAGCTGGCCTCTTGTGTCGGGCTGCGACTGTTGCTTTGTTTTCCTTCTGTTGGCTTTCGAATGTCCTGATTGGTTGTTAAACAGAGTAGCGCATCCAGACCTCTTCTACTTGAACTACTCGTGGATTGATTGGGATATACCTGGGTCATCTTAACTCACCGCTTTGTTTCCTGCACGTTGTTTATTGGTTCTGCTGTAGGATTTTGGATCCACTGGGGTTTAGATCAGTGTTTCTCAACCACATTCCTGGAGGACCACCAGCACTGCATATTTTGGATGTCTCCTTTGTCTGTCACTCCTATTGCTGGTCTTTTAGTGTAATGAGCTGATGATCTGCATCGTGTTTGGTTAAGCAGACATGGAAAATGTGCAGAGCTGGTGGCCCTCCAGAAACGTGGTTGAGAAACACTGGCTTAGAGTTCATCTTTCAGTCCAACAATGCGCTGTGGTTGTAGATTGGGTTGCGGATTATTCAGTTTACATATTACACACGTATATAATGATGCAGAAAACTCTATTTTTATTTTTAAGTCTTTATTTGGGTTTGTTTTGTGTGAACGATCTGCTTGATGTTCAGTCGTACGTATTTTTGACTGGTTTGGATTCGAGTCTGCTTGATATTCAGAGATTTGGGATTTCTTTGCAGTTTACATGTTGATAATTCATGTTTTTTTGTCGATCAGCATTTTTAATACAAGTTTATTTCCGACATGGGATAAAATTAAAAGCTTTTGCACATTTTTATCTCCTATTCTAGCTTTTTCCTGTAATTGTAAATCAGTGTTTGGTATTAAGAGTTAACATCATGCAATTCTGACTTTTCCCCCCGTCTTAGATTGGCTCATTTGTGTCTCACAACTTTGAGTTATAGAAGGTTTATATTTTATATTTAGTAACTAAGAAAATGTTAAACATGGAGAACGTTGAGGCTGTAAAGAATTCAGACCAATAATTTCTGCGATTTGCCATTTTATATCTTACAATTTAAGATTTAATTGTGCACTTATTTCTCTGGTTTGTGGGTTTATGTTGGAAATCTGAGTTAGTAATTGCAGTTTTAAGTTCACATCTTGCAATTCTGAGATTAAGATTAAACTATAAAAACAGATGAAGAGTTCAGATGCAAAAACTTCATAGTGCCATCTAAAACATTTTATCTGAAATGAGCATTTTATCTCACCGCCCTATGATTATTATCAGTTATTTCACTTTAAAAGTGATGAAAATAATCCTTTCCCTTAAAAGTGAAATTACTAACCCTACACGCAGGAGCCTGAGAAAAGAGCTCCGTTTAGAAGACAACTGAACTCTTCAGATGCAGTTCTGAAAGTATTGCAAGATAAAACTGTAGATTTCTGCCCTTTTTCCTGTTATAATTGACATTTATAGTTTGCATCTGATAAATTTGAAGTTAAAACCATTAGGAATTATTTTCTTGCAATTTTGAGGGATAAAAATCATAATCTAATCCAATGAATTTACAATACAGATGTGAGAAATATTAATAATAATAATAATTCAGGATTGAGAGAAACTCCTTTTTCTCACATTTGTTTTTCTTACACTTTTTTCTTAAGTTTTTCCTTTAAGGTTTAGTTTTTTTTCTAAACAAATTATGAGTATATCTTAGTTCTGAGAAAATTATGAGGCCTTTAAAAATAGATGTTTTTAATAGTGATCTATTTGTATAAACATGATCAATTTTCCACAGAATTGCAAGACATAAACTCTTTTCCAAGACTTGCCAGATGCAAAAGATTCAAAAACATCTAAATGCTGAGTGAAATGTTCTCCTAAAATGAATTTTTTTTTTCAGTAAAACCATACAGAGATAATTTCTTGAAAGTTTGAAGGATAAAAATTATAGTCTAATTCAATGAATTTACAAAACAGATGTGAGAAATATTAATAATAAAATTCTGGATTGAGAGAGAAACTTCTCACTTTTTCTTTTAACCTGTGAGTTTGTTGTAGTTCTATAAACAAATAATGAGTTTATATCTTGTATACAATACTGACAAAATTGAGAGCTTTAAAAGAGATGTTTCTCCTAATAGTGATATAGTTTATAAATTTGAGATGCAGTTGCGAGAAATAAAGTCATAGTTTGTATAAACATCAGCAATTTTTTTTCCTCAGAATTTCAAGACATAAACTCTTTTTTCAAGACTTGTCAGATGCAAAAGTCTCTAAATACCGAGTGAAATGTTCTCCTAAAATGAGCTTTTGTCTTTCTCAGCTTCCTATGTTCATTTTCTGTTATTTAACTTTAAAGGGAATGAAAAGAACTTATCCGTCACTGTAAAAGTAAAAATACTGAGCCTACACACAGGGGTAGGAGAAAAAAGTAAATTTTAGAAGGTAATTTCAAATGGCTTTAACATCTAAAGTGTTCATGTACGCTAGTATTAAGACACCCCTTCAAATGATGAGAAAGTCAGAGATGTTTGACCTAAAATCTAAATTAATGTCAAAATTGTGTTATAAAAAAGTTGCCTTTTTTATCCCATGGCGGAAATCATCCCGACTTCCATATTTTTGTTCCTCATTGCAGTTTATAAATATGACAGAACAAGTGACGAGCTGTGCCATGTCATATCAATAATTCAGACATTTTTCAATCCTACAAAGCGCCTCTACTATAGCGGAAGAGAAAGGGTCTTTCCTTAATCTGCACCTTTCCTATTAAACTCAAAACAGTCAGGACGGCGGTTAAACCAGGCCTATTTGAAGCACACAGCCTGTCTTATGGAGAAACACACACTGTGAAAAGTATCTGTTAATGAACAGTTTCTGTTTATTTACGGTTGTGAATTGCATCATGGGAGCTTGATCTCGGCTCTGTTGGCTTTTGATGTCGAAAATGCAACCCTACAGTTTACCAAAGTGACTTTTTAAGTAATAATATAATGTATAAGAAGTAATATATTTTGAAATAAGTCTGTAAAATAGCAGAAAATGAGCTGGCAGTCTAATACAAAGTGTTTATAGCATAATATACAACACCAACTCAGACAATATATCACTTTAAACTATTAAAAATGTCAATAAAAGTCACTTTTTAAGGTTAAAAGATGTCGCAAGAAATAATAATGCAATTCAAAAGCATAAATAAACAATAATAATCTGAATAAAATCACAAAACTGCTTATTTACGGATATTTTTGTCACTGTGTACTGTGTTTTGGACGTAGCTGTGTGCTTGAATGGTTGCGGTTGAATTTAGTAGTTTGTAAATGACGTTTCTGTGTCAAAGCCTTTAATGTACAGAGTGTAAAATGATCGAGGATGAATGATTGATTGATTGATTGATTAATACTGGTGTAGCGGGAAGTGTGAACAGCTCTACAGCGCCCCCTGGCTGTGTTATGCCTTAGTCGTAAGGCTTTGCGATCAGTAGCTTGTTTTTAGCTAATTAAACAGGGACACTTTTACCTTGCCTGTTCCACTTTTAACAATAAACACAATTAACTTAGTCTATGTTTGTTTTTGTTAGCTTTTTTTTTTTTTGTGGGTGTGCCGTTAAAACTGAATCAAATGGAAACAACAGCAGTTTGAAATGCCGCACGGTGTGTTTGTGTAATTATTTATTTTTGATTTTATGTATTTATGCTAGAGCTCACAGGCAGTGTGGCACAATTGGCTCTCCGGATCAACAAAGGCACATTATTCTCTTACTTTAAGGTTTTTAAAGGGATCTATTACGTTGCAATACTCAAAATGGTTTTCGGTTCGTTTTTGTTGCAGTGTACTAATAGTGTTCATTGTTTATGTGGTAAATGCTACCTGATTTACAGAGAGAACTTTTTTCTTAGGCTAGTACCAAAAAATTGAGCTCAATATTATGTTAACACTGTTTTTTTTTGTTTTTGTTTTGTTGAATGAAAATATGCATTAAAGACTTAATTATACAAAATTAAAACGTTTGAGGATGTTTTGTTCATGGTTTATAGTTTACGATAAACGCTCATATAAATAATCCCTTTCACACGAACAGACTGTTTTGGATTTATTCCATAAATTTTTTGAGTATTTATCGAATTTACCAACATAAGTTCATTCTGAACACGTAGCCCTATATACATCACTGTAGATTGCGAATTATTTACCCAGAAGTACACATTTCGTCTTTAAAACGAACGCTACGGGGTGATATGACGCGTTCCTTTTTGCGTTTACGAGCTGACCTCTTTTTTTGGATTGCTTTTAAAAACACTGTTGGTTTGTGTTTAGGTAAGTGGGTGGGTGCTGGTCAGTCGGTGCTTTTAAAAACACAGTTGCTTTGGTTTAGGGAAGTGGGTGGGCAGGTCAGTCGATCGGTCAGTCGGTCGACAGTGGCCTTTGGTGGATTTGCGCGAGAACAGCAGGCGCAAATGGCTTTTGTGAGAGAAATTTGAGATCTAAAAATGAGTACAGAGCGGCCTCTGGTGGATTCGCGAAAACAAAAACTGCAAAACAATAGTACCTCCTGGAACGAATAGCGGTATGTTTTCAGAATGAGCCTGAGGTGGATGTTACTTTGCGAAAGTGGTAACCGTCATAAGCCCAGACTGCGTATGCAAGATTAATTTTCTTGTTGCGTCTATTTTCTAGGAAATTACCAGTAAATTTTTTAATTAACGGAAAAGTAATTCCACACATTTTCTGGAATGAGAAGTTGTACCATTACTTATAAGTTTCCAGTATTATTAAGTTCACTGTTAAAGTCGTTCTGTTAATTTTTTGAGAGTTTATCAATATTAATCTGCGACTGCAAGTAAACTTGCGTACACAGTCTATATTTATTACGATATCAGGTTTTCTAGTTTGTGAATAATTTCTGGAAATTACTAGCATATTACTCTGAATGGTCTCATTTTTCAAAATAACAGAAAAATAATTGCGCAAATTTTAATGAATGAGAAATTGGAATATTACTCAGAAATTTGCAGAAATATCTTGATTGAATATACCGTTACAGTCGTTTCTGTAACTCATTGAGGATTTACCGATATTACTCTGCGAATACAGGTAAACCTGTGTACGCAGTCTAGGTTTATGATGACATCAGATTTTCTATTTTGCGAATAACTTTTGGAAAATTAACAGTAAATTGCTGTAAACGGTCTCATTGTTCAAAATAACAGAAAAATAATTGCGCAAATTTTATAGAACGAGAAGTTTGAACATTACGCAAAAATTTTTGCAATTAATAAATTTACTGTCGAAGTTGTTCTGTTCATTTTTCGAGAGTTTACCGATATTACTCTGCAAAAGGGGTAAACTTACATACGCAGTCTAGGCTTATGATGATTTCAGATTTTTTTTTTTAGTTTAATTTCTGAAAAATTCCCAGTAAATTGCTGTGAATGGTTTCATTTTTCGAAATAACAGAAAAAAATAACGGAAAAATAATTGCGCAAATTTTCTGGAATGAGAAGTTGTTACTATTTCTAAATTTCTGCAATTATTTGTATTCACTAGAGTCATTTACTCTGCAAAAGGGGTAAACTTGCATACACAGTCTAGGTTTATGACAATATCAGATTTTCTAGTTTGCAAATAATTTTTGGAAAATGAACAGTAAATTGCTGTAAACAGTCTATTTATTCAAAATAACAAAAATAATTGCGCAAATTTTCCCCAATGGGAAGTTTTAATCATACAAGTTTCCAAAATTATTAAATTTACTGCTAAAATCGTTCAGTTAATTTTTAGAGAATTTACAGTTGTTAGGCAGGTAAACTTGGGTACACAGTCTTGGTTTATGACAAAATCAGATTTTCTTGTTGTGATTTAACTTCCATACAATTATCGGTAAATTGCTGTAAACTGTCTCATTTTTCAAAATAACGGAAAAATATTTGAGCAAATTTTAATGAATGAGAAATCTGAATATTACTCGAAATTTACAGAATTATTTTAATAAATTTACCGTTAAAGTTGTTTTGTTAATTTTTCGAGAGTTTACCGATATTACTCTGCAAAAGGGGTAAACTTGCATACGCAGTCTAGGCTTATGATGACGATATCAGATTTTTTTGTTGTGATAAATTTCTGGAAAATTACGAGTAAAATGAGGTGAATGGTTTCATTTTTTTTTTTTAAATAACGGAAAAATAATTGCGCAATTTTTCTGGAATGAGAAATTGGAATATTACTCAGAAATTTATGGAATTATTTTAATTGAATTTACCGTTAAAGTCGTTTCTGTAAATCATTGAGGATTTATCGATATTACTCTGCAAATGTGGGTAAACCTGCGTATGCAATCTAGGTTTATGACGATATCAGATTTTCTAGTTAGTAAATAATTTCTTGAAAATTACCAATAAATTGCTCTGATCGGTCTCATTTTTCAAAACAACGGAAAAATAATTGCGCAAATTTTATATAATGAGAATTTGGAATATTACTCAGAAATCTTCGCAATTAATACATTTACTGGTAAAGATGTTCCATTAATTTTTCGAGAGTTTACCAATATTACTGCAAAAGGGCTAAACTTGCATACGCAAACTAGGCTTATGACGATATCAGATTTTTTGTTGCGTTTAATTTCTGGAAAATTACCAGTAAAATTCTATGAATGGTCTCATTTTTTAAAATAACGGAAAAATAATTGCGCAAATTTTATAGAATGAGAAGTTAGAATATTACTCTGAAATTTTTGCAATTAATAAATTTACTTGTAAAGTCGTTCCATTCATTTTTGAGAGTTTACCAATATTACTCTGCAAAAGGGGTAAACTTCAATAAGCAGTCTAGGCTTATGACGATATCAGATTTTTTTTGTTGTGATTAATTCTGGAAAATTACCAGTAAATTGCTGTGAACAGTTGTAATATTACTTTTAAGACATTTGAATTTACTGGTAAAGTCCTTTGGGTAATTTATTGTGAATTTACTGATGTTACTCTGCGAAAGGGGAAAACTTGTGTACACAGACTATGCTTGCGTGTTTATCGCATTTTGTTTTTTGCAATTAATTTCCAGTAATTAATTAGCTAAAATAAAACAAATAATACTTTCTCTAGAAGACAAATATAGGAAATACTGTTAAAAAATCCATTGCTCTGATAAACATCATTTGGGAAATAATAAAAAAAGAAATTCACAGGAGGGCAAATAATTTTGGTTCAGCTGTGTGTAATGCGGACAGCTCAAAAATATGTTGAATGGATGTTTTTTGTTTTCTTGTTACCTAAGATGTTTCTCCACTTATTGATGTGTCTTCATCTCAACAGCTAATGAAGAAACACTCAGGCAGACTGAAGTAACTCTACAAGATTTATTGCAGCTCGAAATGAATGTTTATTTGACTCAGTCTATCTACTGTATGTCACGTTACACTGAAAAAAATGATTGGATTTACATTTTTTAGGGTATGTTGTTGCAAATTGGACTGAATTTAAACAAACAAATTAAATGTAATAATGTTTAACTTAATTAGTTTGTTTAAATTCAGCCCATATAAATAGTTTGCAACCACTTACCTTAAAACAATGTTGTAAATACAATCTTTTTTTTTTTTTCAGTGTAGGATTTTGGTGAAGTCTGATTCAGTCTGATTTGCTGTAACCTGTGGATTTGTGTGTGTTTCTGCTCTTCTGCCAAACTGAAGTCAACTCTCGTTCCTGTTTGGTGACGGCGCTGAAATCAATCATCTTCACATGAGGAAGCGTAGCGATCAAATGAGCCCTGGGAAAAAAGGCAGAAACACAGCTCAGTAGAAGAAACATAACTCTGAGTTAAAACAACTCAATTCACTATTAGTAGCAGAGACATAGGTTTGATTTTACAGTACAGTTCCAACATGACAATAATGAAAAATATAATCTCAACATTGGGTTGTACATACTGTACCCTTATTAGGTGTTGGTTATTTTTATTTAGCTATTGTTGTAGTGCTTTGGGCTTAAGAATTGAGCATTTCAAATGTGTATTATTATTATTTATTAATGCAAGTTTTATCTCTTAATATTTAATAAACGAGCTGATGTGAACTGTTTACATGAATGTTAATTTAGTAATATTTAAAAATATATTTTAAATATTTAAATTGTTGCATCAAAAACAGTTTAATAGTTTGATTTAATTGTTTATTATGCATTTATTAAATGTAATTAATTATTAAACAAATTATAAATTAAATTGTTTATTACTTAATATTATATATATATATATATATATATATATATATATATATATATATATATATACACATATATTATTTACTTATTATTATTACTTATATAATTATTAACAATAATTATATATATATATATATATATATATATATATATATATATATATATATATATATATATATATATATATATATATAAGTAGTATATATAAACCAAAAATCTGTTTAATAGTTTGATTAAATGATTTATTATGCATTTATTAAATGTAATTAATTAAGGAAAACTAAAACTAAATTAGATTTTATATATATATATATATATATATATATATATATATATATATATATATATATATATAATAAAATCATATAACATACACACACACACATGTAATTGCATTTTTATGTTATGACTAAACACAATAATATATAGGTCATTATACTATTTTTTAAATATCTGAAGGTCATATTTAATCCCAAAATGCATAAAAAATATTATATAGATTATATATAATTTCAAAGTATATATAAAAATAAAAAAATTATATATATATATATATATATATATATATATATATATATATATATATATATATATATATATATATATATATATATAATAAAAATATTAGCAAACAATTTGTATTGTTTTTACATTGCAGGGATGTGAATTTGTAGAGAAAGTGTGGTTGATTTTAAAATATGCAATGCAGAAGAAAAAAAAACATATATATATAGATTTAATTTTATTGCTAAATATACAGTCATTCTCTTGGACTGGCTGGGTCTGGCTTTGAAAGCATTCCCTCCTGCACATGCCGTGTGTGTATCAGAACTATATGTGATTACTGTGTTGCTATGCACAGGACAGCAGAGGTTAGTAACCAGATCCTGACCACAGTTTCAGCACCTGTTGTGTCAGGAACGCCACCAGTGCTGAGACCCACAGTGGAAAATCACCAGTTCATATAACAGCGGATGCAAAACACTTTCACAAATTACTGTTCTCATTTACTCAACATCCATCCCGTCCTGTGCCTTTTATTTATTTATTTCGCTTTTTTGTTGCAAAGAAAAAAGAAAAAAACGTGAAAAATGTAATTGTGACCATAATTGTTTTTGCATCTGTGTGGATGTAGAGTACACAGTTGAAGTCAGAATTATTAGCCCCCTTTGAATTTTTTTCCTCTTTTAAATTTTTTTTATATTTCCTAAATTATGTTTAACAGAGCAAGGAAATTTTTACAGTATGTCTGATAATATTTTTTCTACAGGACAAAGTTTTATTTAATTTATTTTGGCTAAAATGAAAGCAGTTTTTAATTTTTTATGAACCATTTTAGAAACAATATCATTAGCCCCTTTAAGCTATTTTTTGTTTCGATAGTCTACAGCAGTGGTTCTCAAAGTGGGGGTCGGGACCCCCCGAGGGGTCGCGGGACAATGAAGGGGGGTCGCCTGGTGATTTCCAAAAATCTATTTATTTTTATTAAACCATAAGAATTAACATATTTTATCCATAACTATACTGAAAATAAAAATAGTAGTTTATGGTTACTATATACTATATAGTTACTATAGTAGCTTATAGTTACTAGTTCTATTGGATTGCGACCCCTGGGGTAATTACATTATATTAAAGGCAGCAATAGCGTCAGATGCATTTTGATTTTATAACATCAGGTTATACTTTCTGGCACATTTTAAGCACTGACACAAATTTAATTGGTGTGTCTGCGTCATTGCATGCAAGGTTTCTGTATTTATAACCACCTCAGAGGATATTGGGGGTCGCGAGTCACTGGCATTGTTATTTTGGGGGTCGCGGGCTGAAAAATTTGGGAACCCCTGGTCTACAGAACAAACCATCGTTATAGAATAACTTGCCTAATTACACTAACCTGCCTAGTTAACCTAATTAACCTAGTTAAGCCTTTAAATGTCACATTAAGCTGTATAGAAGTGTCTTAAAAAATATCTAGTCAAATATTGTTTACTGTCATCATGGCAAAGATCAAATAAATCAGTTATTAGAAATGAGTTATTAAAACTATTATGTTTAGAAATGTGTTTAAATGTCCATTAAACAAAAATTGGGGGGCAAAATAAACAGGGGGGTGAATAATTCTGACTTTAACTGTATAAATCTGTGTGTGTGTGTGTGTGTATGCATTTTTATATGAATGTGTATGAAAAAAGACAAAAAAATATTAATTAATTTTATATTTAGATATTATTTATAATATTATATTCAAATATGGGCAGCACGGAGGCGCAGTGGGTAGCACTATCACCTCACAGCGAGAAGGTCACTGGTTCGAGTCCCAGCTGGACCATTTGGCATTTCTGTGTGGAGTTTGCATGTTCTCCCTGAGTTGGCGTGGGTTTCCTCCGGTTTCCCCCACAGTCCAAACACATGCGCTATAGATGAATTGAATAAACTAAATTAGCCGTAATGTGTGAATGACTGTGTATGGGTGTTTCCCAGTACTGGGTTGTAGCTGGAAGGGCATCCGCTGCATAAAAATATGCTGGAATAGCTGGTGGTTTATTCCACTGTGGTGACCTCTGAAATAGAGACTAAGCAGAAGGAAAATGTATGGGTGTTTCCCAGTACAAGGTTGTAGCTGGAGGGGCATCCGCTGCGTAAAAATATGCTGGAATAGCTGGTGGATCATTCCACTGTGGCGACCTCTGAAATAGAGACTAAGCAGAAGGAAGATGAATGAATGACCTTCAATCATACCTGTAATCTCGCTCGCTCACTATGGGATTCCCGTGAAGAGTGATGGTGTGGAGCGACGGCAACACTGCAAGTTTATCCACCTCCGACAACTCCTGAATATTATTTCCATGCAGATACAATAAGCGCAATTCTTTGAGTTGAGTGAGAACCTGAAGGAAAGAGTGAAAACTACATTCATATTCCTTGTAATCTGCATACAGACTTTATTAAAGTTCTTTTTCAAGTATTTGCCAAATTATGTTTAAGAGAGCAAGACAATTTTCACAGTATTTCTTATAATATTTTCTCTTCTGGAGAAAGTCTTATTTGTTTTATTTCAGCTAGAATAAAAGCAGTTTTTAATTTTTAAAAAAAGCATTTTAAGGTCAAAATTATTAGCCTATTAAGCTATTTTTTTTTCAATTGTCTACTGAACACTGTTATACAATGACTTGCCTATTTTCCCTAATTAACCTAGTTATGCCTTTAAATGTGACTTTAAGCTGAATACTAGTATCTTGAAAAATTTGATGTACTGTCATCATGACAAAGATAAAAGTCATGAAATCAGTTATTAGAAATAAGTTATTAAAACTATTATGCCTCTCTGGGAAAGTCTATGCCAGGGTACTGGAGAGGAGGATCCGGTCGATGGTTGAACCTAGGATCAAGGAGGAACAATGTGGTTTTCGTCCAGGCTGTGGTAAACTGGACAAGCTCCAAACCCTTTCCAGGGTGCTCGAGGGTTCATGGGAATATGTCCAACATGTGTTTTGTGGACTTGGAGAAGACATTCGACCCTGTCCCTCGTGGCATTCTGTTGAGGGTGCTCTGTTAAGGGCTGTCTCTTCCCTGTATGAACAGAGTAGGAGTTTGGTTCGCATTGCCGGCAATAAGTCAGACTTGTTTCCAGTGCATGTTGGACTCCGGCAGGGCTGCCCCTTTTCACCAATTCTATTCATATCTTTTATAGACAGAATTTTAAAGCACAGACTTGGGCTGGAAGGAAGTCCGGTTCGGAGACCACAGGATTTCATCTCTGTTATTTGCAGATGATGTTGTTCTGTTGGCTTCATTGAACATGGACCTTCAGCATGCACTGGGGCGGTTTGCTGCAGAGTGTGAAGCGGCTGGGATGAACATCAGCACCTCCAAGTCCGAGGCCATGGTGCTCCACCTGAAAAAGGTGGTTTGACATCTCCAGGTTGGAGGAAAGTCCTTACCCCAGGTGGAGGAGTTAAAGTATCTTGGGGTTTTGTTCATGAGTGAGGGAAGGATGGAACGTGAGATGGACAGGCGGATCAGTGCAGCGGCAGCAATAATGCGGTTGATGTACTGGTCTGTTGTGGTAAAGAAGGAGCTGAGCCTAAAGGCAAAGCTCTGAATTTACCGGTCATCCTACGTTCCTACCTATAGTCATCTGCTTTGGGTCATGGCTGAAAGGACAAGATCTTGGATACAAGCGGCCAAAATGAGTTTCCTCCACAGGGTGGTAGGGCGCATCCTTATAGACAGGATGAGGAGCTCAGAGTAGAGCCGCTGCTCTTCCACATCGATAGAAGTCATCTGAGGTGGCTCTGGCATCTGTTTCGGATGTCTCCTGGACGCCTACCCTGGGAGGTGTTTCAGGCATGTCCCACCGGGAGGAGGCCTTGGGGAAGACCCAGGACACGCTGGAGGGACTATGCCTCTCGGCTGGCCTGGGAACACCTCGGGATCCCCCCGGAGGAGCTGGAGGAAGTGTCTGGGGAGAGGGAAGTCTGGGGTTCTCTCTTAAGACTGCTGCCCATGTGACCCAGCCCGGGAAAAGCGGGAGAAAATGAATGAATGAATGAATGGAACTATGTTTAGAAATGTGTTGAAAAAAAATCTTCTCTTCATTTAACAGAAATTGGGGAATAAAATATACAGGGTGGCTAATAATTCTGACGTCAACTGTATATGCACTTAAAATGGTTCTGAATTGAAAAAACAATTATGGTGGTGCATAAATTCAATCTTTGGGAACTGACTGGATTGTTGGAAGTTGGGAGTTGCTAACAAAAAGAAGAAAGACTGATGAATGGATGAATTCAGAGCAGAAACGACATGGGTATTGTTCACATACTGAATCGATGTGTTTAATCTCATTGAAGGAAAGATCGAGCCAGGCCAGACGAGTCGGCTCAGAGAAAAGCGCTGAAAGAGTGTCCATCAGTCCTGTAAGGTCCTTGATAGAGTTGTTGTTGAGTCTGAATGACATGCTGATAAACTTCTTCTCAGAGTCACGCTTTGGTGGATGAGCAGATGAATTCGGTACATCGGAGAGCACATCTGAAGATAAAAAGAGTAAGTATTTAGTGTGACAATACTAAATATATTGACAATATATACAGTTTATAGATACAAATATTAGCCCTTTTTTCCTTTTCAAATATTTCCCAAATGATGTTTAACAGATTCAGGAATTTTTCACAGTATTTCCTATAATATTTTTTCTTCTGGAGAAAGTCTTATTTTTTCTATTTTGGTTAGAATAAAAGCAGTTTTAAAATTTAAAAGAAAAACATTTTAAGGTCAATATTATTAGCCCCCTTAAGCAATATTTATTTTTTCAATCACCTACAGTACAAACCATTATTATATGATGATTGGTCTAATTACCCTAACTTAATGAACCTACTAGGGCTGTACGATATTGGAAAAATCTGACATTGCAATGTTTTGTTTTTCTTCAATATATATAGCGATATGAATACAATATTCAGGATTCAACGCTAAGGATTTTTTATACGGGTCCGATCGGGCCATTGGTTGAGATTTTCACTTGCCCTGCCAAAAAAAAAAAAAAAAAAAAAAACGAAAAAGTTAATAGCTATTTCTTAGCCACATATTTTAAATAATGGCAAAGTTATGCCTGTGTATCTAGAATTTAAACATTTTAAATATGTTAATAAATGTATAATGAGCAAAATTCAAGATTTTATGCAAATAAAATAGCAGTATGAAAAATGTGCTGGTATTTTAATGCAATTCGAAATAATTTTTATAAAAATGGCTTGCCAAACTGACAACTGTTTTTTTTTTTTTTTCAGTTTCTTAATTTTGTTCCCATGTAATTGTCTTCTTCTAAGACTTTAGAAACAGACGTTTTCTTTTAGCCTCATTGTTTAATTTTGCCGCCATGTTGCCATCTTTTCGCTGTACTGGTTGTTACCACGTTACAAAAAAAAACGTTACTGCGATAGGGGCCATTAGGGGCCAGTAACAATCCTGTCTACTGTCCCGAGTGTCTTTCACACTGGCCCCGGGCCACCGGGCAGTTCTTATTGTTGAGCCCTGATATTAGCAGATGGCTTTATATTGCTCTGTTTGGGGGAGGAGTGGTCATTAATGTAGACTGATTAGGGTGATATTCTAAGGGTGTGAATAATGTATAAAAAAAAAAACAAACTAATTGCAATTATAATTACTCTTCATTACAAATGTTGTAGGTTATCATGTCCAAATGCTTTACAGTCTCTTGAAACGCCTGTAAAACATATGCAAATTATAAAGTTTCACTCTGTTATGGTTACACTTCGCAACAACTCCACAGTTCTCATGTATTCTCAATTGTTGATCAACTATAATCCCAACTGAATATTGCATATCCTGCGATGTGCCTATTGCGGACACACACATTGCGATATCAATGCTGAAACGATATATTGTGCAGCCCTAGAACCTATAGTTAAGCCTTTAAATGTCACCTTAGGCTAAATACTAGTATCTAGTAAAATATTATTTACTTTCATCATGACAAAGATAAAATAAATCTGTTATGAGCTTTTATAATTATTATGTTTAGAAATGTGTTGAAAAAAATCTTCTTTCCGTTAAACAGAAATTGGGTAAAACAAATTACATGAGGGCTAATAAGTCTGACTAACTGTCTAACATTATATGGACAAAATAAAAAGTCTATCGTTTCATATTATTATGCTCCATCTTTTATAATGTGGTTTTGCAAAATGCATTGTTTACACTACTAGTAATACGTTTTATAATTTATATCAGCATAATATTTTACACCATTATGGGGATGTAGACAGATCATGAGAATATAATGGTTACGCTTTGTATTTTATTTAGCAATGTTTTTCATTTTTATGTTGGACCTAGTTTTTAAACAAGTGTTTTATTAATATTAATTTTAAATTACAATTGTTTTCATCAAACATATGACCTGAAATTCTAAATAAAGTGAGAAATATGAGCATATAAATGAGCACATTTTTTGAGTTTATACTCTAAAATGTAAAAAAGAAACAGTCATTTAAATGTGGTAAATATTTAATGAACTATGAATTGATTAAATTTGCAGAAATTGAAGAAATATAATGTGATATATATTGTTATAGGACATGAGATGACTTATATCGTGATATGAGATTTTCATACCTGATTCTAATTTCGATTATGTCTGTCAAACCACTCAGGCCAATTGCAGTAAATAAGTGAACTCTTATAAATGATCTTGACTTATATTTATTAGATATATTAAAAGGGAGGTTTTAGGTATGGACGAAAACTGTTTTTAAGGTATACCGCAGTTTGGAATAGTCAAGGTTTTAAAACCGCCAAAATCTCTGTAATACCGTTCCTAAGGTGTGTGTAATATTTTTTTTAATTTGCATTTTTTTTCAGGACAACAGTATCCCCAGCAGAAAAATATCCAAAGATGCCTTTTTAAATTGTAAAGAAATCAAAACTAATGTTTTTAAAACTAATTAGGACAGCACACATCAATGATTCATTTGAATTAAATAGCCTGACAAGTTTATTGCTCCAAAATATTATAAATGTTTCTATATATATATATATATATATATATATATATATATATATATATATATATATATATATATATATATATATATATATATATATATGAATAGTTTTCAAAGAGGAAAAACGTTTTTGTTTTTACCCAGACATTTTAAAAATAATATATTCTAGAGCAGTAATCACAATACTGTGAAACCGTTATATTTTTATCCAAGGTTATCACACCATCAGAATCTTATATTGGCCCATGCCTAAAAGGTTTTACCATACCTACATGAGCCATTTCATTTTAATTTTATTCTATAAATGACTGATAATATTTATAAACAAATAAATAGATAGCTTTTTAAAATAAATGTCAAAAACAACATGTAGATTATAAAATAATATAAATGAGAACAAATAAAACTGAAAAAGAGATTAAAGCAACATGAACCTAAAGAATAACATGTTTTAAGTCAGGAATTAATGAACATTTTTTCATGAAAATAAAAAAAGAATAGAAAAATAACTAGAATTTTTCAATCTGATAGTTGATTTCTTTTACATAGATCATAATCAAGCTCAGCATTTCAATATTTTAATAAAAATAATGCATTTTACATTTAACTAATTCTGAAATTTGTGATATTAATAATAAGGAAATATGACTTAATCTGTCTCTTAGCACAACCATGTTTTTAAAAGTATATTATTAACAAAAAATGTTTTTTTCTATGGCTGTTGATAAAACTCTTATACCGTCAGCTAGTTTTTCATTTTGTTAACAATAAATCCTCATCAGACAATCATATTTAGTTTCACTCGAAACATGTTTAATTTCAGGCAAACTGAAGCTCAAATATGCTTTTTTTTAAATGAGGTGTAATGTGCTATTTAAGTTTTTAGATTATATAATAAAATACAGAAACAGACCTGAAATTGTGTTAATCTCCTTAAATGAAAAGTCCACTGAAGATCCGAACATGCTTCGACCTGCAGGATTATTTATAAAAAACTAATTTATTGAGCCTGAATCAAAGTTTGAGATGAAAAATGTAAAAAAAAAAAAGGGACAAATTTGCTGACAGTTTATTTTTAATTTGACCATAAAATATCTAAATATTTGTATAAACTTGTCATCAAAAATATTACACAATAATATTTAACCTCCATAGAAAAGTTACAGTCAAGACAGTTTGGGCGTACCGAAACAAAGTGACCATGGAAACCTTTAGCATAATAGGGCATTCTGGGAAATGTATTTCATTTGTTTCTTGTCACTTTACTTTCTTTATCTGTTTCACCACACGTGGCTGCGATCTGTATCGCTCTATAGCATAGCTATAAATCTATCAATCTAAGTGGAGTATGTGTAATTTTAGTGTTTTATACCTGTAATTAAAAATGAGATTTTTGATGGACTTCCTCGCGGAAGAAGCTGTGCTTCCATTGGTTACTGTTATTCAAGATAGCCAATGAGAACGGAGCTTGGCGTCATCCTGTGATGACCAATAGCTGTTCAGATACAGTGTGAGTTTGAATTTGAAAAAGTTTCAGCGAGCGGTCGATGTCACCTTAAAATTACGGTAAAACAACAGTTTTATTTATATTTATAAAAAGATATTGTGCTTTATATGGCGTTTATTGTGAGGCAGTCATTTCCGATGAGCTGTTTTGAACCGTGGAAAGCCTGAGTTAGCGGGCAAAGCATTGCGTAGTAAACAAACAAAGCTAAACACTCTCGGCTAACCAGTTGAGCGTAATTATGCTGTATTTGTGATATTATTTGTATTAAGTGCGCTGTATAACACGTTGGCACGTTATGATATAGTAAGTGTATTTCAGTGTTTCTATTAAAAAAATAAATGTCATCAGAATTAACGTTGCTTAAATGTTTTTTTCTTTTTAGTTATTAACATGCATTAGTTGCTATAATATATGATCGGGTAAGAGTTGGTTTTATATTCGCACTTTCTCCTTAATAATATAAATAGGGAAATCATATTAGCAGCTAATGACTATTAAAGTATGTTGCTCACTGTCCATCAACTAAATGATGCTAACTGTTAATGCTGTTTTGAACTTGCCTGCGATATCACACAGAAAAATCGATAGAGGTAAAGTTAGGTTTATATTCACACATTTGTTCAGTGACACACTCCCCATATTGTTTACTATGTTACTTTGAATAATCGGTCTGAAATCATATCTAGGAATGACAACATTAGCATAATTTAATTGACTGTATTCAGTGTTGTACTTTGATAGTCATTGGCTGCTAATATGATTAGAAAGTCTGAATATTAAACCAACTTCTATGAAAATTCAAAGTAGTGTTAAGCAATAAAGTTACCATGTCACTTTTCAATACTGTACGTATGTGTGCTAATATAATACCACCTTGACCTCAATTGTAATATGTTATAGTGTGTTGTCCTAAAGTGTAATTAACAATCTAAGTGTAAACATATTACTTGATGATCTATTTTAAATAAGTATTCCTTCTTTAATTCTAACAAGATGGCTTACTAAATAAGTCATAATTTGTTTCCTTTTTCTCTCATGTGCTTCATGATTGTTAAAAAATGTGTGTTTTTTAGAGACCGCCATGAAGTTTAATAAGAACAAGGCGGGACCACTTTTGACATGGGTAAGATTGTCTTACTGTTTAGTTTTTTAACTCAAAGAACTGGGTGAAGATAAAATATTATGATATTATTTGTTATTTTGATGTTTTTAATGATATGATGTCCATTTTATAGTTTAAAATATTGTTTTAAAACATGTTTAAAGTTACGGTTGCTCTTTTGACAGATGAACAGCGTGTTTCCAGAGAATCAAATCTGGGAGTTTGGTCATATGAGAGACGGCTTTCGACTCTTGGAGATCTGCTTCAAACTGTAAGTTGATTCTTTAGTAGTTAAAGGGATATTTCTCTCAAAAATGTAAAATCGTTTACTCGCCCTCAACTTGTTCTGAACACGTTTGAGTTTCTTCCTTTGAACACAAAGGTAGATATACTCCAAAATGTTGAAGAAAACGGCCGTTGACTCCTGTAGTAATTTTTTAATTTCAACTATGGATGTCAATGGGTGCTTCTGTCCAACATTCTTCAGAAAATTTTGTTTTGTGTTTGACAGAAGAAAGAAATTCATATCAGTTTAGAACCATTTGTGTGCGAGTAAATGCTGAGGAAAGTTTCATTTTTCTGTGGATTTATACCTTATAAATGAATATGCTTTAAAAACTAGCAACTTAATTTACTATTGATTTTTATCATTTATTTTTGTAGAAAGGGGAGGGAGGACGTTGAAGCTTATAAGACTTTATCCTTATACAACAAACTGGAAATCATCTTTAATGATTTACATGGTGAGTTTCAAGTATTTCCTTGTCTTTTTTTACACTTTAATATGCTGTATCTTTGTCTTTACATCAGTGCTGAGTCTGACATTAATGCTGGACTGGATAATTCATCAAGTTAACTTTAAATACTGTATTATGCAAATTTGTAGCATGCAGTTATCTCAAAATGCTTCTAATTGGCAGTATTTTTGTAACATCTGTCATGACTATGTACAGTGGTGGAAATAAGCATTCAACACGTCACCATTTTTCTCTGAAAGCACATTTCTAAAGGTGGTGTTGACTTTATTAGTTTACAAATGAAGTTATGTGTAACAAAATTAAATGACACAGGAAAAAATTATTGAACACATGAAGAAAGGGAGGCGTAGAAAGGCAGTGAAAGCCCAGACAGCAACTGAAATCTCTCAATAGATCTTCAGCGACCCTTCATCAGTGTAAATGAATATCAGCTGCTTCAGTCCAACATCTGCATAAGCAGAGGGATGAAGATGAAACCAGGGTGGACATTTCAGCAAGACAATGATCCAAAACACAGCCAAGGAAACTCTCAAAAGCTTTCAGAGAAAGAAAATCAAGCAGTAGAATGGCCCAGCCAATCACCTGATGCAAATCCATAGAATTCACAAAATAAAGATCAGATTTGTTAGATGAGACCTACAGAAGCAGCAAGATTTTTACACTCTTTACATTTTTACACTTACTTGAGCATTGCATGTGACTTCCACTGTATGTGCTCTAACTTTTGCATCATATGCAAAAACACTTTTATGTAACTTTTTTTTTTTTTTTGTGTGCACTTTTATTGCTCTCCTTCGGTACAGATGACTTTCACCTGACTGATAGACAACGTTTCCTCATTTTGGGTAAAATCAGTGAAGGACTTGACCTGGAGCTTCAGCTTGCCAAGGTTTGTATTTGTGCTCGAAGTGAGAGATTTTCAAATTAAGTAGATTAAATGTATAGATATAATAAAATATAAGGTCACACTTTATTTTGATGGTCCTTTTGTAGAATTTAAGTTACATTGCATCTATATGCCAACTAATTCTCATTAGACTATAAGTAGACTGTTAGGTTGGGGTTAGGCATGGGGTTAAGGTTAGTGTAAGTTGACGTACTTGCAAAGTTTCCTATAGTCAGTAAAATGTCTGGTGAAGGAGCATATCAGCAGATATTAAGCAGACAGTCTACTAATACTCAAATAGATCATCAAAATAAAGTGTTACCATATATGTGTGTATGTATATATATTAGGGTTGGGCATCTAAGCTATAATGCCGATCCGATACGCATCTCGATACAAAGAATACGATCCGATATATTAGCGATAAATTTGTGACATATTGCGATGCGACACGATACGATTCACACCCATATCACGATACGATGCGATAATTCAGCACTAACTAATTAAATCAAGTTTATGAGATGATGTGAAAGAGGATGCTGTGCCATTGAATGAGTTTGATTATTTATTAACCAAGCAAAACCAAGACTTTTTTTACAAACTGGCTTTTCTCTCAGAGCCAGAGTGTCAGTTTACAGTAGAGGGCCATTTTAGAACCTATAGCACATATTATTTAAGTATTTTCAAGATAAACAGAATGGATAAGTGCAATATATATTAAAATATATATATTTGCACTCTTTCAACATAAAGGTTAAGCATTGCACAACAAGAATTGTGATTTAACTTTAACTATGAAAACAAGTTTTACAAAGCTATATTTTGCCACTGATTATTCAAAACTTAAGGTGGTGAACTAGCAGTGTTATGCTGCGTTGAAACATCACTGTCACTGTAAACAACAGGCTAATAAAAATATAAAAAACCAGCAATCTTCTTGCTGTGAGGTGGTCAAACTACCTACTGTGCCACCGTGACACCCATTATTTTTATCATTATTATTATTATTAATATTATTATTATTATAATTAAATAAAAATTAACAGGAGGAGGTGTTTAAAACCGCCTAGTGCGTCAGTATAGAGAGGGCGGCGTCCGCAACACCCAGTTATATCCGCGCATAGGGTGGCAGAATAGAGGTCCGCGACACCCGCGCGTCCTCAGTTATATCTGCGCATAGGGCGGCAGAATAGAGGTCCGCGACACCCGCGCGTCCTCAGTTATATCCGCGCATAGGGCGGAAGAATAGAGGTCCGCGACACCCGCGCGTCCTCAGTTATATCCGCGCATAGGGCGGCAGAATAGAGGTCCGCGACACCCGCGCGTCCTCAGTTATATCCGCGCATAAGGCGGCAGAATAGAGGTCCGCGACACGTCACTTCATTTTCATAACCGGTCACTTTCGTTTTCACATTGGGTTTGAGGGCGGCGTGATCGTCCTCTGCCTAGAGCAGCAGTTCAGCTTGCTCCGGCCCTGCAGATGAACAATGCAATAACATCCGTTATTGGCATAGAGCGCACAAAACTTTTGCGCATGGAAAAAAAAAACTTGCAATGCTTTTCTCACAATGCTTTCACAACAACACCGTGGCGCCGCTTCAAGTGAGATTTCAGATTAGTCGTACTGCCCGCGTATTTTATAGATGCGCGGCACATTTTGCAAATTGCATCTGTCCTGTCAAGTCGTCCATCCTTAAATCCATAATGTTGCCATACTTTAGATTTAAAACTCAGTGGGGAATAAAATGTTTGTTTTGCTTCTCGCGCTTTCTGAGGGCGCACCACTAGCTTCATCCGCACACCTGATAACACTGAGTTGTAGTGTGAGTGTACACATCCGCAAATCCGTTGCTAAGGCTTACTTTATGTAGGTCGATTAAATTATGCGCCAAAAACAGGTTGACAACACTTGTTAATAAATAAAAAATACATTCTATATTAAAAAAATAAGCTGTATCTTGGAAAAACCGATGCATCTCGCAAAAACCGATGCATCTCGATTTGCTTCCAAAATTTCATTCATCCTCTGCTGCTCAACCGATGCACTCGCATCGTGCACGCGCATGACCGCGTATCGATACATATCGATTAATCTTCCCATCCCTAATATATATATATATATATATATATATATATGTATATATATATATATATATATATATAAATATATTATTATTATATATTATATATATATATATTATTATATATTATATATATATATAATATATAATAATATATATATATATATATAATATATAGTAAACCTATTGCATTAAAATAAATAATACTAATTAGAATAATTAAGAAAACTAAAATAAGCAGACAATATAAACGTGATCTATAATTTAATTTTTTTTTTCTAAATATTACAAATTGAAATGTTATTTTGGCTATATGTAAGGACTGCATTTTTAAATAATACAACATGATCATATTAGTGGAGCTTGGAGTGTATTAGGGCTGCATGAGATTGGAAAGAATTTAACATTACATTGCAATATTTTGTTACTCTGCTATATGAATACAACTTGACCAGATGACTTCTGAATATCATTCATTTTTTTTCGGCTTAGTCCCTTTGTTCATCAGGGATTGCCACAGTGGAATGAACCGCCAACTTATCCAGTATATGTTTTACACAGCAAATTCCCTTCCAGCTGCATATAGCATATAGTTCATATGAACTTATTTTCTACTGTAAAAACTTAAAGTACTCTTTACATTGATTAATTAACAAGGTTTCATCATGTTTCTTTGATTAAATACAGAAGTTATTTAAGGCTATTTTTTATCACCCTGTACTTTATTGCATCTCCGATAAATACACTGAAGAAAAAGCAAATTAAATAAACAGTAATTAATTGTTTTCTGAGAAGTCTAGCAATATTCATGTATAGCAATTGAATAATTCAATATAAAATACTGCAAAGTCTTTATTTCATGAATAATTCAATAGAATTAATCGTTATTAAAGTTACAAGTTATACAATTTATTATGCCTGAATGCTTTTAAAGTCCTCATTCAGTCACAGGCATCAGAAACACTCACAAATGATGAATTATAACCCTCAACATTGGATATCTTGCGATGTGACTATTGGGATCACATTCTGATATCAATGCTGAAATGATATATATTGTGAAGCCCTAGTATGTATAGATGATTTTTGAAACCCATGCTTTGAATAACATCATAATCATAACTTTTTTGTGTGACAAAAATTTGATCCTTTTATGCCTCTTTTAACCCCAAACAATGATGTAAATGCTTTAGTAAAATCTTTAGGCAGCTCTATTTTTTGTACAATCTTTCAATTTAATCTCTCATTAGATGTAAAGTAACAAAGTAGTGTTGAAGGTTTGTATGAAGAACAGATGTTACTTGTTTTTTCAATTATTTTTTTACTGCTTTTTAAATTAATATTATGTAATTCATGTAACTGAATATATGCAATCTATATATGCATTTAAATGATTTGCAAATCAAATATTATGCGTTTACTTGGTTATTTAATGTATGTGCACAGGTGGCTCTTCTCCTTTGCTATTGCAGTTTTAAAAAGACTAACCCTGTAGCCCTGAATTCAAGAACAGAGGTGAGTCTTTACTATTTATTGACCACTGTTTGTTACTTATTATCTAGTGCAGCTGTAACAAATATTGGATTTTGAAATGCTCAGCCTTGAACTTAAGGTTTTTATATTGCTCTTTTTTTCATCTGTTTTAGTCGGACATCACTTTCATGTTTCGTTTTGTAAGAGATGATGCCAGTGGTTTGTGTTTAGACGAAGGCCTCGATCAATTTCTAGACCAAGACTGTAAGTAGTCAAATTTTGCATGCTTTTTATTTTTATATATTTCAGTGTTGTTGACTATATAGATGTAAGCTTACATACATACATACATTTACATGACCATTCTTAAAATTATATGATTAAAGAGCACCTCATGTATGGGGTTTTGAAAAATTTCGTCCGTTCTTCGTACGTGGATTTCTCAGTTAGCTGAATTTGGATATTGACGATTTGACACGATCCAGGATCGTTTCGTTCTTCAAAGCTGATCCGACAGTTGTTGTCATAGCAACAGTTCTGCTAGGTCAAATCTGATCGGGAGCAGGTTCAATTTATATAAACAGGATTAGATCGGCTCAGTTCAAGCAAAGATAATAGAGAAAGTATGTTCCGAATTCTGATATTTTCTTACAGTAGTAGTTATATACACTTGGGAAAAAGGTTAACATATAAAGTTATAGTTATTAATAAAATAAATAAAGTTATACATATTAATAAAACTTATGCAATCTGCACCCTCGAAATGAAAGTACAAAGACTGCCACCTGGTGGTGCACAGAGAAAACTTATTGATATGAACTTTTTAGATCGCTTTAGTAAAAATTGTGTACAATAGAAATGCACGATATGTCACTTTTTTTTTAAAGCAATAATACATTTATGCTGACATAAACATGTTTTGATAGTTAATAGTGATTTGATGCTTCACAAAAGTTGCAGACACCTTTACCAATATCAAAATGCTTTTGTAAACAACCAGTTATTCTTTACACCGATTAAAAAACGGCTACTATAATAAAGAAAATCTTTTCTAAATTTAGAACTAAATACATTGATTTGCATTGAAATACATCATGAATAATCTTGACACATAAGAGTGTAAAGCCTGCAGCTCACAACAAATGTGGAGTTATTGCGTTTCATATTTGACAAGCCGTTTACTGCTAATTTGATGTATTTTGCTCACATGGATAATTGAATAATAATCAGATGATGTCATTACGCTGCTGTGCCGTCAGCCAATCGTTGCATTGCTGATCATGATTTCGAGGATCGATAGATCAGTCCTTCACAACACACGCAGCGATCTCAGATCAGTTTATCCAGACATTCTAATCTGATTTACGAACTTGTTTGAAGAACCAAATTAGCCAGAGATCAGTTATCAAGATGTAAAGATCCAGGATCTGCCAAATAATCTTAGATCATTTAAGCGAGGTACGAAGAACGGACCCCTGGAAAGACCAGTCAAAACAGACTTGGCCAGCTGACCAATCACAAAAAAGTAGACTTATGGAAGGGGAGGGGTTTATATAACTTAAGCTCAGAGCTGATTCAAATGATGTCAAAATCACTGCAAATCTTATATTTATTAATATTAAGCACATTTTCTGAGCATTACAGCATTTTCTGACTTAAGACCTGTTGTAATGGTCGTCAACTCGTTATCAGGACACTTTCAAAATTAATGTGACCTACTCTATAATGCTGAATGAAGTCTATGCTCATCTATGAATCTCCTCTCTCTCATTGGTCTATAGCTGTTATGAATCTTGCAAACTCCAGTAGCGGGAGCAGCTGCAGTTCTCCATTCTACATCGATGAGGAGTCTCCGATGTTTGGTCGTTTCCAGCGTCCTCCCAGAGTTCAGTTTCAAGAGCTTTGCACAGTGGCTTCCAGCTCAGACAGGTCAGTGTGCTTTTTTTTTTTGCTGATCCCATGGTGATGGATGAATCCAATCCAGAATATTCACAAGTATCAGTTTACACAGTTTTGCAGAAATAGCTCAAAGTGGACCTATTATGGTTCGTTTTATAAGTTATGAAATAAATATCTGATGTCCCTGCAATGTTTGTGTGAAGTTTCAGCTCAAAATTACGCACAAATAATGTTTCATAACTATGAAACTGACCCTTTTAGGCTTAGATCTTAAATGTGGCATTAAGGTGGCTGTCGCTTTAAATTCAAATGATATTGTGCTCTTTTAAAAAAAGGGTGGAGCTACAAATGCCTGTGTGTCAGCATAGTGGCAGATTCAAAAACAGGTCTAACCTCATATGCTAATGAGGGAGAGATGATCACTAGTGGGCGGGGCTTTGCCCCTTTGATGACATAAAAATGGAGACTGTCAATCAAAGTGTTTCTGCAAACTGTCTTTATCAAGTGTGATTATAAAATTTAAAATTAGTACATTTTTAACCATTAGATACTGATTTCATTTAGACTTTTGCCACACAGCTATGTCTAAACCCCATATAAAAGGGATTTTTGTATAATAGTCTAAGCTTTAAGCTTAGTCACAGACTAAAGCACAAGTCTGATCTGTTTATACTAAAAGAAACTGATCTTAGAATATATTAATATCTTTGTATTGTCTTAAGATGGACACTTATTTTTCTTCTCTAAGGCACATTTAAATCCTGGCTTGGTCTAAAACCCTGTCTGCGAAATCAAGTCTTTAATATAAGCGAAGCACATTCGCCATAACATTGAAGACTACAAATGTATTGCCTCTCAAAATGAACAATTAATAAAAAATGTTACATTTTATTCGAATTAATTGATAAACATCAACATATTTTGTGTTTCAGTAGAAAATTTACCAATGTACATGTTAACATATTTTAAAATGACTTAAAGGGGACCTATGATGCGAAAATCAGTTTTATAAGGGGTTTACACACAGTTGTGTGGCAATACTCTGTGATTTATAAGCAGCTTCTAATGGTAAAAATGTTTTAATTCTATTCGTTTTAATCACACTTGATAAAAACAATCTACAAAAAACGCTTTGAGTGACATTCTCCCTTTGTACGTGTCATCAGAGAGGGAAAGCCCTGCCCAGTAGTGACCATCTCTCCCCCATTAGCATAGGACGTTAGTTATATTTTTTTAATCTGCCACTATGCTGACACAGACATTTGTAGCTCCGCCCTGTTTTGAAAAGAGCACAATCTCATTTGAATTTAAAGTGAATCACCAAAATGAAACATTTGGGATCAAAAGTAAAGGAAAAAAAATCCAGAAATAAAATTTCAGTTAGTTATTTAGTCAGGGCAACACGGTGGTGGAGTGGTGTCACCTAACAGAAGGTCGCTGGTTCAAGCCCCAGCTGCGTTAGAAGTGTGATGTAGGTGAATTAGGTAAGCTAAATTGTCTGTAGTGTTTGTGTGTATGTCTTGGTACTCCAGATTGGGGGTTGAGCTTTGGGTTAACAACTCGCCTCATGAAACTAGGTGTTACGAAACCAATATGGTGCTGCTAAATCTCAACTTCGGTATAAATTGGCCCTGGGAGTAAGTAGGTTATTTAGTTATAGCTATTTTTGTGGTAAATACCAATGCAAAACATGTGTTGCTGTAAAATATCCAGTGGTGAAACCCTTCTTTATAAATCTATTATGTACTTTTTTATTTAATCAAAGATTGCTTGATGTTGGAATATTCTAGAGATGAATATGATTGTTTACTGAAATACTCTCTCCAGCTCTCCGATGCAGGATTTGATGAGCACGCCACACTTCCAGTTGAAGAAACTCCGCAAAGAACTGGCGCATGAAGGAGACGTGAGAGATGAGCTGGAGAAAGAGCTGGCCGATCACATCAGCATCATCTCAGAGAAAGGTATAGTGGATACCAATTTGTGGGAATTAAGTAAACCGGTGCTTTGCCATGAAGTTAAACTTCTCTCTTTTCCACACAGAGGGTCTGATCTCCCAGTTACAGCACCGTGTGGAGCGGATGCTGCGGGAACAAGGAGAGCTGGAGAAAGACCATAAAGCTGCACTGCTGGAGCTCCAGGAGAAGAACGAGAGGTGAAGAGCAATGAGCTTAAAGAGAGAGTTTACTCACTCTTAACTAGTTCAAAACCTATTTGAGTTTCTTTTTTTTAAGCAAGTTGCCAATTGATATTCATAGTATTTTTTTTTCCTACTGTTGAAGTCGCAATCTTCTGGTTTCCAACATTCTTCAAAATATCATCTTTTGTGTTTAACAGAAAAGAGAGAATTTTAATAATGGCAATCCATAGTTTATTGAAATTCTTTCATGGAAATATTGTGGTTTATTCAGTTAAAATGACACCAACAGAGATGTACTGCCAGCATATGTTAAAGGGGAAATGAAGCATTCAGTCAAGTTTACCTTATTTTGTGCATTGGATTCCACTTTAATAAAAATATATTAAACAAACTTGATTAATGTAACCATTTAGCAGAAAAACGGCATGTTTTACTATAGATTTTAGACCTAGGGCGCAGAGATCTTGAAATGTCGTTGTGTCTGACGTCACGGGGTTGGTTACGTTCGCTTAGCAGAACAGATATAATGGAAGTAAAGGAGACTGTAAAGCCTAATTTAACCCAATGCGTGAAGTTGTGGACGTGGATCTGCTGCAAATACAAGTATATAAATATATATATATATATTTATTCTATTTTTCTTTTTTCCCTTTTAATTAGTGATCATTTGATGCAGTTTGCTCCACACTTTGTATTACACTGCCTGACTGCCTGTCTGTGAGTGTAACAGACTTAACACAGAGACTGGACCGCCTAATTTAACCTGTGCTGATCTTAGTTTGTTTCAACTCGAGTGAGGGGGTGTAGCAGTGAAAACTAACAGTACCCGCCCCATTACGTCAGTAATGATTCACACTCTGCATTACACTGCCTGTGGTTTCAATCAGATCCGGTGCCGACGTAATGGGGGCGGGACTAAAAGGGACTAAGCCAAAGGGAAATTAATGATTTATTTCTCATAGACTTTAATTATGTCTTTGAGACATCAACGTTTGTATATTTATTAATTGTTAGAATAAAATGATGAGTGTTCTTTTATTTTCCAGTCTTCTCCACAGAGTTCATGAGGTTTTAAAGCAGTGCCAAGATTTAAAAACAGACAACTCTCAAAAAGAGAAAAAGATTGATGAGCTGACAGAAGAGAACGGGACTCTCAGTGCTCAGGTCAAAAGATGTTTTTTGTTTTGAAGTCCTGGTTAAAATTATGACTACATCAGATTTAGTCTTTTTTATTTAATTATTTATTTAATTATTTTAAGTATTTATTTATATAATTTTATGTTTATTTATTTTATTCTTTGCTTTTTTATTTAATATTTATTTATATCTTATTTATTTAATTATTCAATTATTCAATTTTCATTCTTTGCTTGTTTATATAAATAATTATTATTTAATTATGTAATTAAGTTTTATATATATATATATATATATATATATATATATATATATATATATATATATATATATATATATATAATGTAATTTTTTGTTTATTTGATTATTTGCTTAATTATTTAGTAATAATAAATTACAATTATCATTATTGTTACATTTATTTATTTGTATTAATTTATGTATATATTTATTATTTATTTTATTTGACTAGATATTATTTCATTGTTTATGTAATTTTTACATTTTTTATTAATAATTAAATGTATTTATTTTATTATTTACTTAATTATTTAATAATAATAATTATTAATTTTGGAGTCTAAAATATTAGTGTCTTTGTCCCCATCAGCTTCGTAATGTTTTCTCTCAGCTGGCGAGAGCAGAGCAGGAAGTTGCCAAACTCACAGTGGTTCATGAATCTGCACAGACGGAGTGGAAAAACAGGAAAGAGTTGCTGGAGAAGGAGCTGAATGAGGCCGTCACACACAAGGTAGACTATTTCAGTTATATTCAGCAGTACTTGGTGTATTTATTGTGTTAATCATGTTCTGTTTGCTTTTTTTTATACTTTATTTTTATTTATCTTTTTTTAAGAAAAAAAAAACAAGGGAAATAATACAAATAGTAGATTTAAAAAAATAAAATAAAATAAATAATACAATAAAACACCTGAACTTAAATGAGCAGTTGACAGGTCACATATTTCCTTACAGGTCACATGAACAAATACATATATAAATTAGATTACTCTGTGTAAAGCTATAATTACAATCCATTTCTCCCAATCTTGCAGATATTTGTCCATTTGTAGTTTTAAAGAAAAATTCGTCCTCTCCATATTTTGCACATTAGATATATGTTCTGTTTGCTTTGAGTGAAATAAGCACCAGAGTGTTTGATCAGTTTTGCTGGTGCTGTTCTCTTGTGCAGGAGTGTCTGAGTGAGCAGGTGCTGATACTGCAGGGGAAGATTTCTGTTCTGGAGGATGAACTGAAGAAAGCTCAGTCTCAGGAGAGAGGAGAGGTGCTGGGGCCCATCATGGAGGTGAGATGCTTTGATGTGATCACTTTCACACTTTTTTGTTAATAAAGAAATCCTACATCGTGTAGTTTATTATTTTAGGAAATCTGTATTATTTTTAGTCAAATTTACTATTACTAAAATTGCATCTTAGTTAGAAAAATTCATCAAAACTCATCTAGCAAAAGCAAGCCAGCCCTTGTTTAAGAGGCCTTCTGATTTTTCTGATCTCTTGAAAGTTATTGTTCATTTTAGTTTGTTGTTATCAAAAATACTCAATTTGAGTTAACTTGTGCATAACTTAAGTTCACTTTTATTTGTGAATTAGATTGCTTGAAATGTCTTCTTCCAACATTAATGCACATGTTGTTTTTTAAATTTTATTTTTGTTAACAGTATACATTTTTAACTATGATTTTTGTCCACATTCATTATTCTCATCCTTATCAGAGGCTAATTTAAAAGCTTAAAAACATTTTACATTTGTTTATTGATAAAATTAACACTGAAACTATCAAGTCTTAATTTCACACTATGTGTTAAAGGGATAATTCACCCCAAAATGTAAATGTACTCGCTGTTTACTCTCCCTAAAGTGGTTCCAAACCTTTGGGTTTTTTTCTGTTCAACACAAAAGAAGTTATTTTTAAGGAGGCTGAAATTCTATAACCATTGAAATTCATATTATGAAAATCAAATACTATGCAAGCCAGTAATTACAGGTTTCCAGATTTCTTCCATATAACTTCTGTCTCCAAACTCAGCCTTGATTTGGAGCAAGTATAGGGTGAGAAAATTAGTGAATTTTTGGGTGAACTATCCATGTAAGAAATGTAATTACAGTTCATATTGAGCTGAACTGACCAGTTTTTATCTCTTGATTTTCTCAGTGGGAAAAGCTCAAACAAGAGTTGGCTGATCTCACTCTTCAACTCGCTCAGCTTCAGGAATCCATTTCCCACCTCGAGAAGAAAAAGGCAGAAGTTGAGGCCTTGTTGGCTGAGGAGAGATGCTCTTTTGAAAAAGAAACCGCAAGACTCCAGTTGGTGGTTTTTGATCTGGAGAAATCCATCAACAGCATCCGTCTGGAGAGAGAAACACTTCAGGAGGCCTTAAAGACGCAGAAAGAGATGCTCTCTGCGCAGATATCAGCACTGGAGAGGGACGTTTCCCGTCTGCAACAGGTTGAAGTGCAGCTGACAGCAGAGATCAAAATATCTGCAGATCTCCGCCAACAGAGAGAGGAGCTGGAAGGAAAGGTAGCATCTTTAGATAGGATGGTTCATTCTCTGCATGCTGAGATCCAGGGGCTGGAAGTGGAGAGAGCTTCTCAACAGGATGCAATTAATTCCCTCATTAGCGATTTACAAATCGCTAGGGCTACTGTTCAGGAATATGAGAAGAAGCTGGAAGAGCATCAAAAAGTGGTAGCAGAAAACAATTCCCTGAAAAATGAAGCATGCACAATGCAGCAGGAGCTGAATAATCATCTAAAGGCAATCGGAGACCTTCAGGCGGAAGTAAATGAACTCAGATTTGAGAAAACTGAGGAAGAGAACAAGGTTAGTGAGGCTTTGGTTAAAATCGAAAGCCTCCAGACTGAGATTCTGCATCTGTGTGAAAAGATTTCTCTTAAAGATGAAGAAATCAGAAACCTGACGAAAGAGTATGAGTCTGTAGACAACGAGCTGAAGCTTGTGAAGGAGCAAAATGTTGAAATAAATGCAATGATCAAATCTAATCGCAAGGAGCATGAGGAAACTGTTGAAAAACTTCAGCAGGAGCTTCATTGCGCTGCTTCTGCCGCATCAGAAAAACAAGAGCAAATGCTGGTTTTATCAGCAGAGGTAACATCTCTGAAAGAGCAAATCTGCAGATATAGTGAAAATGAGGCACAGAAACAACAGGAATTGTCTATTTTAGAAGCACAACACAATGTGCTGAAGGAAAACCTGACTTCTCTACAGAACCAGTTGGCTGAGGCGACAACTTCAGCTTCACAGAAGGAATCAGAGTTTATTTTGCTTCAACAGGAGCTTTCCCATCAAGAAACACTAAGAGAACAAACTCAGGAGCTTGAGAAGATTAAACGTGAGGAGCTTGAGGGGATCGTGAGTGAACTTCAGGCCAAAATTATTGAGGTTTCCTCTATTGCCTCAGAAAGGGAAGCTTGTGTGAGCTCCCTTCAATATGAGATGAAAGATCAGCTATCGAAAGCCAAACAGTGTGAAGCTGATCTACGCAATGAGATGAAGGAAAAGGTTGGAAATTTGCAGGAACTTCTAGACGCTGCTAACCATGGAATTGCTGAAAAAGAGCATCACTTAGAGTCGTTGAATCAAAGTCTGAAGCAGATGGAGCTTCTGTACTGTCAAAAGGAGGAAGAAATCATTGCAAGTCAACAAGCAAAGCAGCAACTGGAGAATAATATTGCTGAGCAGAAACAACAACTAGATGAGATTCAGCAAAATCGAGAAATACTAAGGAATGAAAGAGACCATCTGTCTACTCGAGTATCATCTCTCCAAGAGGAAATTCATCGTTCCCAACAGGATTTTTCTGATTTACAGACTGACCACAATGTTTTGAAGGAAAAACTGGTTAATCTTCAGGATCAAGTAGAGCAGGCGATGATTACTGCTTCCCAGAAGGAATCTGAACTCCTCTTGCTTCAACAGGAGCTTTCCCATCAAGAGACCCTGAGAGAAAAAGCTTTGGAGCTTGAGGCCATCAAGCGAGAAGAGTTTGAGAAAAAAGTGAAGGAACTGCAGGACAGAATTCTAGAGGTGTCAACTCTTGCCTCTCAAAGGGAAGCCCAGGTAATTTCTCTTGAAAATGAGATGAGGGATCAACAGTTGAGTGCCAACCAATCTAAAGATAATCTCTGCAGGGAGTGGCAGGAGAAGCTTGGCATCTTGAAAGGAGAATTAGATGTAGTCAGTCGAGACGCTGCAGACAAAGACCATCAACTGGAATCTTTGGATCAAAAGCTTAAAGAGATGGAAATGGTTGTCCTTCAAAAAGAGAAAGATGTAATGGAGACACATCAGGCAAAGGAGGACCTGGAGAAGAGAATTGCTGAGCTTGAGGAGTGCAAGCAGAAATTAGAGATTATGAGGAATGAAAGAGATCATCTTTCAACTGAAGTAGCATCTCTAAAAGAGGAGATTCATAGCTACCAGGATACTCAAATGCAGAAACAACAAACAATTTCTGTTTTGGAAGTTGAAAACAATGCTTTAAAGGAAAACATGGCTGCCCTTGAGAAACAATTAGCAGAGGAGATAACTACAGCTTCACAGAAAAATTCAGAGCTTCAAAACAAGCTTCATCAACAAGAGAGCCTTCACGAAAAGGCTCAAGAGCTTGAGATTGGCAGGCATGAGGAATTTGAGAGAAGAGTGAGAGAACTTCAAGCTAAAGTCCAAGAGGTGTCCACTCTTGCTTCTGAGAAGGAGGCTGTTGCTTATTCTCTTCAGGAGGAATTGACGGGTCATTTGAAGGCTAAAGTGTCCGAAGATGATCTCCGTAGAGTCCTGGAGGAAAAAGTGGAAACCTTACAGAGAGAAATAGAAACTGCTAGTTGTGATGCCACAAGCAAAGACGGTCTTTTGCAGACTTTGGATCAGAAGCTGAGGCAGATGGAGATGCTTTGCCAACAAAAGGAGGATGCAGTTTTTGAGATCCAGAACTCAAAAGAAGACTTGCAGAAAGAGATGAATGAACTTGTTTCTAAGAATCAAGAACTGGAGGGCTGCCTGCAACATTTGGAAATGGTAAAAAAGGAAAAAGACCTCCTGTCAAATGAAGTAACTTCTCTGAAAGAGCAAATAAATGATCAGAGTTTGAGGGCCAAACAGTCTGAAGCTGATCTTTGCATAGTCTTTGAGGAAAAGATTGAAACCCTTCAAGGACAACTGGAATCTAGTAGTTGTGACGTCTCGGACAAAGAGAAACATCTGCAAACTTTGCATCAAAAGGTTTCACAGATGGATCTGTTGTGCCAGCAAAAGGAGAATGCAGTTCTTGAGATGCAGAACGCAAAGGAAGACTTGCAGAAGAAGATTGATGAGCTTGTTTCTGAGAAACAACAACTGGAGGGCTGCCTGCAAAATTTGGAAATGGTGAAAAGCGAAAGAGACCTCTTGTCAACTGAAGTAACTTCTCTAAAAGATCAACTAAATGATCAGGATTTGAAAGCCAAACAGTCCGAAGATGATCTCCGCAAAGTGTTGGAAGAAAAGATTAAAAACCTCCAGGGACAACTTGAAACTGCTAGTCGTGATGTCTCCGAAAAAGACCAGCTTCTGCAGACTTTGGATCAAAAGGTTACACAGATGGATCAGTTGTGTAAGCAAAAGGAGAAATATGCTCTGGATTTGCTTCAGGTAAAGGAGAATTTGGAGAAGAGGATTGGTGAGATTACTGTTGAGAAACAGCAATTGGAAGGATGCCAGCAGAATTTGGAAACAGTGAGCAAGGACAAAGACAACCTTTTAAATGAATTAACCTTTCTTAAAGTTGAAATCCAAAGTTACCAGGAAAAAGAAGTGCAGATGAAACATGAGCTTTCTGTTTTAGAGAATGAACACAACATTTTACAGGAGAACCTGGATACTCTTCAGAAGCAAGTGGTGGAGTTGACCGCTTCAGCTTCTCAGAAAGAGTCTGAGCTTCAAAATGAGGTTTGCAAACAAGAGAAACTTCAAGAAAAGGCTCAGAAACTTGAGAAGGATGCAGGTGATCTTCAGGCTAAAATTCTAGAGATTTCCACTCTTGCTTCTGAGAGAGAGGCACAAATAAGTTCTCTTAAAGATGAAATAAACAGTCAGCATTTGAAAGCTAAACAGTCTGAAGATGATCTCCTCAGAGTGTTTGAGGAGAAAATTGAAAACCTTCAAGGACAGCTTGAAATTGCTCGTCTTGATGTCTCGGACAAAGACCAGCTTCTGCAAACTTTAAATCAGAAACTGAAACAAATGGAAGAACTATGCAAGCAAAAGGAGACATGTGTCCTTGAGATGCATCAGACAAAGGAGGATCTGGAGAAGAAAACTGTTGAGCTTCAAGCTGACAAAAGTCAACAGAATCAGCAGAATTTGGAGATGTTGAGGCAAGAAAAGGACCATCTGAAATCTCTAAACCAGACTATCCGAAGAGAGTGTGAAGCGTCCCGGAAGATTCGAGCTGAGCTGGAGTTGAACGTTGAGGAACAAACTGCTTCCATCCTTGCACTTAAAAAGGCTTCCCAACAGTGGGAGGAGCAGAATCAGGAGCTCCTGGAGCAGCTGAAGGCAAAGACAGAAGCTGTAGAGCACTACAAAGCACAGGTATGGGTTGCATGCTTTTTCTAAAATTCCCATTACATAACCATAATGTTTAGTTGTTTTTCCACTATTGGGTCGAACAGTTGGTCAGGTACGGTTTCAGTGTTTAGTTGTTTTTCCATGTGAGCCTGGTAGAACTGTCTTTTTAAGAACCATTCAGACCCAATCGTAGAAAAGTGTTGTTCGTTTTTCCAAGTCTTAGGCCCAATCCCAATTGTACCCTTTACTCCTACCCCTCGTTTTGCGCATTCCCGTGAAGGGGTAGGGGTGTCCCAATTCTCTTTAGCTTGAAGGCGTAGGGCTAAGAGGGAGGGGTGATTCAGCGATTGTTTTTTTTTAAGATAAATGCCAAAAAATAACACAACTGAAATAACTACAGCAGTCGAGATCGTCTGATCTCATTTGAAGGAAGAGATCGCGATGGCATATGACGACGTGTGCTGTAGTGATATCCCATTTCTTAGGGGTAAATTTTGAAGCCCTTCCCATTCACACTCTGTTTTAAGGGCCAAGGGAATGGGGTAGGGGTACAAAAATAGAATTGGGATTGGGCCTTAATGTATCATGGTTATGTCTCAGGTGGAGAAGGCCATGAATCACTACAATGGTAAAAAGCAGCTGCTGCTGGAGGCTCAAGAGCTGAACAAAACTCTTGAGCAGTCATTGGAGGTCAGCAAGAGAGAAGCTAAAGCTCTGGAAACTGAACTAACCCTGGCTCGCATGGAGCTCAACCAAGCCAATGATAAAGAGAAGAGCCTTGCTGCTAAAGTGAAGACTTTGGAGGCCCAAGTAAGTTTATGACGTTGTTGGATTTTTAAGCATCCTAATATTGTGTTGGAGTCTCATAAAACAGGTTTAAACACATCTAAAGTCAGAAAACAGTACTTATTTCCAGAATTTGCATCTAATATAATTATTTTGTAGTGATTTCAATAAGGTTTGTTTGAAAAAGGTTTGGCTCTTGCCTGTAAACCTCTCCCTTCCACAAACCAACACTGCTCTGATTGGTCAGCTCGCGAAGTCTGTTTTGATTGGTCTTTCCAAATCTGTTTTATGTGGGAAAGAAATGCCCATTTCAGAGTGTTTGTATGTTGTGGGTAGGCAGAGATTTTGCAAAAATGTTTCCTGTATAGTGTTGATGTAGATCAAAAACAGGCAAAATACTTGGAAATATAAGCTTCTTTAGGCCCAACTCTTTTTTTTTATTTTTATTTAGGCACAATATCTTTATAGACCTGGTATATATCTATATTAATATCTTTATAAGGGTAGCTACATAAAAACTGCAAATAATTTTTTTTAAATATCCATAAGACCTGCTGTAGTGTTTCATGAGTGTGAAGAGATACAAAAAAAAAGTTTTGGTTTTATTTAGTTTACTTCTGTCTTGAGTTTTTTTTTTATATCATATTTCATTGTGTGCTTGTTCCAGGTTGATTTTGCTGACAGGCAACTGCGAGAGAAGAGAAGGATTGCAGACGATGGTGAGGATTTGAGACAAAAAGAAAATCTGTACTTCAGAGTCCCAGAGAAGCAGCAAGACACCAGTGCAGACAGCCTGGAGTTTGAGCTAAACGATTCTCTCAACACTACCTGGTAAATACACCAACACACCTGACCTGATATACAAATGGAATGGGATGAACAAACAACAAATTGTATGTTGTAACATACATCATACTTAACTTGTACATACTCGTTTACAACTTTTTTCAAACTATTTTTAGGGTGCTTTCACACCTGTGAATCGATTCAGTTGTTCCGAAACAGAGATTAAAATTGTTACATTGTTGCTCTTTGCTCTTGGAGCGGTTCGCTTTCACACTGCAAAGTTTCTAATCGGACTAAAAGAGCTAAAACAAGTCACGTGTGAGTAAACTCTCCTTACATTGGTCAGAGTGTCAGGGTTTATTTTGCAGCGTCCCGCTCAGCTGTCAGAGGAGGTGGTGGTTTGGTGGTGATTGACAGGGTGCGCGCGTGACGTGTCTGAGGAGAGATGCGGTGGGGAGGGGTGAGAAGGGTGCGCGAGATGCCTATTTGAGGACTGGGAGAGAGAAACGAGATTACCGGGAGATCATCACTTGTTTGCGGGCATCCGGAGACTCACGAAACTTCCCTCCCTACTCATAATTCTCTCTTCATGTAGCCGTAAGCCTATTACATATCCATAAAACACTGTAATATAACCGCGCTCGGATCGGATCGCTTTCTCACTGCAATCGAACCGCTCCAGGGTTCGTTTCAATCGAGCCGAGACCACCTCATTCAAGCGATCTCGGAGCGATTACTTTGGCACGGAACAGAGTGCGATTGCCCTGTTCACATATGCCAATCGAACCGCGCTAACTGGGCAAACGAGATACGTTCCGAAACAAAAGTGTAGGTGTGAAAGCACCCTTAAACTAAATAAACTACTTCCAACAGGCTTTCTCAAGCCACCATTGTCTTCAAACTTCAATGTATTTTATTGTTGTTGTCTCTTTACTTTTTTAATCCTATGTATTATAGAAAAGTGTTATTTATAAACTGTTTGAACCTTTTTTTTAAATAATAAAATGGGCATTGATGCTGATATGACAGTAAACTTAACTCTCTCTTTGTGGATGTACATTCATTGCTCAGCTGCGTCCCCTCTTTTTGTATAAAAATATGCTCAAACAACTAAAGGAATGCTTAGTTCACAATCCTCAAAATTTGTTTATTTAATTTTAATTTTTTTGCAGTCGTTCTGCAGTACCGGGTGAGTCCAGCACTCCACTGGTCCGTAGTTCTGAGCGTTTGGCTGCTAAACGCCGCGCATTGGGGGCTGAATCTCTCGAGACACTATATTTCACACCTATGGGTAAACAAGGCTACAAACGCAAAGTGGATCACAATGATGGTTTTGAACGCAAACTGGAGTCCAGCATCACTTCTATTGGTGATCTCGTGGTTGATTCTGCAAAGAAATTGACTGCTTCAGCTCGCCGGCGACGCACTACACAAGTTATCAACATCACCTTGGCTAAGGTAGGAGATGCATTGCTTTTTTGTTTTATTTATTTTGTATATTAAAAATCTTTATTAATTATATAATTTTTCATAAAAACTATATATATATATACACATCTATATATATATATATATATATATATATATATATATATATACACACACACACACACACATATATACATATACAAAAACAGAATTTAACAATACTAGTTACCTAATATGACACCTGCCATTTTCTATTCTCCAGTTGTTGATTTTGGTTTTTGGTAAATGTTATGCTTAATATCGCTGTCAGATGGCATATTAGGTTACTAGTATTGCCTCCTATATGTATATATATATATATATATACATGATTGCTTTTTCAATTGTGTTATGATTACTCTTTTCTAGAAGGCACAAGGAAGCTCTGAAAGCGAGGAGTCGTTTTCTAGCCTGCACTCAGCCCGTTCTCATCCAAATTTGGCAGTCCACCAATCACGGCCGATCTCCATTGACTTCTCAGAGGATGGTCCTGCCACAACGTTATCAAAAGCAGACACACTTCAAAATCTGCCTGGATATCGCAGAAGTACAGTGCACAGCGTTGGCCCACCAAGAGGTGCAGTGTTAAATTTTAATGTAATCACACAGTGTAAACTTTAGTTTCTTACCTCAGAAAAAGAGTAAAATAAGTTATGGATAAAGAACATCCAGGAGGTTGTTATCGCAGAATAAAACCTGACAGGTTTATCGGCAGCTCGATGCCAAGTGGACGGAAGAGTTTATTCTGCAAATACAACTGTCCTTGATGTACTTTATCCCACATAATTTATGGCTGCTTGCCACGAAACATACAAATTACACACAAAACATTGTTCTGGGCCATTGGTTTATTAATCCTTTAATTAAATGGAACACTTAAATGAAATTAGCTGATGGAGTATACACTAATCTCCGCATAATTCAATCACAAATAAGCACCAAACAGTCAACCATAATACAGCGTCCAGCTGTCAAAAAATGACAGTAATTTTCAATGAGTATAAAGATATGAATGTATTGATGAGTCTGCATTATTTAGAGGAGGTTATCCTAGAATAACATACCTTGTATTGTTGCAATTGACCAATCAAACGTGAGTATTTCAGACAACCATTTAATTTGTAAGGGATAATGTACATCTAGACATGTTTTTTTTATTAGTAACTGTTGTGTAAGACTGATGGGCTTTATTCTGCAATAACCACCGGCTAGATGTACATTATCCTGATTATTACGTAGCTTATCTCCTGAAACAATACGATTAGACACAAAACATTGGTCTCACCATGTGTTATTAGTTATACAGGTTTGGAGAATAACATACTTTGAAATGTTGTGATTGATCACAATTGACCAATCAGATTCAAGTATCCCAGAGTGATGTGTAATAATGTTGTATTTTTGTTGTGCAGCCACCAGTACTTTTTGTATTGGAGCAGAGAATGAACCGGAGCATGCTGCCGATGACTGGATGCGCATCGCTGAACTGCAGTCCCGAAACAAAGCCTGTCTGCCTCATCTGAAGAGCAGCTATCCTCTGGAGTCCAGGGTAAGCTTGTTTGGTGGTTTAGTTTGTTAGATTGTTGCTGGTTTTCCCTGTTGAGAAGAGGTAAAATAAGTCATTTTTGCTATTGATCAACAGTTTCACTGCAAAATAAGATTACTTTCTGGCTTTGAAGTATAGTGTGTGTGCCAGAGAGACCTTTGCAGACTCACCTTGATATGTCTGAGAAGATCCAAATAAGCCATTCAGCTCTCAGAACATAGTAAGTGTATTTATACACACATACTATAATCAGCTGTATTACTCGACAGAACTCCATATAAAAAACACAGGCCTATCTAAAGGGATAATGCTGCCAACTGATTATAAACAGTAAAAATGACAAATTTTACCTCTTCCCAACAGGGATAACCTCTAACAAACAAACAAGAGCACATGCTTAAATGCTGTCACGGCTTTTGTAATCAAAAAATGTGATCATAATGGACGTCAATGGGGCAAAAACAGCCCCCAACATAACCAAAGGGTATTCAATTTAAACCATACACAAGGGTTAAGTCGGCAGAACATCGTTCTAGGGCTTTTGGAATTTTTTTAATGAAACGCGTTGATGCTGAAATGATATATTGCGCAACACTGAATCATTCTGTCTCCATAGCCCAGTCTAGGACCATCATTCACTGTAACGGATGAGGACCTGCGCTTGGGCGACCCGAGTGAGACGATCCGGCGTGCGTCCATGATGCCGGGTCAGATCCTGGAGTCGCTGAACTCTCGCCGTTTCTCCCTCGCTCCTGAAACGAGTTCGAGCCAGGCTCCTGCACGCTCTCATCCCCAGCGAGCCACCATGCTGCCTTGTCAGATCCAATCCAGCACTGCTGCTCACCGGGCCTCACAGCTCACAAAAACAAGCTCACGTTCACACACTTCAGAGAATAAACGCAGCCCGCTGGCTCCCAAACGCCCGGCATCACAACTGCAAGGACCAGACACTCCTGAGGTAAAAGAGAAAGGAAGTATGGAAATGTTGATCCTGCTTAAAGGGATAGTTCACTGAAAAATGATAATTGTCATAATTTATTTGTCACTAACACCAGTTTTTTTTCCTTTGTTCAATGCAAAAGTAGATATTTTGCCATTGACTTTTCATAATATTATTTTATTGTATTATGGAAGTCAATGGCAACAGAGCCAAGAAAATAAAGCAACGATTTACGCATTCATTCTTTGTTTTAAGAAAATTGTGAGCTCGATATATTCATTTGTCTTTGTTCTAGGTAATTTGAATGCACAGGAAAAGTTTCATGTATTTATTTTCCCTATATAATATCAAAATTCTCATGGTTTATAAAGTAATGATAATAGCTATAACTTACCAATCACTATAAGAGATAACTATAAATAACTATAAACTATAAAATAACTATAAAAGATAAATAACTATAAAATAACTATAAAAGATGCCTGTTCATAAAAAAGTGGATACGATATGTAGCCTGAAGATGATTAAAGCAGTAGCACCATTTAATTTCGTGCTCACAATTTAAGTAGAATGAGGACACAAGTTATTATCGAGTGCAAAACAAGGGAACAAATAGTAAATCTTGCACATGAGCTAGTAAATTGAGGGAATTAATAAAATAATCCAGAACATGATTTACATAACAAGAGAACCAATTAGCAAATTGTGCACATGATTTAGTAAATCGAAGGAAGAAATTGTTAAATTGTGCACATGATTTAGTAAATCAAGGCAACAAATTAATTTTAAATAAATTGTATGCATAATTTACTTTAAAAAAAGATTTTAAAAAATGTAAATCGAGGGAATGAATTAATAAATTGTATTAGGGTTGTCAAAAGTATCGATTTTAGTACTGATTGGTACTGAAGACGATACTTTTGTTAACTATAAATCATATGCATGATTTACATACAACCAAGAAAAACAAAGTCAATTGAGGGAAGTAATAAATCATACACATAATTTACCTAAAACAAGGGAACAAATTATAAAATTGTGTGCACGCTGTAGTAAATTTATGAAAAAATTAGCCGACTTTTAATGGTTGTCAAATTTGTGAAATAAATGAGAACATAATTTGTGTTCAAGAAAGAAACTCAAACGGGTTCGGAAAAGCTTATAAGCCAATTAGCCAATTTTCATTTTTGGGTGAACTATTACTTTAATGGATTCTGAATGGCAAGGAACTCTAGATTCAGGATGATCCTTTACTAATGCTGTTGTTTCCACAGGCAAAGAAGTTGGCAAGTTGTTTCCCACGGCCAATGACGCCCAAAGGCCGGTTTGGAAACAGCCAAAACAGACCTCCAGTCTCTCCGGTAGGACATTTTTTTATTACTTTTTTATTATTTATAGGCAACAGCAATAGACATTTTATTTATAGAGAATAAATTTAACAAAACCAGTTGCTCTGAAGTTACCTATGAGGAAACCTAGTCTTTATTTACAAGCAAAATTATTCAAAAGGGATCTCTATTTTATTATTTTAATCTTTTGGGGGGGGGGGGGGGGGGGGGTTT